ACCCAAAACAACAACCACTAGTATCAAAGAAAAGAACGGCAAGCTCTTAACAGAAAATGATGAAATGGCAGAAAGATGGGCAGAATATGTAGAAGAACAATACAGTGACTCAAGACCAACATACATAGCTAAAAACAACAATTACCAAAAGGTCAAAATAGAGAAGGAAGAAATTATTGATGTTATAAAACACCTACCAAAGAGTAAAGCAACTGGAGTAGACCAAATTCCAGCGGAACTATTACAACATATGGGAGAAGAAGGACTAAATTCCATCACCAGTGTCACAAACGACTGCTACAATACAGGCATTTTGCCGGAGGATTTTTTGCAATCTACATTTGTCACTATTTCAAAAGCACCTAACACAACACTTTGCTACGAACACCGTACAATCAGTTAAATATCACATGCTTCCAAAATACTGCTACAGATTATGAAAAGAAGAATAACACCTTTAGAAGAAAGGAGACTTGATGAGAACCAGCTCGCATTCAGGAAAGGGAAAGGAACAAGAGATGGTATCTGTCAGCTCTGTATACTCAGTGAAAGAATGATCGAAAAAAAAGAAAATGTTTATCTGCTTTATTGACTACACAAAAGCCTTCGATCGAGTCAAACACAATCAATTGATAGTAGTTCTTGAAAAATATGACATACCACAAAAAGGAAAAAGGTTAATCAGCAATCTATATTGGAACGAAACAGCAGTAGTCAGAACTATCAACGGTGAGTCAAGAAGTTTTAAGATCAAAAAAAAGGTGTACGACAGGGTTGCATTCTATCACCAATTCTATTCAATATGTATAGCGAAGAACTTAGCCGGGAAGCTTTAGATGACACAAGAGGAATCAAAGTAAATGGTGTCACAATAACTAATATAAGATATGCAGACGGCACGATCATCATCGCAGAAACAGAACACGATCTCCAAGTAATGATAATAAGATTAAATGAAACATGCAAGATCTACGGGATGGAATTAAATGCTAAAAAGACCAAAGTAATGGTCATCGAAAAATTTCCGGGAACAAAAATCCAAATAATATCAGGAAAGACTGTTTTAGAAAAAGTAAAAAGCTATTGCTATCTAGGATCACAAATCACAGAGGATGGACGCTGCACAGACGAAATAAGAAAAAGGACAGCAATGGCTAAGATTGCATTCCAACGACATCAAGAATTGCTCAACAGTAACATCAACAGGAAAACGAAAATGAACCTCCTGAAAACATATTTCTGGTCTGTTTTTACTTATGGATGCGAAGAATGGACTATTGGAAAAGAAATGGTGGACAAGATTCGGGCATTCGAGATGTGGTGTTATAGAAGATTGTTGAAGATCAAGTGGACAGATAGAGTTTCCAACGAAGAAGTGCTACGAAGAATGAATGTAGCCCGTATGCTTCTTACCATCATAGCAAAGAGAAAAGCTGCACTCTTTGGTCATGTGGCAAGAGGATCAAGTGGAGCAGTTTTTTGTAACATCGTGGAGGGGTACATTGAAGGAAAAAGATCTAGCGGTAGGCAAAGAAGGACTTGGATGGACGATATTAAAGAGTGGGTTAACATCCAGAACTATGGTATCCTGAAAAGTAGGTGTAGTGACAGGGTTTGTTAGAGGACCATGGCTACCAACCTACGGATCACGCAGAAGCTACCTGGAAATGAATGAAAACAGACCATTACAAATTGGCTCTTTGCTTTTAATCCGCGTATTGTTTACAGTACAAAAAGGCTATTCAAAAGGATTGCGTTCCTAACACCCAAAAGAGTTCCGTTATCTACGTGCCAATTGTGATTCTACGTAGGACGCACTACCCAAAGATTGGGGGACAAAATAAAACAGCATGTCCCTTCTATTATTAGAAACAAAACTTATCCCCAAAGAGAACAGCCTCCTCGACCTTGCAGATCAAAAACAAATAGTAAAACATGCGATTCCGCTTTCAGGCAGCATTTACTGGAAAACCCAGATTGTGCAATAAAACTACAATGGCATCATGTTTCGGATTATTGGTTAAACCTGATCGTCGTTCCATCTAGTTAATTGCGAGGTAGGTTGTGAACGGGCAATTTAAGGCATTCGCAACTAACGACCGCGGAAAATAATTTACTGGGCACAACCACAGTTTTTCGGCAAATTTTATAAGGTATCAATTTTTTAGAAAAGTTTTGACTATCATCCAGCATATTTTGCACGTTTATTTTATCTGTTTGTTGGTGAAAAAGATCGGCCTAAATCTAGCTGAAAAGCATTCTCGTTGTGAGATCTTAAGCTTTGATTGGTCATAAAGGTTTGGAGGATATAAATCTCTCAGCCAATCAAAGATTTGGGACCTATGCTGATTGTGCAAAGTTTTTTTATTTAGCTGATAGAGATCTGGAGAAAAAATTTCTGCCATTTCTGAAAGAGAAAGCAATGTGTGATTGCAAGTGAAAATCAGTGGCTCAGGTAATTATCATTGAGGGATTACAGCATTTTCTAACTCTTTGCTTTACAATCAACAAGTTAAAATAAATCTTAATAAGAGTCAAGCAAGTTCCTTTTGAAAAATACCCCTGAAACCAAATCAAATACCTCTAGCTTTTAGGCGAAAATTGTTTTGTAATCTAAACAATGATGCAAAATAATAGCAAAATAGAATAATCTATACACAATATAAAGACGAAAGCTTATAGCAATTGTAGCTGTACCGATTGTTGGGATATTGGATACGGAAAGTATAAAAGATAGCCTTGTAATTCCATTACTACTTAAAGTTCAGCTAGCTAGGAATTTATTCATAAGAAATAGGATATTACACTCGCAAACGTGATTCTAATGAATAGGGAAGCTTGCAAACTCCTGAAAACTTACTTTGGATGTGAATATTTTTGAATGTTACTGTGCATTGATGGCAAAATAGGCGCAATTATGAATCGATTAACAGTGGCGTCAATAATATAACTGAAGAATTTGTAACCGATGTAACCGAAGATCGGCTGACCATACGAAGGCCCGTCAATGGTACAGCGAGATGGACCGAAACATCCGGACCGGCTTGACAGCTCAATTCGGATTTGTATTTACAATATTGCTCATTATATTTAACTTGAATAATATCTTCCAAAGATATTTCAACAACAAGAAATGACATGGACGCAAAGGAAATAACCCTTTTGCTTGCTTATCACTATATCAGATGACCAGTGTTAGCGCTAGAGCAACTTTCTGATATATTTCTGTCGCACCATGCTCTTCTAATGGCTTTTGGCTAATGAATTTGCACTGCTTAACTCTAGATAAATAATTTCAGACTAAATTGTCTGGTATGTTGTAAGCGGGGTTTTTGTTATCATAGCAGAGCCTCTCGGAAAACGCAGAGGGATCACTCCGCTTTTGTTCCTTACAGCCAGACGTTTTACTTTTGCGAGGTCTACATTTCAATGGCTAGACAAAGTTCACATAGCAGAGCCGAGCAAAGTTCTGTTGACTTTGGAATAACTGAGTAATCCAATATACGACAATATTATGTGTCATTGCTGTTCAACTCATTACAGTGATATCTGGGGCTGAGAGGGTTGCAGGGAGTTCCCAACGTCAATAAGGGTAATCAGAAGCTTTCTTCTAATAGGAGATATCAATGTATTTCATTGAACCCAGCATCTAACCATCTAAATTGGAAAATTTAGGAATGCTTTCAACCGAGGGTTGGTGGGTGCGTTTCAAATTCAAGTTATGAGAGAAAGAGTTTCTTTCATACATATGAATCACAGAAAAGCAAATTTTCTTACTGCAGGAACATCTTCAGGTAGGCTAAAAAAAGACTTTGGTCCTGCCTGACTCTTGAAAGGACAAGGTGATGACTCATCATTAGCTAGTGTACATATTCTACCTTTTAGATATCCGAGTGTTTGAAAAGAATTTTGAAAACTTCAGTAGGTCAGGAGTTAGGTTATTTGGACAAATAGCAACTGAAATTCTTTACAAGGCAGCAGTAAGGAGTAAGAAAGCGCAATTGGATATCGCTACACACATTTGTGTGAACGTAATTGTTATTTACGTGAACGTTATATTGAAATAGATGCTATCTTTAAAAGTTGCTGCTAATTCTAGAGCGTTTCAAACTCTCTCCAGCAAATGCTGAAACGAATGCAGCCGAGAAACTTGACGCTTCTAGCTAGCACAGTTTACCGAGTACTTAAACAATTAAGGATTATTTCACAGGTATGACGTATTGACGATGGCATGCATTGCTTGGCCATAGCGAAAAATCTGTTCTTATGTATCGATAGTGATCGTCGTTGGTCACAAATGAAAAATGAGATAAAAAGCTGTAAGAAAGTCACCACTTTCTTGGTAGACTCAAAAGCAGCAATCACTATATCGAAATAAAAACGAGCCCCTCTTCATTACAAGAGAAAATAGTTGACCATGTATACCAAACATTAGTGAATGTTTAACACCATTAACACTAAACGAACTTCAATAAACCCATGTTCTTTCATTGACTACTTCCTCTTGTGTAAGGACTGTCGAGTCCAATGGCTCATGCAAAAATAGCATTCAGTACTATCAAGACACTGATTATTCGCTTATACTACAGTAAAGACTATTGAAGAGGTTTCCCCCGATTAAAGATGACATCATTGCTTTAGGTCATCTCTTGTTATGCAACCGTGCTCCCATTACAAGCTAATTTTTAACCAAAACTTGCGCTAAAACAATCAGAATCATGAAAACGCAACCTTCTCTTCCATTCAAAGTCCTCTCTACATTTTCCCAAAGGCAGGGGCATGAAAACTAGAATTCGTAAAGTCCCATTTCAATTATCCTATGAGAGTTCAAGGAATTCAGAAAATGACCATGATGTGACTATGTCGTTTTGCATTGATTGAGTACATCAAACCAGAAGGTGCAATAAATTGCATTGAAAGTAGCGCTGAAGCTGATCAAACCAGTGTTTTAAGCCTTAAAATAGAAATGTCCAACAACTTGACATGGGTTCTACACTCACCTTGACTTGGTACTAGGCAACGTACAATTTCTTCAGTCCAGCGTAACAAGGTCCGTCGAGTGAAAGTCGCCAGTGTCAACAGTACATTACTGCTTGTATAGTTGAGACTCTACTATATAGATCCAGATCAGACTTCCTCGACGGGTGAATATTCACGTAAATGCATTTCATAAAGCAACATAAGCAATTCTATGACGTCTCCAAACGGAAAAATTTCTCCTTGAGGTGTTTTTGGCGGGATTAGATGGCACAAGCTACTTCAAGCACACAGAATTCTCCAAAAAGACTGCAAAGAAACACGATATGCAAATAGTTTACTTAAGCTTAGTTACCCCCTGTCCCTACAGTCTTAACAGTGGCACCACTAATGTGAATGTGCCAAACTAGGGGGAGCTTTGCGGTCGACTTATGTATATGTAATCTCCAAGCGTTGAGTTCAGTTTACATACAGGATTCATTCTGGTATTATAAAGAGGCTTGGCTTTGGTGATCGCAAGCGTTTGACTTTGATGGGAGATATCAACAGACTTAAAGTGTCACTGTACCAACGTCCGAATATTTAACCAATTGTGTATATCAATATATCAGTAGCATGGAAAGAATGTTACAGGGTTTTGACACATGCCCTGAGAACATTAAGAGGTTGTATTACGATACAAACAGCACAGTTATCAGCAGCTAAACCGATCATCGTGACTAAGTTGATTGTTGCTAAACTAATGTCTTATAAGTTGTATATAAACTGCTCTTTGATACAAAAAACGCACAATATTTTTCTCAAAGAAGCAGCTCATGGAAGGTAAGGTAAGGGAACACGAAAGCCTTGCTATCAATTTTGTTATCAAAAGAGGCATCCCATTTTACATGTCAAATAAACTATGTTATATTCTCTTCGGTCCCGAATAAAAGTTCCCTACTTGTGTTTTTCAAAAAATATTTCCAACACTCCCCACTCATATTTCTTTTATTTTTTCCAAGGGTGGTGCTCCTAAACCTTGCTTGCGCCCCCTTGCTTGCAGCCTCATCAGTGACTGCAACCTCATGAAGTCTCTTCAGCCTCTTTTCCATCAGCGTTGATCTCCCAATTTTATATAGGTTCTACCACGTCCATTGTTCTCAGAAGATCAGAGATACGATCCCAGGTTCCGTGAGAAATGTGCGCAATACCAGATTTCTTCAATTTTCCATAATTTCCCATAGATTTTCCAATTTTTCTAGAGAAGATAATTTTCCATACCGCGCCTTTTTCCTGTTTAATTGATATAGATCAAAGAAATAAGGCTATTGTTAAGGCTATTTGAGACTTATCTTATGTTTCTTATGTCACGTTCTGGTGCATGTCATAGTTAGCTCTTTAGCACTTGGCATTAAAGAAACCATCGAGAAACTTTTAGCTTTAAAATAAGCAAAAATCAAGAGACTGAGTATTAATCCTTAGGTTTTTTCTTATGAAAAAATGGATGTAAGCTCAAAGTGTAGATACACATTTAGTTCCAGGGTCTAGAGCGATAGGGAGGTTATCCAAAGATGCCGCAGTTTTTAGGAAGGCCAATGCATAACTTGAAAAGGGTACAGAAGGTTAGAGAAGCTTACCGCTGCGCTTTAAATTGACTTTTCCCTGCCAATGTGTGGGAACCAAACCATTTATGATTTTACTATGATTCCCTTTACTATAAAGAAACTTTCCCTCAAAAGAAACCTGGAAAAATTTTAGGAAGAGAGAGAGATTTCATTCAGACGAAGGTTTCAGGCGTTTTCTGGGCACTCTGCAAGTTATTACAAATTCCAATCTGGAACCCCTTGCTTGACGAAAGACAGCATATCTAAGAAAAAAATTAGCATATGAATATCGATGACATGCATTTAAGAGAAGAAATACAGAAGTGCGTTTAAAAATCTCATTGGGAGAATTACTAGAAAGCAATTTCGGCTTTGACTTGAGACCCTGAATCAGCTTACTTTATTATTATTCACCTTCTTCAGCTTTCATATAATGAATTATAAAAGTAAAGACATATAGGTGTCTCAGATGCAAAAGATAACCTGGAGCAATTGGAAAATAGATAGACGCCCATTTTGAAGCTTGAAGAGGAAGATAAAAGAACAACAAGTGAGAGCAATTTCAATATGGGATTTGATTTAAGTTAAACTGCATGGGTAAGGACAGAAATTCATAATAATAAGGATCTGGATCGTGTTGCAGAGTGTATGTGCTACGAGAATTTGGCTAAGATTACCCTATTTGAAAACAACAATCCAACGCCTGTTCTAAGTTATGTAAGTCTAAGATGAAAATGCTTGCCTTTTTTACTATTCTTGGAACTTTTTGGGTCTACAACAGCTGTCGCAAATGTTGTCAGGCGGATTAGACGGATTTTCCTCTGAAATTTCAGAAATGGACAGCAAGTTAAGGAGGGCATTATTGCTGTCTTCTCATGATAAGTGCTTCAGAGCCAGCATGTCATCAAGTCCAGAATGTTTGAACTTTGAAAAGATCAGGCAAAGAGGAAGATTTAACATGCTTTCTTAATATTTAAAGTTAACCAGCTGCAGCAATGATCTAATGTTGAAATTATTACTTAGAAATTTCATTAAACGGAATGGGCAAGCCTTTTGTAAAACCATTTTTTTGTTGTATTTTTACACATAACTTGCAGAACAAAGTATTGCAGTACTATACAAAGGATTGGAGAAGAGTAGATGCTTTTTGTTGATAATTCAAATTTTATGTTATCTATAATTATTACGATACTTACTTATATTTTTGATAACATTGGAAAAAGTGAAAAAGCAACACCCTCGGCATAATCAATAGACAAAAAATATATCAGCCTGCATTTATCTGCATATTTTACCTTTGCAAAAGTTTTGTTATGAAATAACAACCTTACTACTCTATCATGTGTAAAGATATGATGTCTCAATGATATGTTAGTCATGTATTAATTGTGAAACAAGGAATAAATGAAGAGAGAAGGTTGACCTCACTCACATAGGTCATCATCTCTCCTCCTCAAAGCGTCAAAGCGTAAGTTTTCCTTCTCCAGTTCCACGCTACATTTCCAAACAAGTCACAGGACAAATGCCTGATCCAAATATCCATGGGAAAAATTAACAGACTCAAAGAGCAAACTGACTCCGGGGTTTAAATCCCAATGAGCATTGCGCGTATCATATCGATGTTTTTTTGCAAACATGCAATTTTCAAATTCCCATTCTCCGATAAACAATCTATTTTCTAAGTAAATCTAATTCTCAAGCCGTCTTTCAAACGTTTACATCTCACTGCCATTGGTCCTGTCTTCCACCACGACAATAGAGTCTTGTACCTCAATGAAAGAATCAAAGTTTGTATCCTACTGAAAGAAAATTAAAGACATCAAATAAGAAGGGCTTGGATTGGGTTTACTCTTTTCTGTTGTTTGAACATTTCGCAATTGCACGAAATTATCTGTTGCTCAAAAGTTAGTCCAGCGTTATATTTACTGACAGTTTGAATTGGGTCTTTGCGCATATGTTCCCTACTTTATCTTTAAAATGCTCTTCATGGACGTGGAAAAAAGCAAGAAAACAAAGCAATTAAAGGTAGAAACGTTTTTCAAAGATTTCAGAAGACGTGTTTATCCTTCAGTTAAGGGAGAACAGTGTCCCCAAAATAGTTTAGCAGCTTGAGGAACTGCCGTTTACTGTAACAAATACAGATGTGATGGAATTTCATAGAAATTCAGCATAAGGACATAAATATGTACGCCCCGCCCCTCCAGACAGATTGGATGTTTCATTGGACGATATTCGATAGCATGGTACAGTAATAAATGACACCAACAGACAATCCACTTTGATTTGTTTCTCTGCCTTGGCAACGTATAACTTACTTGGAATAAATTTTAGCGCTAAAAATATTCTAATACTTACTACAACTTTTCCAGTTTTAGAAAAAAATTTGATAAATATTTTTCGGCAATTAGCACAATATCCATCGCTCCAAGAAATATATATTGTTTCACAGAGTTATGAGATTGCCTTCTGCACTCTCCAAGCAAACTTGGCGACCCTGCTTGGCACGTAAGTCAACTCCATTCGCTGTGATTATCTGTAAAAACGCAAGTAGACGGATGCAAAACTGATCTCAAATCACACTGTGTATCCTAGACAAATCTTCAACTGTATATCAAATCAATCTAAAAGCCATTATACACATCGTTTCAAATGGGAATTAGATTTTCTGTAGGATCCATTTTCAACTTATAATACAAATACTTGAAAGGTGGATGGTGCGACAAGATGATTCGTCAGAAACGCGTCAACGGATATGTAACATTACGGAGCAACAACACAAATTCATTACCAGTACTCGCCATAGGTATGTCTTATGTGAGTCATGCCTAACCTTGGGCCAGTTCCATCTAAAACTCATCCTACGTCACTCTCGATCCAGTCCTAGAGTCAATTTAGTCATAATCCCACTTTTTGTTTTCTCAGTCTTCTATCTGATGATCATACGACAACCTCAGCTTTATCTCAAAGTCAATCGCATCATGATCTCACATTAGCTCATCTCCCTATGTCTTTTCCCATCAAAATCTGGGAAAAATCATCTCTCATTCTATGGTGTCATCATTTCTTTGGTTGAAATCAACATAATCCTTTAAATAATCGCGTCATAACCCAATCTAACCTTACTCCCAGCAAAACCAGAGAGACAGTCTCCTTTACAGAACCATTGAAAAATCATCGAAGAATTAACCACGTTGGTTTGCATATCAAATTTTTGCAATACTAGCCACGCTTGTGAATCTAAGCGACTAATCACTAAATTTCAACACAGATAATTCTTTCTGGAGACGTCAATTCATTTTTAAGGGTCGCAGTGAACGCGATACATAACAGCAATCACGTACAAGGATCTTGTTCATGCCATTCAAATTTCTAAACATATATCTTCATGTTTGGTTCAAACATTTTCGATCCTGTTTTCGTCCTTCAAGAGCACAGAACGTCAAAGAACTGTGTGTCAAGCTAGGGCGCTAGGCGTCTCCTTCATAAAAACTACATTTGACCGTCTTCACTTAAAAGAGTTCTTTTTGTGGCAGTAAAAAGTTTGTTTCTGTCACAAGTAGAGTTGGCTTTTACTACTTCACTTTTTTCCACACAAAGTGTATGTTTAAAAGTTCATTTCACTCAAAAAGTTAGAGCAAATAGATTAACCCTCTGTCCGCTCGAATCGCTGTTCAAGACCAAATCCACCCCTTTTAGATGCGGTACGCATCAATTCTAAAGATACATTCGCAAAACAGACTCAGAACTGCCAAACAGCCACGCTCCTTAAATAGACTCACAATTCTCAGCTCCAGAAATCGAGCCGATACCATTGAAACCAATTCTGTGTGTAAGACATACCGCAAAAAGACAATGTTGATGTAAGGGTCAACGCCGTGAGAAAGTCTTAAAGGATTTTGGTTAGATCTAGCTCGTCTAGCTTGTTGAGATTATGCATGGAATTTTCGATCCAGTGGTCAACAATGAGACATCTCGCGTTACGTAAAGGAGACAGCGGCCAAAGTTAGCACCGAGTTGTTTTCCTACTAAACATGAGCTTTTCTGGTACTGCTCGACTTTCCTGAACGACCTTCTTAAATTAGAACAAGAATATACAGCTGCAAGAAACATCTTTGTAGCGGGAAATACTCAGGTCTTTTTGTCTAATTATGACTCCAAACTACAGAAGTAAGGTATTAAAGAAGACTTTTAAGATAATGCTAGTCAAGATGTGATTTAAGCAAAATTATTTCAAACTCAGCAGAATCTATTCCCTGTAAAAATAAACAACACTCTGCAAGGCTTTCTGGCCACTGGTTTCCAGCAACATTAAATAATAGCCACAATTTCAAAATGTCACACTGCTTATCTTTGCATAACAGTTTCTTGAAAAAGAACAAAGAGTCATTAAAATGGATTGAAACAGAGATAGACAATACATCTATTAAACATCATTTCATATTCATGCAACATTTTTTTCAACTACATTGTTTATAAAATCTATAACATATGTCTATAACAGTTCATAGCAAGACAATATCAATTTCGTTCAACAATTTAAAATATGGTGAATTGAATTATAAAAACATTATGAAATTTTTCAAACTCTTCTTATTGGTAAATCTTATAATTAATCTTATAAGTAGCTCTTTATCCAGTCTTTCACAGATTCAATGTCCTTTTCCACTTCACCTTTCATTTTGTTATCAAACTTTGGCAGTGCACTACAAAGACACAAGGTTATCATCAAAAATATTCTATGACTTCTTCTAATATTGTATTAATAACATAAGACCTTTCTAGAAATGAGCAGTCTGTTACTGATCTGAAATCAATCTAGCAAATTAACCTTTAACAACTTGCATAGAAAGAGAGTGTTTATTGTTAAAGACTAGTCAATCATGTTAGAGGCTACAGGGTATTAATTGGTCTATATAAAGCACCAAGCATGCATTTGATGCATAATAAATCAGCATCTGGTTATGGAACAGCCTTAGTCATTAGTTTTTATATTGGGGTCATTCATGTAGTTTGTATGCAGGACAGGAGGGGGCGGGGTTGGGTTCATCAAAAAGGGTGTGCATGCAAAAACTTTTTTAGATAGTGTTTTTTCGAAATAAGTTTTTAATCATCTGTTTAAAGTTACAAACGTGGGGTGTGGTGCAGATCATTTGTGTAATGTGGGCAAAAAATAGGGTACAAATTTGACACCACAGTTATGGTTATTTATTATAGACCTTAGTGTAAACATTCATGTATAATCTTTTGCATCTCTGTTTTCGTTACAAAAGCGTTCCTTCTTTGCAGTGTTGGCTTGTTCAATCCTCTATGTCATATGAAGTCATATGTACAGTCTATTTGGTAGATTGTCTATCTGCCATATTGTGAATGGGGGTGGGGGGGGGGGGGGGTGGTGTCAATTCAAAGAGTTTTTACACAAAGAGAGTGGGGATTGCCAGAGAAGTACAACTGCTTTCAAGGGAGGGGGAGGGGGGTGTAAAGTATCAACAATTGAGTACAGTAGAATCCCGTTTTAACATACTCGGTTATTACGTACTTTCGGATTTAACGTACTGGTGTGCTTGGTTTTAGTCAACTTTTATTTACCCTCGTTACAACGTACTTCGGATATAACGTACTTAACATGCTGGTCCCTTAAAGTACGTTATAACCGGATTATACTGTATGTACTATATGAATGACCCCAATTGAAAATCTAAGATTTGAATAAATACAGAATAATGTAGCCACAAAATGTGCTTCTCTTTGCCAATATTACGAAGAAGTTGTTTGTACTTCAAGATAATTCAATGCTTTTCATTTCTAAAATTTAGATGTCACATTCTTAAAAAAAAGTTTCAAGAATTGACTGAATTCCTCAGTTTTCCGATATCACTGGTAATCAATGAGTAAATATTACAGAAGGAAAACAAAGATTTAAACAATTTATAATGTTAGGCTACAAAAGTTTTAAAAAAGCAGAAAAATATTGTGCATGTAACTATTAAGAATAAGGTTACACAAAGAATGATTTCATCAATAATGCCATGATCTTTAAGACAGTTTTTGACAAAGAATGAATCTGGAGTAGCTTCTTACCTCCAAAATGCTGATGAAACAGTGTCCAAGAAGCTCCCTAAAATGAAAAATGAAGATGGTAGTTTTTTAGTGGGTTATGTTATTGAGATGAGAGGCCTGAAGGCCCGTAGCAAACCCCTTACAAGAGAAGGGAGAGTCAAAGAAAAGAGGGGGGTGATAACACATTTGTTTGTCTTAGTTTTGAAGATGACAGGCTATAAGCAAAAATAAAACAAGGAAGCAAGAGGAAATAAGAGGGTACTGTGATTCAAACTTTATGAGCTCTCGGACAACAAATAATGAGTTGTGGGACAGACTTTGTGAATTTTGCAAGGAGAATTAGAAAGGATGAGCATAGGGAGAGATAATAGTTTTTTCTGAGAGATCCAGGGATAATATCTCTGATCTCCTTGGAGCAATGCTTACGGCAGTATCTGTAAAGAATTGATAGGTCAGAAACAAAATGCCGCCAAGGAATTGGTGGGGACGCTCTAATCAATCTATTGGGGCATTTGAAGCTTTCAGCTAAAACCTATATAAATAGAATTTATTTTTTTAAGTGCAATATTTTTAATTATATTGATAAAATAGAGACAAATTTCAATATAATCTTGGTAAGGTCTTCGTTTTGGATATGCTTGTTAATAATAAAGTTCACAGAGGAAATATTTGCTGTTCCTTTTAACAGCATTTCACCACAAAAGTTGATAGGGCTTATAACTCAATGATGTATCCACAATGGTGCTGCCAGATCATCTGGGAAGATTCTGTTAACTTCAGAAAAAATGCCACCAGATTTTCATCTGAAATCAGCTTTGCTATATCAGATCTAGCCTAGGTATCCCAATGGAAGGAAATCGCAACTGGTAGCTACTTCAAATGCTGTTCATTGTGGCAAATGGCACATTCATCTTCTGAAAGTCAACATCTATTCAGTAAAAACTAAGAATTTCAAATTTGTTCCTTGTTAATAGTCCTTTTTATAGACAAACCATGTTGATAATAACCTAAAAGACACCAAAATAAGGAAAATGGACTGAACTATAATATGGTGTGCTTACCTGGTTTACAGAAGTTGTCACAGACATTTGAGCACAAATAACAATATTTGCAATACTAGAAAAGAAAAATTAATATTACATAAAAGGATTTTTGAAAGCAAAAAACATGGCAGACTTTAGTTATTTCTTTTCACAAAGAATACTTTAAAATATATGGTTATAAGACAAACATGCCACCAGAAAGAAAGAGGAAATCAGTTACCTTGCACATGTGACAATTTGGCTTCTTTTTGGATGTCTTGCAAGGGCAATCTTTGTCACAGAGTTTGCAGAACTACAAAATAATGTGTAATGAAAATAAACCAAAACTAGCCTAAGAACCATAGAGTTCTGAGCAATATAGCATTTGAATTACAAATTAGACAGCTTTGCAAACAGGTGTTGCTAAAGGATATAGGGATAGAACCTTGTCAATGCATGATTATCCTTAGGACATTAAGCTGGGTCGAGGTAGCTCATATATTTTTTATAACCCTCAGAAAACCTGCCTCAGAAAACAATACTTTTCAAGTAAAGAGCATAGAACAGATGCAAAAAGGGTATGGCCTAAAACATTCCCTGTGGGTTACACCCACTACCCCTACTCAGTAGAATCTGGTGCCTCCCCTGGTGCATCAGTATAATACTATTTACCTGTACTTTGGTCTTGGATGAAGTCACTGTGCACTTTGACCACAGTGCACACCTCAAATGAGGGTGTGGTCATTATCATTGTTGCATAAAGGGTGTGGTGCCAGTACATTTTTATCAAACTTAACTATTTAAATCTGAAAACTGCCAATGATGCACCAGCAAATTAAAGCTAAACTGGTTTTCGTAAACAGTTAAAGCAGCCAACCACAGGCTTATAAACTTGACTAATAAACAAATGACTTGCAAACATAAAGATCTTATATTTGCCACAGAAATTGACTATAAGTATTTGTATTTGTTTTTGTATTTGTTTCTATCCAGCATCCAAAGGTAGTTTTTGAGGAAACTGAGAAGCTTATGCTTATCAAGCAGGATCCTGGTCCTTCCTCTCGAAGTGACCACACCTTGTGATTCCTATGCCTGGAATTACAGAGAGCTGGCAACTCTCCTTACTCTAGGTGAAAGTTTGTCATGCCAGGGACTCAAACCATGGACCCTTGGGTCTGTAGTCAGCACCTCTAACAACTGAGCCATCCTCGCACCTTGCTTGGACCTTGCAAAAAAGATAAACATTTGACTGGCTTGCCCACCCAGAATAAAAGTTTCCAGCCTAGCAATGTTCTATATGGTTAAGAAGATTGTAAGCTGGTTCAGCACTTCACTTCTCTCTTTTCAAATAACCAAGTGCTAAATTTATCAGGAAATTGGTCTCTTTAGTCATCTTTCAGCAAAACCAGCATTGAATCTGGCCCCAGCGACCTCTCTATATAAAAATAAATGAGAGTACCTTGCAGTACTGGCAATAAACACAGACAGAGCCCTCTCCATAATTTTCCTCCTTTTGATCATCCCCAGTGTTCCCTTCATCCTCGTGGACTTTGGCATCCTCATCTGTGCTATGATTGTCGTCCTCTCCTTTAGAAGGGTTACGGTGCTTCTCTAAATCTTCATCTTCGTTTATTTCTTTTTCTACTTCATTATAGGTTTTTCCCTCCTTTTGCGTCTCCCCTTTGGGACTATCCAGATTGATAGATTGTGACCTGCTAGGATCGTCTTGGTCCTGTCCTTTGCATTCATGCATCAAATAAATCCCGAGAAGAACTAAAACAAAAAATCGATTTCTAATAACTTTCATCTTTATGCTTTTCTAATGTCTCTTATATTATTGATTTATTGAATAAAAGTCTGCGAAAAGCGCCAAGTTTTCTCGACACCTTTTGCAGAAAGAAAATTCAACGAAAGCCTCAGTCTGAAAAAGAGATCAAGTAATCACAACAACAACAGCAGAGTTGGGCTTGAGGTGCGAGGGGACGGTGTGAGGGGAGGAACTTTTATCCTTTTAGTCTAAAATTCCAAAAGAAGGAGATAATGGTAGTAATGGACCAAGGCGAGAGAAGGCGGAGCTCTTGTGGTAGAGGGGTATTGAAGTTTAAATCCTGGAAGCCTTTGCCTAGGCCAGGGAAAAGATTTTGCGAAAGCGGTGGTCAGCAAGTTAATAAAGACAAAAAAGAAGCACAACTACCACAAAATAATGCTCAGAAGACTCCCAATGTACAAGGTATGCAAAATAATTTGCCACAAAATGCAATATGCTCTTTTTTTAAGAAGGGTTATAGCAATACTTGCTAAAGATTCCAAATATTAACGCATATTACATTATTTTGTGTCTTATTTACTTTCCCAGCTAAACAAGGCCTGAAAATAGTACTAGCAAAGTATAGCTACAAAGCAAACCCAGAATGCCCAGGAGGATTTGAGGAGCTATCAATGAGTCAAGGAGAAAAATTCTATTTCTACTCTTTACATCCAAGTAACCCTCACTGGGCAAAAGCTGAAAATATGGAAGGAAGAGTTGGCTTTGTACCTACTAGTTATATTATGGTTAGTTGCTATATACAAATTTTTTTATCTTATTTGAAACTCTTTTTATTAGGTATACCATTTGGATGAAGCCAGTGTGAAATCTATGTAGCTTATGCCAGAGATATCTGCAATAGACTAATGATTGCCTTTCTTTTGTTTATTGGCTATAACTGGTATGAGCTTCACACGAATTCCAACCTGGGGATGAAGACAAAGGGCCATGGGTACAAAAAAAGTTTTTTCTAGTAGTAATTTGTTCATTATATATTTACTCAAAGTAAATATCAAACATTTTTTGTTAACCTATGACTAGTAATTCAGACTTTGATTTTTTGCTTTTTAGGACTTCAAATACTTTATGCATGTTTTTATTGAATGAAAAAAAGAATCCATTCATACAGAATCAAGCTTAGATCAGACATTTGTTTTTTTCATCATTAAGCAGATAAATTCCCATTTGCCCATTTGCAAGGCACATTGAGAATCTTATGCAGTGCTATGTAGCTCCAGCAACGTTGGTAACATTTCCCCCAGTATACGATGCCCCAGTTTACGGTCAAGCCCCAGTATAAGGATTGTCAATCAAAATTAAGTTCTAAAGTGCCGCCAAAGCCGTTTCTTTGCGTTGTTTTTGCAATGATAGATAGAAGTTATTTCAAGACACAACAGCTTCTTGGCCAATAGACACTCTGGCCGAGAATCCAGATCAAATCAAGAAAGAAGGTTTTGCTTTGATCTCTTCCCAAAGGACAAGAGTTTTTGGGGAAAAGGATTTTGAACAGCCAAATAGCAATTTGTCACATATAGATTTGATATTCAGACGGCTGCACTTAAAAACACCAGATTGATTGCAACTTCTAACTTCTATTTCATAAAAAAATCCCCAATCAATGCTTGTCATAAACAACGCAACATTTTAGTTTACATGTGTTCCTTTTCATTACACTGGTCAAGACTGGTTTGAATTAAATTCGATGGAGCTTGTTGAATCATTCTGTTTTGATGTAAATAAGTTGAAGGGATGAAGCTGGCTATATTTTGTTATTGCTAACGGTGAGCTATGCAAATGTCTTTCATGTAGGGCTGTTACTTGGTTGCTTGCTGAATGTCTACTGGCAGAGAAGCTGGTGTGACTTGAAATAACTTCTATCTATCATCGCAATAACAATGCAAAGAAACGGCTTTGGCGGCACTTTAGAACTTGATTTTGAATGACAATCCCCATACTGTGGCTTGACCATATATTGGGGGGCCCTATACTAGGGGAAACATTATCAATATGGTTGTGTAGCTCAGTAATGAAGCAGCTTTGTGCGTTATGATTAAATTAGTTCTATGACACTTGTAATATTAAACTGTTAACTGATTTTATTTGTTTTGCAGACATGATGTGACTGAATTATAATAATATGTAACAGCAAATACTTATTTTATTTTGTTTTTTTTATTTTTTTGTGTTTTTGTTACTACCCTAAATTTATGAAACCATCTTCATTGCTTTTCAATTAACTTCATTGTCCAGGAATTACAGTCAAAGCCATCACAACTTCCTTGGTTTGAGAATAAACGACTTGAGATAGAAGCTGAAGAGGAAAAACAGAAGAACCAACCTGGGCTCTTTGGTGTTCCAAATAATAAATCTATGCCACCAAAAAAATATGTTTCAGGTAGGTTGTTTGTATACTATTTTCTTCATATTGGGCACTCAGTAAGAATATAGAGTCTGTAAAAGGCTTTGGAGATTTTTGCAATCTTCTTTAAGAGTAACTACTTTAGTTCTTTTATTAAGATCCCTTTGAAAGTATATAGAAATTGTGTCTTCAATAATCTGTTTGCAATAAAAACTGATTATTTAGGGGAAATGTGCAGCTCTCAATGTTTTAGCTGTCAATGGCAGTATGATTGGCATAAAACCAAGGGATCAGTAAATTTGCAGAAAATGGTTTTATTAAGCAGGATCATAACCTTTCATCAAATGAAAGCTGATCATAACATATTTTAATGTTTTTGTTTTAGCTTATGATGCTCAATCAAGTGTAGAGGCATCTGACTTCAGCTGCGACCTCTGTGGCAAAGTTTTTAATGGTCCAAAGCCATATCGTCTACACATGTCCAGCAAGGCCCACAAAGAAGAAGTTGAAGCTCAGAATAGCAGGTAGCAAGAAAGAATGAAAATGCCTCAGACAGAGGTTAAGAACAATGTGCAGACTGTATATATATATATCCATTTTCTGACGTTTAATCACCAAGTTCTTCAACTGGAAAGAAAATCCTCAATATGTCTTGGTGTCATTTCGAAAAAACTGAACACTCCAAGAACAGGCTGAATGCCTTAAAAACACCCCAAGAACACCCTAACTAAGAACAAGCTATTAAGTGACTGAACACCCTTTAAAACAAATCAAAATTGGCATATCATTCGAAAAAAATTCGGTCAATCACTCAAAATTAATTTTGGGGCAGGAAAGGACGTTTAATGCTGTTAAAGTCTAATGCTGTTGGTGTTGTTACAACCAACTGATGTTTGGCGTGCCAAAAATGTGCACAGGCATTTATACAGGCAGAGCAAATTCGAGTTTGACTCCATTTGTGCATTCAAGCAATTTCCTGTTATTTTGAAAATCTTTCACATTCAGTGACAATAAATGTTGTTTAAATTGTTAAAATTAAACAGAGCTATGCCCCTAGTAAAAATACGACATGTCACTTGACTACCTATTGTCCTCCAAACAAATGTTCTTCCCATGTGCTAATTTGCCCAAAAGGTCACAACATAGAATAGAAATAGGCTGATTATTTATTTTCCAGAAAAAGTACAGTTAGCAGCTTATGTTCCCCATGACTGCTTGTGGCTGATTTTTAATTGGCTTACACAATAATGACTTTATGATGCATGCAAAACTGAAAATCCTGATCCCCTGTTTTAAAGCAACCATAGTTTGTATTATTTAATTGTTTTAAAGTGCATGACCTAATTTGGTTTTACTTGGTTTTGTATGAAGCAGTTTCTTGTTGCCTATTACTTTGTTTTGTTCTTGTTAGTTTATATCAAGCTTGTTTCTGGTTTGGTATAATTTGATTTTGGTATTAAGCTCAAACTGCTCTTTCTCTTGTAACAGTTGCCTTCTTGTCAATCTGTATCAAGATTATATCTTCTTTAGTTTGTTCCTCTATTATCATTCCTGAAAAATATCTACGTATGAAATTGAGTCTTCTAGTGAAGTTTTTCAATTAGGAGCCCTCCATAGGTAAGTACATTTCAGTAAGCTTCAAAAAGCTTTTTCACACAAGAACAAATTCAAGACTATTCCTAAATTAGGAGAGCACAACAGCTCATCCTTTCTCTCAGTTTTGTTTGTTTGTCAACTTATGTTGATTTGGCTTCCTTCTCGCTTTTATAAGAAACTACTTTAAATGGAATATTCAAGTGCACACTGGTAGATTACACACATGAATTTGCACACTTGCACACAAGTGCACACTGGAAGTGCACACTGGAAGTGCACACTGGAAGTGCACACTGGAAGTGCACACTGGAAGTGCACACTGGAAGTGCACACTGGAAGTGCACACTGGAAGTGCACACTGGTAGCACACACTAAAACTGTAAGTAGGCCCACTCCATTATTTTCAAGTCTTCTTAACGTTGGGATGTTTTCAGCTAATTTCATATTTTCAGGCAAGGCATTCGAAGTTTGTGGTCCTAGCATTAGAGCATTTTTGACTCAAAAATAACTTGTTTTGGCCAACCATTATTTTTTCATTTGGGCTCTGTGCTATTGCTGACCATGTTTTATGTTTTTTTATGAAAATGTCCTGCATAACCCTAAAAATTGATTTCTCCCATGTCAGCTTCTATGTCACAACACGGATATAACAGTTTTGTCCATTGATATAGCCAAACTATTTGAGGACGCACATCAAGAGCTTTCACTTATCTCCAAGTTGAATAGAATGAGGAAATTAAGTCCCAGTCCAAAAAAACACTGAATTTGTGGTTGAGAACCCCAATATCACTGAAGTATCAGAAGAAGAGGAATTAGAAGAAAACAAAGGCGAAGATTAACAAGTAAGAAGTAGAACGACAGCAGTAACAAAAAGTAAAGAGAAAGTTGTAAGAACGAACAAAAGTATGTTGTAATTTTTTTAGGTTATCTATATATTCCTTTTTGTTCTAAGTTTGGCAAAGACTACGAAAGAGTTAAAAGCGTGCTTTTCCAATCAAACAATGATATAAACAATGACTATCTACATCTAAAACAGTCTTTCGGTTTTGTAAAAAGGACTTTTAATCTTTTAAAAACTACGTCATAGATAATTAAAATTCTTAAACTTTTCAAAATGACACTGAAATAGCCACTTATTGATAATCTAAACTGCACAGTTATGTGTTATGTGTTAATTAATTGATAACGTTAAAGATTTCTAGTATTTTATAATTTTTGCAATTTATGGGTAAATATTGTCGTGCATGGGGAAGAACAACGTGCTTGTTTCCTTTCTGTTTAAGCTCTTCCCCGAAAGTCTACCATATGACGTAATGTATGTTAAAAGCATCCGTCAGTTGAACTGCCCTGGGCTGTTTTTAATGAATTTAGTCATTTGATGCTCAACTAGTCTTAAGAAAGATCTCCATTGGTTTATAATGCCATTTACCATCATTTACATTGAGTTATAATGGTCTTCTATTATCAAAATCGTTTTTAAAACAATCTTTTTTGTTTATTAAAAAACTTGGCTGCAACGCGTATTTACAAGCTAATACTACTGACCTAAATTGAATAAACCTTTATAAGGCAACTAAATTTAAACATTGGCTCTTAACATAAAATAATATAAGATATACAGTCTTTGGCTGGGTCTCATGAATAACTTTTGTCACTTTTTTTAAACCTTTTGTGAATGACCCGAATGTTTTCCGAGTCACCAGTTTGGCACATTATTTGTGAAAGGGATAGCCTGATTATTGTTTTTTAACATGGTACAAACGTTTTGTTAGCGAATTCTAATATTCCCATCTTTGATAAAAGTCCTTTCGAAAAATCTTTGTATTTCGCGTATGAAATGAGCTGGAGATTCGCTCTAAAGTCATTCAGTTGATACTTGTTTGACTACATGGGTGTTTCTACCTTCCCAGCTCTTTTTTCCATCATGGTGCCCTGGGACCATATAGGGCGTGTATCGCGGCCGCTCCGCACAGCATTTGCATGGCTCACTTTCATTACTGTAACCATTAGCCTTGTAAGATGAAAATGCTGATTTTGTTTCATCTTCGCGCAGCTTCTTCTTCATTTCAAGAAAATACTCTACGGCCGTCTGAATGTCGTACCCAGACTTCTCTGCTACGCTCTTGACAAGTTTACCGTCAAAGTCAGGGAACATTACCGAGAGAACTTCACCGCATTTGCTTCTGATGAATTCATCTCTTCTCCGTTTCTGCTCTGCGCTCGCTCTCTCTTGTTCCAAACTGGCTAATTTTGTATCTTCCTTCTTTACCCTGACGCCATCAACATTCTTTCTGTAATTTATGTCCTGATTATTTTCTTCGTTCATATTTCGATAGGTCGAGTTAGTATAATCAAATGCACTCATTCTATGACTATCCTGTCCTTTCACTGGACTAATTGCGGTATTCTTGTCACATTTCACTGTTTTGTTCTCAGGATCAACCCCCTCAACGTCGACCTCAACTTCAACTTCTTTTTCACATTCTGTCTCAATGGCTTTGATGTGTTTTTGCTCGTGCTCCAATTGTTCCTTTTTCTTTTCCTCTGAAATTAACTCTTCCTTCATATGTGATTCACCATAAGTGAATTTGTCAAACTTTTGCGCCTCAAAACTACTAACGTAGGACCTGTTTGTGGCCAGAAGCTGGTCTTCCATTCTGCGATCATTCGCCATTCCGTGGGGAACTTTTGATCGTGGAATCTCAGTGTAAAATCTCTTCGCGTGCTGCTGTTCGGGATAGCCTCGATCCTTCCACGGCATGCAACACTCACGAGTACAAGGTGACATCTTGCTTCGTGCCTGCATATCCCACGATCTAGGGTAGTAGTAGCTGCCATATTGTCTATGTGCAACATGATCTGAATAGCCAGGCAACCTTACTGCAGGGGTCTTGTAAGGTCGTCCTGTTGGAGGAACCAAAATGAACTTAGGTATGCATTAGCGTCAGAGAATTGGCCTATCTATGAAGCAAAGTTCACGCGGGTAGTACCAACAGGGCCTCCAACCTTTTTGGCAAAAATAGAGCTATTCAAAATCTTTTGTTATGGGCGTTAAATCTTCCCTTGGCCCCCTCCACTTTCAAACCTGTGTCGGGGCCCATTGCCGAGATATATAGACTCCGAATGCTCATGTCTTTATGTTCACATTCGTGAACAGAGAAAGCGTTATCTCGCCTGGGTCCCCTTGAAGAGGAGGTTGAGAAAAATGTTTCTGATATTGATGAATGTTAATTATCAGGGCGTGCGTTGATTGTGCTCTAAAACAGGGCGCGGCCTTGAGTTTCCAGACCAAGGCGAGCACCCACTTCAATACAACAAGGCCCACTATAACCCCAACGTCGGTAGGAACCAGCTTAATTGGTTTTTTTAATTGTTTTGCTGTTTATTTAGTTACTATAGATAGATTGTAATACTATGGGTCGTATGAAGTGTGCCAGGTTTGATGGGACCAACATTTGATACAGTCTTATTGACATCCTTTGCATTTAACATCTAATGGCACATCTGCTAACGCCGTTGATGGAAGCGTGGCACTTCACTTTCCGCGTGTGACCACACTGTTAGGGAATTACAATTTTGAATGCTAAACAAATGATTGCATTTTTTGAATAACTCCAGTCAATTGCCTTTTATTATTTAGAATTGAAAACAACGAAACTTGCGCACTGTATTACACCACAAGTTCTGATAATTGTACCTGTTATGGACGAGACTTTCTTCAATGGGTAATTTTCCTGAGAATGTTTTCATAGATAATCAAATTTGCTGGCAAAAATACGTCCCTATTCAACTGTCTTAATGCAGCGTGTTTGAAATAAGTAATAGTGTTGCTGTCAATCATTACGGCTCTTTTGATGTTTTTGAATATTCGATATGTTGTTTGATTTTCGTTAAGAGTAACCCTCCACTCCAGACGAGCCTACAGGTCAATGGTAATCTGAGGCTCCTTTTGCCAATACGAAAACCTGTCAACCATTATCGTAAACTAATTAAGCATGGACGACAAGCCCCGAACAAGATATATACACCAGGTCACCCATTAATTCCTATGGTTTTAACTGGTTCTCTCTTAGCTGTTTTATATCAATAAAGATGAATTACATTAGTACAACCTCTAAAGTCAATGAAGCAGGGACCGCGCACCAGTCTAAAAGTGGAGGGGCTGAAATGGGTGTGACCTAAAAAATTGAGGCCACGCCCTCTAGAACGCCGGAAAAGGCCTCTTTTAGAAAATAATTGCTTATTTCTTCTTAATCTTTTTAAACAACCTTGTTCAGAAAAGATATCAATAACTTTAAAAATATATAAAATTATCTTGAGGGTAATAAAACATCAAGCTAACCAAGATAGAAAGTACATCATATCATTAAACAAGATAAAACACCTAGAAAATGAACAAAAAAGGTTTCCAGTCAAGAAGAACTGCTACTTCATAGGAGTAAACTATCCAAAGTTGCGTTAGAGTGAATTTTCCAAAAAAATGTCTACCCTATTATTGCAAAAAAGTGGGGAGGGGGGCTATAGCCCTTGCTAGCCCAATGGCTACGCGTTGCCTGCAATGAAGATAGGCTTTGTACGATATTAAGCTTAGCTGTAGCGAGTTTTCAGCTACCTATCCATCTTGTTTCTCCTACGTCATCTCTTCTCCTCTTCATTCCCACCGTTTACAGACTTAGACTTAGGAGATGTGAATTTTCTTGTTTTTTTTATTTTACTTGAGATCCTAGTATGGACATTATTCTTATGATCCTGCTATAAGAAGTTGAAATATTAACACCCAGGAAGACACCTTTAATACAGTTTAATGTGCTCCCCTATGATTACCCTTACGCTTGAAAAGTTAGATGATATACAGTACGCAGGTGATACATACCATTTTCGAACTCGTAGTCAAAGGAGTACGCTCGGCGTTTCGCTCGTTGATCATCAGGCTGATCAACATATCTCGAAAGTACGAACTCTTCCTCGTCAGTAAGCGGCGCGTAATTAGAATAGTAGCCGTTGTTTCGCTGTTTGTCTATTTTACGCTGATGGCGTAAATGTGCAACTCTTGTTGCAGTAATCTTTTGTCGTTCCACGACCAACAAACACGATCTGCATCGGCAATCTTTGAACTGGCACTTCTCCTTATGGCCTTTCAATTCGCAGTTGATTCCATGGCAACGGCATCTAGCGCATTTTGGCACCCTATGCGACAGCCCCGAATCAGACATGGCATCTGTGTTCGTCTCGCTTGACACCGGACTAGTTTGCATCCCTTCAAAAATGAAACAGATAATTATGTTAAGTCATAACTCAGTTTCTGTTGCTAGAAATGCCAACTTGAATTCTGATTCTTTAGGTTATCTTAAAAATTTTGCCCTGCGTTTATTTCCCTTACAGGTATCAACTTTTTGTGATCCCGCGCCTGTATTTCAGCGCTTTGAAAGACTAGCAATGATCACAAGGCAAAATATGATCGCTTCGCTATATTTACTTCGCGTTATTCCATCAATGGTTGCCATTACAAACAAGTATTTGGATAGGTAACAGTTGTGGTACCACAGTTTGAAAACATCTAACATCCATGAAAACATCTAACATCCATGTTTAGAAGATAAAAAAAGCACGTTATTTCTGCTTTATAGAGATCATGCTGATATTTGTTGCACGATTTCTGCTAAAAGTGAATACTCGTGATAAACTAATACTCAATAGAGAAACTGTAGCTATCTCTTCATAATCAAGAAATTTGACTTGAAGGGACCAGAGGACTGCTACAGTTCCAATAAAGAAATACACGCCTGTTTACTTTCTACGCCTTCATTACGAGTTATGAAATGCTCCGAGAGACAATGACAGCAGTTCTTGTTTTCAAGCTAAATATAATTCTATTTGGACAAGATGGATCCTCAAACTTCTATATGTCATTCAACGTTTTTATAACATTTTTACGATTGATGTTTTTGTAGTTTAAACCCTTATGGAGTAATTTGTAGATTCTCAATTCTGAACAACTTACAGCAGCTACCTAGTCGATCAATGTTTCATATACACAAATGTCCTACTAATACTACATAATGCCAATTTACACTCTCTTATCGCTTGAAGATAAGCTATCAAAGAGGAAATCTATGATGCCTTCCAAACAAAAGTCTTGGTACACTAACATCAGTTTTCAAGGACAAATTCAGCCATTACTCTCCCCCCTTTGAGAAATGTTGGTTTACTTCAAAACGACGTAAGGGATAAGGAAGTACGTTTTATCTGCAACTTCTATTTTCTAGATTATCAACACTGTTGAGGGAGGTAGAGGAGGAGGGGGGAGGGTGAGGAAGTATGAACATTCGTGAAAAGAGTTGAAGAACATAAGAACGCAGCGCAAATTGCTTGATGTGCCAATTATCTTTGGCAATGATTGAAGAGACTTTAAAGATTGATAGCGCCAGATTGTTGTCGACGGCAAGACAATTTGTCATAAGCTAAACGAATTCAGTGACGTCATTATGATGATAATATTTGCATTGGTAGCGCTGTTTGTAACTTGTCATGACCTAGATGAAGTTTAATGTTCTTCCTTTTTTAAGAATTAACGATAAACTTTTATGAAAAATGGAGTTCTTGCTGTGCGGTTGGTAATACCATAGCGAAATAACTATCCATCTTGTTCTGTTGCTATTTCGTTGTAGAGTCAATTACGCATCAAAACTTACATTTCATTTTGCAGCATTTCTTATACAATCAATTCGGCTTCTTTCAATCCTAAATGGATTGCTCTGGACATATTTCAGAATATATGGATAGATTTAAGGTTTCAAAATTCAATTCAAAATGAGCTTTGTTAAAGTTTGTATGTATATCATAAAGCTACCAAGAAAAGACAACATATTTATCAATGCATTTTTCTAAAGGTTAGAATTTAACGGTTTTCGTCTATTGAAATTTTGCCTTTAAAAATTACTGGGATTCGTTTGCCTATCGCTTGTAAGTGGTATAAATAATTGAAGAAGGAAATGATTCAATTTGGCCATATATTCAAGTACTGAAGAATGTCAGACAAAATACATTTTGCTTTTGAGCACTTGATCAATTCAGCACCTTGCATCTAACCTGTAATCCTTATTAAGGAGACATGTGTGTTTAAATCAACTGAAACAAGTTTACGCTGGTATGTGATTTTGATAATAGCACCTTAAAAGTGAAATGTTGCTTATTGATTTCAGTAGGTCAAACCAGTCAGCATACATGGCCTTTTCATTTATGCTCAGTCATGCGCTAACATTTCAATCGGCAACAATTCGTAGTTATGATCCAAAGCTACCGGTAATTTTTTATTGGTGGCACTAAATCTCAAGCTGCAACGCTTATGTTCTACCCAACTGCCGACGAGGTACCAAACTGTCGAAAGAGTGTAATCAAATGAAGTTGCACTCATCTACAACCTTTCTGGGGAATGTACTCTAAAGAAAAATGTTGTACCTGTCTTCTCCAAGATTGCTAATGGATGAATGCTTTTACTTTTCTAATTTGCCAATTCAGAAGGCAAACGTTTGAGTAGAGATCCATTAAGCACCGAAACTATTAGTGGAGCGGAAACCAAAGAGATTAGCTACTGACAGACGACTAACTGAAATCTTGTGGACTTAAGCTCTCTTTGCTCCTGTACCGCCTTTCCTAAATTTTTTGGGAGTGCATGCTTACCACACTAGCCTTTTCACAACGAAATTGAAAATTGTGCAAAATCCATTTTCAACAAAGAAAACGTTTAGATTGGTATTTTCCCTTCATGCTCTTGAGAACGCAAGAGTTCCCCATGCTTGTATTTCTTAGGCAACAATTATGGTGTTTCCGCGAAACGTGCTCTGTTTGAGATATAATTGCTGATAAAGTCCGATAGGCTATTGAATGATATGCTTGAAAAAATCTTAATGGTCATTACCCAAGTTATGCTATGACGTGCATCCAAATATATCATAGCTACTCTCATGTGATTTCTAAATGGAACGTGCATGTTTACAATGTGCCGTAATAATCAAGCATTTACATTTTGGTCATGCAATGCTTGTCGTCAATTTTTGAATTCTAAATTTTCCATAGTCAATCTTTATCAAAGATGCAGCTAATTCTTTTTGAACTTACAGATAGATTCATCAATTATCAAATTGGGTTGTTTGGACATTAATGTAATCGAAACACTTGAAGTGTTTTACATTGATCATCCAAACACATTAAAATTTGTCTCCTTTAATGCATACCGATTGAAAAAGAAATAAAGGCACTCTTTCTTTCAAAGTATAGACTACTAAACAATCTTACTTCTCTACTCGGTTCTTTGTCATAGTTCAAGATCATAAACAAGTTCTATAACGTCTAGACAAAAACGCAGGTAAAAGTGGCTGGTTTTAAAGAAAAATGAAAAACAGTTTTCTCTAATGTTAAACCCTCATATCGTCATAGGCTCTCCTGTATCTATTCCTTAAAGTGTAAATAGGCCATTTTCAGCTTACATTATAAATAAATTCTTCCGATTTACGTTTCTTGACTATCACTGTGTTGATAGAGAATAGGGAGTTCCTTAACAATCACCGAGGATGATTTTGGGGACACTCATGCATGAAGTTGGTTTATTTAGCAAAAACTGTGATAACCCTCCACGGGCAAGGAGCAGTAATGCAACTTTCATAAATCGAGTGGGCCGTTTCACCAACTTGTAATTAGCAAGAGAGATAGTGATGCTTTATCTCTGAGACTCAATGAATACTACAAAGCACCACCAGTGACATTTTGCTACAAGCATGCCGCTCCTATAGGTGGCAATGATAACATAAATGAAGTCATAGAGTTGCAAACAGGTGAAATATAGGCCACCATTTCAACTGGAGTAATGATAATTTTTCCCATGGATATCATTGGCAGATAAGCTTGTACTTGCTCTGCACGAAGACAGGCTGTGGGCAATCATGCCATGGCTTATCTCTTTGATTAACAGAAACTGTATGTAATAATCTCAAAATCCGATTTTAAAAACGCTAGTGTTTTTTTGCTGGAAACTGACGATGAATTCTTTAAACTCTTAAGCTGACAGCAATACAATTATAACGTGTAAGCCTTTTTTGTAGAAATAAATGCCTGTTTTATTGGACGTCGATACCCTTACAATGAAAGACAAAGCACCTTGCTTTCTAATGAGTGAACATTGTAACAAAGTAGATGAAAATGACTTTGTCTTGCTTGACCTGATGTAAAACCGTAATTTTAAGCTAAGTATATGCTGATTTAAAACGTAAATCAGATTAAATCTTGTTATCTCTCTACCTAATCAATGTTCTTTTATGTGGATGACTTCTTACGGGATTACAATTGAGATGTTGCGTGTGTTCAGTGCCTAGAAACAGCCTTATGTTTTAGACGGTAATTGAAAAACACTAAAAACACGAATGCAGTCAAACGCACAAGAGATGTGCACAGATGTTTGTTTACTGGTTGGTGGAGTAAGTGTCGTCCTTCTTAATTTTCTATTATGTTCACTTATCGGCAATTTCTAAACTGAGCCAAAATTGAACGACTTGCAAGCTTGAACATTGAAATGGGTATTCTTTCACATCCAGTAAATATCTGATAACGGGTATTACATATCTAGATGCTTTTAAGCCGTTTCTTATAATCATTACTTCACACCCTTGTTTGTTTTCTACTTAGCTCTTAGCAAAATTAACATTTCACTGCTTTTTCGTGTTGCTAGCTTGAGGCTTTGCGATGAAGTACCCGCAAGTGATGGTTGTTTAATGCACCGATAAGATAATGGTAGCAAGATAATGTCAACAGAAGTAAATTGAGTTGAAGCCTCGAGAATAAAGAAACGAAGATTCTGAAGGTTTTAAATTGTACGCTATACACGAGTACCGCATATTGACACATCTTGATTGTTTTCAAACCGCTGTTTCATAGGGAAGATTATGGTATCAATCGAAGACATATATATTCGTTTCAAATGTTTTTTAAGCAACTGACTCATTCTTATACAGACAACTTGATTCACGTTACCTGTAGTAGCAACGTATTGAAACCTGACTATGTGTATGATGTAAGGCAAAACACCGAAATAACCATCACAAAATTCTGAAAACTGGATCAATTTTTCCAGCTAAATATGAATATACATGAACAATTGATCACTAAGAGTTTTCCTTAAGCACGCGCTTATTTACTATCTTAGCAAGCTACATCAATAGAGCCTGAATAAACGTATAGCTTGAGCCACAGAAAATGTGTTTCAAACAATATTATGAAACTCACTTCAAAGTGGCACTTAGTAATTGTTATTGACTTGACAGTTGCAAAGCATTTAACAGACAACAATGATCAACCAATGCAACTTCTTTCATTCTTCAGTTCTGTTCTCTACTCACTTTTATGGTCTTCTTTTTAATCACTAGCAATTAGCATGCATCTTTGGCAGTTAAGGTTCTAATTCTTCCAATATACAATTTATACGCTCGGTAGTTTCATAAACAAACAATTCGCTTGCATGTTTTGGCTGTTATGTGCTACTTTCTCTGATACATTTTTATGCGCTTGTTTCATCTGATACATTACTTTTCTCATGTTCTCTTTAGTACCTAAGAATTGATTGTTGAAGTTTCTAATAGCTACTAATCAACAACAGAAGAACTTCGTGACGTGCGTTCTTTTTTGAAAATATCCTTCATATTAGTTAAATCTTGTTTGGCATCAATCAGCTGAGCATCTTCTTTTCACTTGGACGGGTTTGTTGCGTACAATAACTTAAAACTGATCATATTCTTAAAATGAGACGAAATACAGTATTTATAATATATATCTTCTTTTGTTATAGTTCAGTTGAAAAGATGCAAGCTTAGCCTCTCTGGTGCCTTTAAGATATGATGACAAGGTATTTCCCTTGTTTGTGGAGTTGTAGTGACTGTTGTTTTAAAAATTTGATCAAATTTGGAACAAAATAAAATTGAAACTATCTGCTGAAATCATAATAAGAATTACCATTGCTTAAACAGTTTTCTACAATCGATCTAAAATGCAAAGCGAAAAATCACTCTATGGAAATTTTGTAACCTCTTGTTGCAATCCTTTTGCTTCATCTCAAATTGTCTCAGGATTTCTTTGGATCTGATCAAAATTTCTAAGCGAATTACTAGCAAAGATTGCTTTATCTGCTCACAGCCCTTCCCTATAATGTACTCGGATGCTGTATAAGATCTGCATCATAATTTTCAACAACAGAATAACTGAAATAGAGAATATCATAGAATTGATTTTTAAAAAATTAGCACAGTGTTCAGGAGGAAAACTAGGTGAAATAGCGGAACTAAAATCTGCAATCGAAACTTGAAATAATTGTATCTGAGTATTGCAAATGCCTCACAGTTCAACCCTTTACTTTTGGCTACTTCTTGGGCAACATTTATGATCTGCTGTTATACTGGAATAAACGGTTTCCATTAAAAAGAACAAATTTGGCTTCTTGTATTTTTCTCCTGTTTTTTAACTAAACGAAAAGAAAGTATTCTTCAAGCGATGGAATTGCCAGCTATCATGCAACAGAAGGAAGTCGAATGTTCTAAAATGATCTTTCATTATGTGTCTGCATCAATATAAGTAGCTTAACTGTTAAGACTAAGATTTTACACACCAACAGCGCAAAAGCAATATATGAATTGTCGAACGTAGTAACTACAGGCGAATTCAAAACACGCAGTGAAGAATATGTAATAGACAAGTACACGAAAAGAGTAACGTGAATTCCCAAAAGGCCAGAAGGGACCAGAAGGTATAAGTGCTGCCCATTCTCAATCAGACATCCCGTTACGGGTCATCACGGCATTGTTACAAGCCGGTTATCAGACGATAAATACAGCCGGTATTCTAGACGTTTTCACTGTAATGCACGCAAAGTTCTGCTATCAATATCTCTACAAAAATTTCCCATAATTGAAACAAATTTTATACCATTGGCACACACGCTGCACCATCTTTGCGTAAGAGACCTTAACGAGTTGATTTTCTATAATACCTGTGGCCGGTGAATACTTAAACAGTTACAAACAACACTTAAAAAAATCAACATTTCAGTAATGCTGGAAGGAATTATTTGAAAAAATCTCACCTGTCATTATAACAGCTAAACTTTACCGGGCGGCAACCTTAATGGGTGAAATTTGGCACTTTTGATGTGTGATTTGTCAGTGTAATGCTTAGCTTGCGCGGTCGCCCTCGTAGTAGCCCGAAAATTGTATTACAGTATCTTACATATTGCTGTTAAGGGTTCAAATTTCCTTATGAATTTTTTATCAATGCAAGTACCCGTTAGATATTCCCTTGGATTCGTTGAACTCTTTGATAGCTAATCAGGTGTTTCATTTTAGCGTTTTTACTGCTTGTGGATAGCGGCCTCGCTTCCATGTACAGTAACGTTAAACTAACCATGCTTGTAACAAGACAGTAACAGACCTGTGACAGGTGAAGGTCAAAACCTCCGTTTCACAACCAAAGCCGGAATATTTTCAAAATAGAAAATAAACACGAATCACCCTTCTTAGATTTTTCACTAATGATACCCTATGATAACTTGGCAAACTAGTCATTCATAACCTAGTTCGATGTAAACATCAAACAATTTTCATATGGAAATGAAATGGCACTGGTTATGGTTAAAATTTGGCCATGTTTCTAGAACAAAATCATGTGTCTAAAAAATGCTTACCAAAGATTTGTTTATACTTTTAATGACATCTATAGTGTAATTAGTGGGTCTACTTTCAGGATATATTGTCTGATAGGAAATCGTTTATGTAAGTATTTTTGAAGTATGCCAGTTGAGTCATCTCAGCTGGCGCTGCCAAAAAGGAGGGAATTTTTGTACAACTCGTTGTTTGAGGCGATAACACAGATCATGTTTTTCAATTGGATTCTGTGGATATATGGAATGCTGCTTTTGATTTCTTTCGAACATCTAACTCATGCCATTAACTGTCCCAGGTGGCTGCACTGCACATGTGCCTTGTTGTCAATCAAATTGTAAATGGAAGTTCTGCATGGTTTAGCATCTGTTGTAACGCCAGTTTGGCTTTGCTTGACTTCCTTGTCTCATTTGGCGGCGACACAAGATTTGTTATGGCCTTAAACGAAGTGAAGCAGGGATGCTACAAAGTAAGCAGCAACACGAGGGTTATGAGGCTAAATGCTTCGACCACAACCTTTAGACTTGCTGAAAATGCAATCCATGACATACTCCAGCAATATCTTATTTCATGTCGTGAAAAACATCATTTACTTTTTTCAGAACAGAAATATGTAAGTCAATGAAGTCAGAATGTAGTGGCAAAATGCATTTTTGACATTCTAACCGCTGTCCCTTTTGAAGCCAAAGAAAAGCTTTTTGGTCTATGCTTACACGTTAAACATTCATGCTTTAAAAGTCAGTTTGATTGTAAGTCAAAATCTATTGAACTCTAATTTTTCAATAACAAATGCCAGATAGAAATTTTTCCCTCTAACCATTTTGGTCTAACAGTGTCTGTAATTACCTTTCTGAACAAATTTTTGGTGGTATAAAACTTGAAGGCTTTGAGAAAGCAAACATTTTAAGGCATACTAATAGCTTTTAACCCTTATAAACTCTTTAGCGCATAAAACGTCAGAATAAAAGTCCAAAAGAACAAGATGGAAAATATATACCCAGTTGTGGATCTAAATATTTTCAATCTTTTGTTTTGGACCGTTATCCTGACGTTTTTAACTCTGAGGAGTGTAAGACGAAAAAGCTTTTAGTAGGTTGTAAAATAATTGATTTTTTTTCAAAGCCGTTCTCAAATAATTCAAATCAACCTAGTGCATAATCAGCACAACGTAAACTTTTTTTTGTAAGCTTACTGGAGTAAACTTTATAATCTTATTCTCATATCCAATCTTATGACCTCTGAAGTCTGAGCCTCTGGAAGGCTTGCAGAATTTTGAAGTTTCAGAATTGCTCAAATAAAATGTCCCCCAAATTCTTATCTCGGCACCACTTTGTCTCATATAACGTCATTGCTGAACAGACTTTTTCTTAAAAATGTCATGATACCATTGCATTAAAGAACAATTAGTACATCGTGTCATGGTGCACTTGGCTCATCGTGACATGGTACATCGGCTTAAACTTCTATAGCTTTAAAGATCAAAACCAATCTGTGACACAATATGAAAAATAGTACAGTCTATTCTCTATAAATACGCTACGAAGTTAGTTCTTATCAAGCATGCAAATTTCAGAATTGACTCGAAAAAATCTAAAGTATCGCCAAGAAGGCCAAAAACTGATCGTAAGCTTATTTTCTTATTCGGTTCGTGTTAAATAAAAAGCCTGACAGTACTATCTAAAGCTATTTGATTATTATTTCATCAAAATTGGACTTAACAACAAACAATAACAAAAATGAAGTAAAAAAAATTGAACCAACTAGAACATCAATAGAGCAATTTCCAAGTTAAAAAGCGAAAGGATCTTTCTATGAGAATCCTCGCGGAATCTCTGCTCATTTATGACACTGAAAGAGCTTGTACCTTTACTCTGTAAAGAGGTCTTAAATAGTCTGACTTTTTAATATTTTTGAATTGCCATACTTCAGAACTTTGAACTGTCTTGAGTTGTAGACCAAATATGTGTACAGTCAGTGGCGGCGCCAGCTGTTACAGGGTGGGAGGGTAATGGGCGTGGTCAGTGTGACCATGCCCTTTTTGCCTCTTTCCAGTAATTCGTCCCTTACCCAGCGCTTTTTAATCTATTTTTAGAAGAAATATATAGACCATATTTTCAGAAAAGTGGGGAGGTAATTACCCCCCCCCACCCATACCACCCCTTGGCGCCGCCACTGTGTACAGTCCTGCTTATACAGCATCGAGGACTTTGTCGCAGAGCGGAAAATATTAATATTCATAAGTTTGGAACTGATATATAACAGGGGCTCAAATTTTTCGATCCAGTTCTTTCCAAAAGCTTAGACATTGAAATAAATTTTTGCATTAAAAAATCATCGTACCTGGTTGTTCTTAACAGAGACACTGTTTTGCGAATCAATCATTGCTGGCGGCACAAAAATAGGACTGGTCCAAGAACAAATCCCTGAGAAACACCTGCTGAGACGCTCTCATGACGTTGCTTTGCCATTTGAAACATTACGCCAAAGCTTTCCAAAGGGAAAATCTTTGATGAGAAAGACAAAAGGCGATAAAAGACACATTTATTTAATTTTAGCAGGAGATTTCATGACAAAACTTTGGATTTTAAACGTTAACCTTGGTTTGAAGTATCTACGCATCTTATAAATGAAATTTTGCTTAGTCTTCCAAATTTTTTATTAAAACGAATTAATTAGAGGGACAAGCTACTTTTAGCAAATTGTTTTAAATTATTTTTATTTGTTCCATACTACAAATCTTCCTTCAATTATCTTATCCTTGATTACTCGAATTGAATTGCTTGTTTGCTTGTGAGAATTCATTTCAAATTAGACACTTGCTAAACATAAATATTGCTTACAAAATGTTTGACCATTTTGCGTCTTTGTGGCTATACCTGTTGTTTGTAACTTGTTACAAGAGTTTCACAAACATACTGTTTTCTCAATTTCATGCTTTTCATGAACTCGCTTTTCATTTTCATTTCATTTTCATCGAAATTTTGAAAACGGATTGTTCTTAATTTGTTCTTAAATTATCAGGGTGTAAGCAGTAAAAATGAACTCTGGGGTGTATTCAGGCCTCATTGACAAAAAAAGGGAGCAAGATCTTAACTTTTGACCAATTCTTATCGTATTCTTGAGGCTCGTATTCTCTTATAAAAAAGAGTGTTTATATCTCAAAAATCTAGCGAGCAAGGCAACAGCATCTTTAGGCCTAGCTAGCAAAAATATCCAGCCCTTTCATCATCATCTTGTCTTCTCCGAACAACATTTTTAAAATATTTGCAGAAATTATATCTAGCCGTTCTTCCAGTGAGCATGTATTAAAGTTAAGCAATTTGTATGTGGTTACGATGAACATCAATTTACCTTGAAAGTCCTTTGTCGTCTTATTAGACAAAACAAATCGTCTTAAAAGACATATTAAAAATAGAGATTATTTTCTTCATTTTCTTTATCACAATTATTGACTAGAAATGACGGAACTGTTTTCCATTTTGTGTTCTTTGCTTTCTTCCAACGGACACAAAGTTTGCGACAGCCTCATTCCTATTCAGCACATCGCCAAGGTGGGAAACATCCACACATTCTTTTTTGTCCATTGACAGTGCGCATTTCGGCAGCTTACATTACCGACTTTTTAATCATGATATATAAGAATTTTTTAATGTTTTGTGTATACAGATTTTACAATTCGACTTGAAAATAAAATATGTTTCTAGTTTTCACAGCAAGGTAATGAATTTATATAAAATGTTATGAAATAAGACCATAACTGTTTATGAAGTTTCTTTTATCAATTAAACTCTTCAATTAAACTCTAGTGACACTGAATTGTGAAACAAGTAGTAGCTTCCAATTGCAGCGTAAAGGAAGGATCACCAAATTTTGTCAAAAAGCAGTCATTTCATTAAAAATGTTTTCTTACTTAAAATTAAAAGTGCAGACATCCGTGACTAGGAGGATATAGCATTTAACTATTACAAAAAGAAACTTCTTGTAATGCAGAAATGCAAATTTCCTCAGGGCACCATATCACCTCCAGTGTCATTGGCGCTGCATCTATTACACTGAGCAATTCTTCAAAGCTGAAGAATGAAATGTGAATGACAGCTTGAGTGTTTAGATTTGAAAGTGGCCTAACCCCACTATGATTTTTTGTCGTTTTAATATCCAGAATTTGCAGTCCAGAATTTGTTGCGTTGTGTTGTGCATCCAGTAGTTGTGTTGCTTAACTTAACAAAATAGCAGGATCCTTTCAGTGCGGCAGTGAGCGTTGTTAATAGAATAGTTAACAGGCACTATGATTACTTTACTCTCTTCTTTTGTAAGTTCTACCACATCTACAATGCATATTGATAGTTATTTTCATTTATGAAGCTCTATTGCCTCAAGTAGTAAGATATGAGTCACCTTACTTGCAGCTCAGTCAACACTAAGCACAAATGTTCCTGTAAGACAACCTTGAGAAACAGTACATTGACTATTTCTTTTTATCTGGCAATATCGTTTTATTTTAAGAGTCTGATTCAATTGTTCGAGATTATTGCTTCAAAAGTGTTGATAAGTTATAAACCAATGAAATATGAGTCATAGGGGTTGACACAGGATGACCTTGACATTAACAGCTTGTTATCAACCGCATCACTGAAAAGGAATTGAGTATTGTCTTGAAAAGGCTCTTGTTAATTGTAAATGAGTACAGTGACGTATCAAGATATCTTCATTTACTACTATCCGTTCACTAGGTCAACGGATGTAGCTTTTGGTTACCCACAAAATGAGAGCAATTGTTATTGACTAGGCAACACTTGATTTTACAAGGCAATGGTGCTAAAACAAAAGTTCCCCAAATGTTTCACAATGAAGTTAATATTTCAGTAGCATTGACTGGTCATATGTAATATTTCCTGCAGAGAGGGTTTTGTTAAGAGCGAAACGCCTTTCAGATGACACATGGCTTTATTATAGCAAGTTTTAATGACACCAGCTATGGCCTTGCTGGGTCACAACTGTATAACAAAACGCCAGTTGATACGATTATAAATTGCGGTCACGACTAATAGTTCAACGAATAATTGCAAAATACTGCCTTGATGAGTCTACATTGTTTGGTTCTGTAATGAGGGTTCGCATAGCCTACAACAGCTGGCTTTCACCAGCTTCATTCAATCAACTTCAAACAATTAATTTCAAATAGTTCACCTCACATCTAACAAGCGATTATGTGCCTTAGGTTTACTAGATGTGTTATTCTTTTACATTTGCGACAACCCGCTACCAGTCACCTTACAGATTTGGCTGCACTGTATTCTAGATTTTTGTACTAATTCGGGAGTTTGAGATGAATTTTCTTTACCGATAACCAGGGGCGTCACTTCATACATTTTGTTGGAGTGGGGGGGGGGGTGGCTGCATATTTGCATATTTGGAAATGTTAGGAACTGGCCCTCAGTTCCTGTAACACTAAAATACTTCTTAAGGAAAGTTGTTTCCGCTTAGGTCCTTGCTCAGTGTGTCCACAAGTTCACCGATGTGTTTGCCTAACCTTAGGGAGACGAGCAAGAGAAAGTTTTTTAACGAGTGAAGCAACCCTCTATCCTGGATTCAAAGAGCATACGCTTTTTGTTTACAACACACTTTCGATATACACTCTAGCATTTCACAGGATGAGGATATGAAAGCTTCCCTCATTTGCATCGAAAATCATTATGAATACGAGCTTATGAATACGTAAATTTTATAACAATACAAGCTTCAAATCGTTGAGAACAAATCAAGAACAAGCTGAGGCTGAGCTACTGTAAAATGTAACTTTGAACAATGTTTCATCTCAAACACGAGGAGTTTTTTGCCATCTTGGGATGCTTCTTCGGTGAATATTCAAACATGGGGGCAAATGAAGGTTTTCTCACGCACTTTGTTGGCAAATGAGGTCTGGACATCTCCCTAGAGCGAAAAGCTAGTAATCGCACTGCTTATACCCTATAAATTTAAGAACAAATTAAGAACAATTCAGCCTCAGATATTCGAAAAAATTAATAACAACCAGCCTGAACTTCATTTTACTGGCTCTTATAAAGAGGAGTATAGTGGTAAATTTTATTAACGTCCCATAAAGGCAATCTGTCCCCTATTATGCTCAACTTTATTTTCACGGGAGTGAAATTCATGCACCGTTGAGCTTGATCGATAGTTCAACGATTTAAACCAATCAGAGACAACATGGATTCCAGAGCTTTTGAATCAAATGGCTGTGTTCCCGTTGAAGTGAAGCTATGGCTAGAAAACTTTTGTTCCCTGTTTGATTTTAGCGACAGAAATTTCAACCAGTCAATTCCAGTAATTAAATCCTATTACCATTCCCGATAACTTTTTGCTCGCAGTTTCAAATGTCGTCCACTACCGCAGCTAGGCCAGCCAAATCTGTTAAGGCGGGAATCCGTTAATAGCAAGGTCTTAGAAAATCTTGTATGTGACTGGATCGATAATCACACTGCTGACACGGGATTAATACATCCAAACCAATGGGCATTTCAAATAGATATCTCTACAGAATCAATACTCCTTTTTCTCACTGAAACTTGGAAAAAGCAATCGATGATGGATTAAAAGTTGGAGTTCTATTTGCTGACTTCAAGAAAGCCGTCGACCATGATGTGTTGAAGGCAAAACTGCAAGCAGCCGGTATGGTATATCCGGTGCCTTTCATGACTGGCTGTCTTCATACTTATCGAGCAGAAGACAGTTTGTTGCCATTAACGGAGTAAAATCAAACACACAGTCAGTAGAAGTGGGGGTACCCCAGGGATCATTGCTCGGCCCGAGGCTCTTTACATTCAATGTCAATGACTTACCGGCCACAGAAACAACTGGCTATATCCATATGTTCGCTGACGGTACGGCAATTTACTATATCGGTAAAGATGTGGAAACTATCGTTGACGCTCTAAACTCAACATTGTCAAAGATTTATAACTGGTGTCAGCAAAACAAACTCACAGTGCACACAAGCAAAACTGAGGCTATGCTAATTTCTAGCACTCCCTTCATAGGGCCAATGAGAGAAATAAAATTTGGTGAATCCACTATACAGTTCAAAGATCAATCTAAATGTTTAGGGGTAATAATTGACAACAAACTCAGCTGGAGACTGCAGGTTGATGCAGTTCGCAAACAGTACGCAACAAAGATTAAATAACTAAAACGTTTAAAAGGATTGCCAAGAAAGGTCCTGTAGGAAATTTATTATGAAGCGATAGTATCCACTGTTTCATACTGTGTATCGATATGGGGTACATTACATGTTTCTTTAGCAAATCAGTTAGAGTCATTGCATGTCAAAGCTGCGAAATTAATACATGGTGTCCCAAGCAAAACGAGTGAGAATGAAGTCCTTGACATGGTAAAATGGAAGCTGTTAAGTCACGTTTATAAAAGAAGACTCGCTTCCCTTATGTTCCAAATTCCTGCTCAATCCCTACCTAAACAGTTAGTCGATCTGTTTGAAAGGAGTACTCCAGCCCGTGAGTTAAGGAGCAAGAACTGTTTCACTCAAATAAGACCCAGGACAGAATGTGGCCGCCTCACCGTTCGATTTAGGGGTCCATTAGTTTGGGGAGTGATCCCCCCAGGGATGAGAAACATGTGGTCAGAAACTAGATGGAATCAATTTTGATAAAGGCCAGGTGGCTATAACGTTTATGGACCCGTATTATAAATATGTTTAAAGATTTGAAAACACATATTTTTTCTTTCTTTCTTAGTAATCATTGAACATTGGTTATTAGACATTATTTTCTTTTATGGCAGGTCCACACCAGCCTTTGGGTGTTCATGACAACAATGGAACAACATATCTTGAGCAATGCCCCGATGGGACGTAGTCGAATATTTTGGAAAAGATTTATCGATGACATGAATTTACGTGCCAGTGTGATTCTGATTACGTAGGACGCACAACCCAAAGATTGGGGGATAGGATAAAACAGCATGTTCTTTTCAACATAAGAAACAAAACTGCCCCCCCCCCCAAAAAAAGGAGCAGCCTCCTCGATCTTGTAGGTCTAGAAAAACTGTTAAAAACAAGTGATTCTGCCATCGGTCAACATCTTTAAGACAACCCAGATTGTGCAAAACTCTATAATGGCGACATGGTTCGGATAATTGGCAGAGCCTGGTCATCCTTCCATCTAGCAGTTTTGGAGTCAATCTACATATAAACAAAAAAGCCCCCATTGTGTAGACAGAAGGAGTTCGTTTTCTCTCTTGGACTCCAGTGGTAACTTTTCTTTAGGCTCGCGGCACTGATTGGTCAACTATACCGGTCTTGTGCTTGCGTTTTTCTGATTGGTCTATTTCGATCCAAAACTGGGTATATATTTTTTATCGTGCTCTTTCGGACCCTTATTCTGACGTTTTATGCTCCGAGGAATTTCAGACGAAAAAGCTTTTAGTATGTTGTAAAATGTCTGCTTTTTTCAATGCCGTTTTCAAATTCTGCACCGCAAAAAAATTGTTCACATAATCTTCATCTGGCAAACAAAAGCTTGGAAACCTACAATACACCCTATATCATCCACAAAAATAGATATAAATAAAAACCGTACATAGTCCTTTCTTCTTAAGGTCACGCTTCTAGTTACAGTCAAAGCAAATTTAGACCCAAATATGCAAGACTATTCCATCAAATTTTGACCCAAATAGCCTCGTTTACAGTGTGTTAGTTTTCTGGCAAGCGGAGCTTGTCTTTTTAGTAATGGTTTCTAAATAAGAAACAAATATCAACCAAGGATGTAACCATAGAAATGGGTGTAACACGGAAGGTGAAAGGAAATCAGAATCGTGTCACTGGTAGTCTGTATCATTTCACTTTTGGAGCAGACAAATTACAAGCATAACCTACGTTCTTGTTACAGTTACATAAGAAAACAACAAGACAGATCCGTTGGTAGAAAACATTTGCCCTGCAAAAATCAGTTTTGCCCTGCCAAAAGGTCCTACTTTCGTGGTTCAAAATGTTTTCTACCAACGGATCTGTTTTGTTGTTTTCTTATGTAACTAAGATAAATAAAACGTTTTATGTTATCTTTTGTCAAAAGCTCGCAGATGTTTCATCTAAGAAGAAATAAGAAAATTAATAAAAAGCGAAAATTAGTGTTCTGTCACTCAGGTAAAAAATTCAAAACTATCTTAGAAAAGGAGGCTTTCTTCTCAGTAAGAATATCTTTTGAGAAAGCTCGTTAAGAAATTTTTTCCTGAAGCAATGTCTTACGCAGTTGCTATTTATTTATTGCCGGTTGTTACAAGTATTTTTCATGTTATTTAATAAATGCTGTAGTGTGGTAAAATATTGTATGCTGAGGTTGAGGATTTCTCGAAGCCGAGATCTGTCGGTTGAGTATCGAGTTCGAGGCTGTATGGCCTAAAGCTGTTGTTGTGAATGTTGTAAGGTGTCTGATTTATCTATGCACAGTATTTTCCAGGAATGCTATGTAATGTGGTCCAAAATACAGTGAAAATTATGAATCGGTAGACTGCTTTGCAAAAACTTATGCTATTTAAACAATGAATCGAAAATTTATCAAGCCTGGAGTTGCTGTTCTTGGAAGGAATTCACAACCGTTTGGGAAAGGATCAACTGCTAACCTAAAGAGATTTGTTGTTTATGATGACTTTGCAAGAGGATGGGTCTCGAAAAGGTGGTATACGAAGTCACAGAAAGTGGCTAAAACATTATTTGCACCGTGGACTAAGTACCCATATTTAACAAAAAAGAAAGAGACTCTCGCTCTGCCTGCTTCAGTTGATAACAAGCGACTAATGAGCTCCGATGGCGACTCATTCACAAAAGTGAAAAGAATTTACCTACGAAGTCCATACAAATGGTTTGATATCAAAGTCAAGCTGTTTTTGCTAAGAAGATTTTTTGATCGTGACTTTGATGAACATGAATTTCTTACGGGGGCTAGGCAGGTGATAAATCATATGATTTGATTTATTCAAAAGGATATCTTGAAATCTTATTATATTGTCAAAACAAATGAGATCGATATGAATTTCCTGCTACCATTAAAATTATTCTGAATATCGAGATGCCAGCATTTCTATACCATAAATTTACATAATGTTAAAAAACAAGCAAAAAGTTGATGATCAGCTAGTAAAAGGGAAGATGGAAGGGACCCTTCACAAAGGAAATGTGTAAATGTATTTTTTCTATTTTGCTGTAAAAAGGGGAAATAAATCTCATTTGTAGTAAGGATTATGGAAATTTTAATTCTCCATAGCAATGTGGTGGCCATTTGATAGTTTTGAGGGAATGTAAGGCATCAGATTTTAAGACCACAAACAGCTGAATGACATTGGATAGTACTGAAGACACTATAAATACATTTTTCTTTTAAAGATAAGGTATTTACCCATGCTTTATTCAGCTTATCCTTTGTGGAAGCACCCAGATAGACTTGAAAGATGCATGTAGCCTCTAGTAAGCTGAAATATATGCTTGTAACAAGTAAACAGTTTCAGTTTCATATTTTAAAATTCCACTAGACGCACCTTCATTTAAAGCTACATATACATATACTCAGAAGAAATTACAGAGAAACTAGATACCAAATACAAGATTCAAGGGAAACTAAATAGAAAAGAAAGTGATGGTAGGGAGATTTCTTAAGGAGGAACTATCTCAATAGGTAACCTAATCGAGGAGAGAGCACCCCCTTCAGCCATAGTTTGTATAAAAAGAAAACAGTTGATTGAAAAAGAAAAACCTCACAGGCACATCAAGATTCAAGTTCTGGTTTTCTAGTTAGTTCTTGATAGAAACAAATTTGCAGTGCATTCTTTGCACTGACTTTTTAAGAGGAATAAACATAGGGCTCTGATATTGTTGGGACTGGCTTTTCCCATTTTTTGTCATGCCATTTGAGGCCTTTTGTAAGAAATAGCCCACAGGATTAGCCCAGCCCTTGCAAGAATTCTCTTGTGCAATAGATAACAACATCTTAGGTGCTATTTACGTTAACAAGAAGGGTTATCCCATCTCAAATCAACAGCATTCCATACATCTTGACACCCATACTCTTAGAATTGGCTGTTTTTTTGCAAGAAAGTAGCAGTGCTTGAGAAGAAATACATGGATTTTGCAATATGTAAATGAGGAACATTTGAGTTGGGGATTTGGGGTTAGTTTTCAGGGGGAAAATTTAAACTTCATCAAGTTTGAATATTTTTATATATTTAACATGAGTCAAAGTATTAATTGTTCTTATTGTAGACAATTTTGCCAAGGATTGCCAATTCTATTAAACATTTTCCAAGTGTTGTGCCTTTTGAAAGTATCCAAGATGGCCACCAGCTTCTATTTCTAGCACAATTTGAGCAAAATTCAATTGTTCATAACTAGGAAACAAATAAAAGACTTTTGAAAAAAATTGGTAGATTATTTCTTCTCAAGAACTGCAACTTTTTGCAAAAAACGGGTACTCCCTTATTATAACATCTCAAAATGAGCTGAAAAAGGTGTTATTATTCATTTACAGGCAATATGTTTAGTTTCATCATTCATATCAAAAGGAAATTTTAATGAGCTGGTTGGGATGTTGACAGAGAAGGTATGTATCTGAGACAGAATTTGATAATTTGATCATTATTTCTTCAAAAATTAATTTTTGAATGTAATTGTATCCAAACAATTCATGAAATTTGCTAAATACACCTTAAACTTTTTTCATTTTATATTATGATTCATGTGATGTGGAATTTGTTTAAAATAGATTTGATTGAATTTTTGCTTTTAGGCCACTGAGATGGCAAAGAACATACACCAAGAAACAAACAAAAAGGAAAAATTAGAAATTGTGGATGAAATTATTGATAACATTTCTTTGTCTAACATGGCATTCATTTATGATGAGAAAGGTATGATGAACATTTCTTGATTAATCTTTATATATTGTATATATTACATAGTAATTGTAAATGATTTAGAACAATTATAAGATCAGATCTGCTAATAATGACTCATTTATTTTTTAGTGTTTCATAAAGTAATGCAAATGCACTAATAAGCACTTGGGAACTTATAAAATGGCCAATCTTCTAGAAGGTCAGCTAAAAGTAGAGGAGGGGTGGCTATTTACGGAAAAAGCCAAGATGAATAAGCATTTTTTTTGGTTTATACTTCTATTATTATAAACATTAAATCTCAGTAAAATGCAAAATTGTTGTTGGATAGACTTTAATGAGACCTCGACAAGAAACTATCAACTTATAACCATATGTAAAGTTAGAAACAGGAGAGAAAAAAGCTATCATTATTTATACCTAAGTATTTCCATTGTATTTCAAGACTAGGTTAATGTTAGGGGGCTATAAAGAGAGAAGGGGGTTGTTCCAAGAAAAATTTATTTGAGAGCCTATTGGAGAGGAAGGCTTAATTAAGAGGGGATTGACTATGGATAAAGCAGTTGCAAAAATTGCTGCAAATTTCTTTCTTCCTGTTATCCTAAAGAAGGACCATCATGATGAAAATAAGGTTTTTACTATCTAAATGTATTTTGTAAACACATTGTATTTGTGTTGTATTCTTTTCTTGTAAATAATGTTTTTCAAAAGACTAATTGACTTCTCTATTTTATTTACTTATTGCTTGTTTCATGGCTGCAACTTTTTCCAGAGAAAAATTTATTCAGTTACAGGGCACATTCTATTGTCATATCAATTGTACTTTGCAGATATTGTATTATGTTCCTAACATTAACCTAGTCTCTTTGCAAACGTAAGAAGATCAATATATACCAACACTTTTATTTTTAGGTGGAAAGTGGGTTGATATATTAGTTACCTGCCATTGCGCTGAAGAAAATTCAACACAAAGAAGAATTGGAAATATTGATCTGGCTAGTATTCCATCACAGAGAATATTCAACTTCTCGTAAGTTGTATTTAAAATGTTATTAAATTCGAATTAGTTTTATAGAACCTGGGGTCTGAGCATTTTATTTGATTTCATAGTTTTTATATAAAAATTAATTCTTCAGCAACTTATATAAATTACAACTACAGATAATTTATGAATCTTGAGAATATAATAATGTAACCCTACAGGCTTAATCATGCTTAAGCTTCATACAAGGGCATTAAGTTTGAGAGTTTAGCTCTTTAGATGAGCCTTAAGTTTTGTGATTAAACGCTCTTTTGTTGGTATCTCACAATCTTTGCAGATATGTTATTTCAAATCTTTAGAGTCATGGCTGAAAGCCTTTCACTGCAAATTCTGTCTTTTTCTAACCTCCAATGTGAAAGTTTTTGCAAAGAAAGCTCTGGGGTCTTTCGTTGTATGACATTTCTACCTGGGTTCTATCTCATGTCCACGTTTCTGTAGATATATGTTTTGCTTTTTCCAATGGAGAAAAATTCTCTTTCTAATTCTGTCAGTTTAATTTTTGATGATATACAGCATTATTCTAAATTTATTCTAGGTTTGTGCGAGAATTCACACCTGGGGTAACGGCTGATTGGATAATTGACAGGATAGCATTCAGCAGTCCGTTCTCTGATGATTGAGCATGGAGATTAAGTCCAATTCAAGTAGAAACATTAAGAGACTATTTTTTAAATTTATTTTTACTCATGTGTATTTGAGACAAAATGTAATATTGTTCCTTCAAACAGTAGTGTTTTCCAGTTATCTACCACTGATACATAGATGTTTTACCAGCATGCTCTTATTATTTCAAAAAAATGTAACAACATTCATAAAAATGACTGTAATACATGTATAGGCTAAGCCTCTTTGTGGGATGTGCTGGTGTTTTTATGGCATCCCTAGCCAAGATGGTGTAGTATTAGATAATTTGTTCAACCAGTAAATGAGGTTTTAATAAGCTGATCTGAACGAGAGGAGAAGAAAAACAAACGTAATATTTTTAAATAGCTTCATTCCTGAATTTCTATATGCTAAGATGCCAAGAATTATGATGCTATATGTTTGATTCATTCAAGACTAATTGATCTAGTACTTGATGTACATGTTTATCCAGCGCACGAAATTTGTGACTCTAGCGAAAACAGTGTATGCATCACGTGTTGAACAACGTCCCGAGCCCCAGCTTACTGCTCCGTGGAGGACCCATTGGCTGCCACTTCTGCATACGAATGGGCCACCGCTATCTCCATGGCAACCGCTACGAATATCGTTAGGCCCAAATCCAGCACAAAGCATGTTGCCAGTTATACCAATTCGTGTGCTTGGCTTGTTAAGTGCATGACATTTCCTATTGTCGACCACTGGAAGAGGTGATTGTTGGAGAACGGTGGATGCAGACCCAGGGTGTGATGTCTTTCCCCAACCTATACAAATTTTATTCATTTATTAATTTAGGGATGACGGTATATGTAAGAATTTTCTCTAAGGACATTATTTCATCAATAATTGAACACAAATCTACCAATAAAGCGCTCAGAATAAACTAAGTGCCAATAGATTTGGATTTTTTTTTCAAATTAACGACACACCTCGATAGTGGCTAGTGAGTTTCAAATTAACGACACTCCCTTTAATTGTTTAAGTCATTGAAGTCAGCAATAATGATCATATGCATGTAGACATAGTTTCTTGTAGTCTTTTTATTGAAATAGAGAAACTGTGTACTGAATCTTAGTTTCAGAACAAACCACACAGTAGACACTAAGCCTTACTTTCGACTTTTTTTAAGCATGACAACATGTGACAACTTAAGTAGCGTAGGGTGAGTTAGTACGTTAAGGTAATACAATACTCTGACTATCACAGCCACTTTTGAGGTATTTATGGAAGTTTTTCAAAAATTTTGTAAAGAGCCGAGAAATATCTCAAAAATAGGTGTCTGCTCCCTTACCAGTGATGTAGCAGATGCTACCAGGACGGGGATGGCTGTAGCTTGTTGGCAAGCAAACTGGTTGCACTCTGTTGTTAAACTGGACTGGTCTGTTTAATTTCATCAGAGCAATGTCACTATCCATAGGTTGTTTGTTGTATTGTGGGTGTGTAAATGCTCGTATCACTTTGAATTCCTGCTCAGTTCCTTCACGTTGCTGGCGATGGTGCTCACCTTTTGAAATAGATTTGATTGGAATCATCAATTTTGACGTAGAACATTGAATTATGTTTCGGTATGACATAACGCTGCTACTTAGTACGGGGAAAAAATGCCTTTACGCAGATCAACATGTCTTGAACTTTAAAAAGGATAATTTGAATAAAAATTGAAAAAATTCAGTATCTTTGTTCACTATGAAAAACTTTGTTCGGTTTAAAATGCGTGCAAGTAAAATTATGTCAAATTACGATAAAATGTCAAAGTGAAAACTCTTCTAAGAACTATCAAGAGAATATTATAATGCATTGCAATCATATTTCATGATATTTAACCAAACTCGGTCTCAATTTGTTGAAATCATTCAAGAAAGGCAAGCATTTTAAAATCATAACGAAGAACTGTTGCAGCAAAATAACTATGACACAAGAAATTTACTATGAAAATGTTACTGGCTGTGTCAAGATAGCTGACCCACCCAAGACAATAGTGAATCCACTCATGGATGTCCTTTCTACGCAATGAGCAGCTGTCACGAGCCATTTCGCATTGACCAAAGATCCTCCACAATGGAATCTGTTGTTGTAGTAGATAGCAACTTGCCATGGCCAGGATCCTGGCCGGGCATTATTACCACCAATGACTCGGCTAGCAGCGTATTGGGGGATGCCACATTCTGTAAAATGGACATAAAATGTAGTATTCACAAGCCGTACTAATGATTTGTTTTTTGTAAAGCAATTTAATTTGCCTCTAAAGAAAACATTTTTTCTTTAGATAGACAAGTTATTTGCCCTCGTTGAATTGAAAGGGCTTGAGTTCTGCAGTGGTAGTTGGAGGGCACATGCCTCCACTTTTCTGACAGTTTAAATATGCACCAAGTCCCTTATCAAAGAGTTCCTACCCTTTCATTCATTCGTATATTTTATAATCCTGTAATGCAATAATATGATATATTTAATCAAAATTGCAGATGTAAAACTCAAGTTTGTAGCTTACGCTGTGCCAAACTTCCACCAAGGAACAGTCCAAAAATGAGTATCGCCAACATCGTTTCCTTTTTTTCAACAAAATACGGGAACAAGCATGAAACGCAACTTTATACAAGTCATGTACCTAAGGTGACACTTGAATAGAATATACAAAATCAGAGAAATCGTTTGACAATTACACAAGTCTCATTAATTTTACATAGGCACTAGAAAAACTTAGGCCAGCATTTTCTTCCTTTTCTTAAAAGTCTCTCAATTTTCCTGTGCTATTGTAAAAGTGCATCCTTATGAAAATGTTACAATAGAAATGGAAGGCACCTAAACACTTGAGAACTCAACGTGCGCTCTTTTCAAAATGCATGTTCACCTGTCTCCAATTTGGTAAAACATTAGAGTTATCCAGCGGTTAACTTATTTTACTATAAAAACGCTAATCGTTTTTAACGCCACTCTTTCATTTTGATGGCAAAATTTGGCCACACTGTTTATTTTCGTGACTATTTTCGCCAAAAAGCAAAATGCCTTGGACTTTGCATCATTTAGAAATCTTTTGACGCAAAATTTGCAGCATTAATCCTGTTTGTTCAAAAATTTGAAAAGCTAAATAACCAGGCCAACTAGTTAAATCAGGGGTATAACCTTTAAAATGAGGGGCGTTTGAATAAAGACTGCTTTTCAAAGCGGTCACTAGAGTGGGATGCAGGGGTATGATGAGCTTTTCAGAAAGGTTGGAACTGAGGGCATGTGTTGAGGCACAGTCCCCAGTGGCACGCCCCTCCCGAACCCCCCATCGTAAAACGTCCACAGCAGATTAATACATCGGTTGCAGTGTGGTTTTACTGTGCGTACTGCTGTCGTTCTACTTCCCATCGCTAGCTACCGTGCTTAAAGGGGGTTTTCAAGTCCCTTTTACCGACAAGGTGGGTGAGCCATTCTTTATTTACCTACTAAGCACCCATGGATTACAAAAACCTCCTCGTTTTTGCAATGAAATTCTTTTCAAGGTGGTGTCACACCACACACTCCTCCAAAAAGTGATTGGCCTCATTTTTTACATCAACGTAGGCCTTCAGTATTGAAGTAGAAGAAGAAGTAGAACTCGATGTACGCCTTCTTTATGGATGAGACACGCTCTAAACCAGCGTCAAACCGCCTTTGAATAAGACACCTGAAGTATGTAGTTATCAGATGCCTGAAATATGTAAGCTAATATGAACTTGATCAAAATTCTCCTTACAAAAGGAATTTTATTTGAGAAACTGCAAAGAACACACCTAGAAGAATCATTGACTTTGGCCCCATAAAACATCTCACTTTTTAAGAATTGTTTTATTATTATTATCAATATTGAAGTCTAACCAATATCTCAATAGCAATCACTCTTTTACTTTGACTGCTGGTGCCTGGGGATGACTCTAATCACCGTAAGGGAGAATAACGTTTCTCTTTTGAGCATGCTTTAAGCAAGCAAGTCTAAATTGACTTTTCATTTTAATGTAGGTGGAAGGAAGCCCATTACCCTGGGTACCAGACTCACTATATATGAAATAAAATAGAGATTTATTTTATATAGTGAGTCTCGTACCCAGGGTAGAAGCCCGTACGCTTTGCACCCAAAGCATAACACTAATTTCTGGTAACTTTTCATCTCAACAAGAATCAGCGACTCGAAAATCACAAAAAATCTTTTTTTGGTCACGATTTTACTGTTTTTGTCTTTATTGGTAAAAATTATAAACTTTGACTAAATATCAAGCAGAAAAGAGACAGGCAGAATTATAAAAGTAAATTTTCAAAAGCTAGTTATTTTTTGTTTTGCATTTTCCTAGACCCCGTACACTAGTATTCTCACTTTTTTATTGTTGTACTTTGTTTAGAGTGGCTAGAATAATTCTAAGGCAGCCAAGCCAAAGATCACTTGAAAGTATTTCCTTCAGTCAGACCCAAAATAGACGATGAAGGAAGTACTTCAATCGTGTTAATAGGCCAAAACTGATTAATAACCAGATTCAGCAGTCTTTATAAATACTGTATTTACAAATTTTGTCGTTAGGTTCGTCAGGATTTCTTTATGCTGATGGGTTCCTATTAAAAACTTTAGGGTCAATTATAAGTACTTTGGAATATTTGCAAAAAAATCGACGCTCTAAGAATATAAAAATGAAAGATATTCTGTTTTAAAAGGAATATTTCCTTTGTTTGTACTCCTGATTAAACGGCTAGTGTATTTAAACAATAATTTATAGCTAAGTCTACCAGTCTGTAAATTGTTTAGAAGATATGCTTGCCAGATCTCTCTTCCCTGGTTTTTTAAAATGTTTTCTTCATGACAAGCTCCTAACTTTGAAGGAATTTTACGACCAAAACTTTTAGATTATTTTATCCTTGGTCTGTAAACGAACTGAACTAGTGTAAACATCAAATTTTTGACAAACTTAAGGCCAAACTTAAGGCTGACAGTGTCTAAACTGCGATTTGGTACAGTTTAAAAATAACTCACAGATGTCACGCTTAGTATATCAAAATATATATTTATTAAAGTATGCTGCTGGCTCTTTGAAAAGGGTCCTATTTTAGCTTCATAAAAAATGAGAGGGAAACAAGGAGCTCTGGCTTATAAATTTTTGCACTTTATGCCACAAACTAGAATTTTGGGCCTGTTTATTACATGATAATGGGCATTATTTTTGCAAAAAACAACGAACACAGATTCTTTTTTACATAAGGTGAAACATTTGCTCTGTATTTGATTTAATTATTGTAAGGAGTTCAAATCATATTGCTTTTTTCATATGTTCTAGAAGCGCAAGCACTGATGTTCTGCGAAGTGTATAGGGCACAGTAACATGGAAAAATGGAAATAGGGCATGGTAAAAATGTAGCACCATTTTGTGTTATAGGTTCATGCGAAAAGGGCCAATCGATTTGCTGCTAGCAAAGAGTGGGAATATTGGGTACGATGGTGGCAATTGACTTGAAGCTAGAAAGTACTGTGTCGGAAAATTAATTCTTGGGTAATTGAATCTTAATTGTTTTTGAGTCTAAATTCACAACGCCAAACTTGTTTGATTTATTAAAAAGTACACCAATAATGCAGGTGATTTCAATGCCCATGACCAGTTTTTCTGAAATCTGATTGATATTATTGCTTTATCAGGGTCCACGCCACGGATCCTAAACTGGAGGGGGTAGCAATGTAAATAAAGTTTCCTCTTCGCCCCGCTAGCCCCGATTGTTGCAATCATTTTGTTGACGTTCTTTCACTTGTGGGCTTTGGTTCAATGTATTTGTTGTAATCTAAAGGTAATTGTTGTAATCTATATAAATACTTTAAGCTGATTTAAGACTTTTATTTAGCGAAAAAGTGGAGTGGTCATGGCCCCTCTTGTCCTACTATGGCGCGGGTTCTGCTTATTTGAAAAATTACAGCTCAGCCAACCAAACCTCTCCTGGTCGAAAGGAAACTGGGGCGAGCATTGTCAATCGGCAAAATTCAAATTTATTGACGACCAAGAAACAAACATGGCGTGTGAAATGGAGTTTGAGATTGTTGGCCGGAACACTGGTTTTATTGAAAGCTCGGCCCATCAGAATTATCAGAACTTTCATGGTGTTGAGAATCTCCACGCTGCTCACTTCTGCTCTCCAAAAATAGCAACTCAGCGTTCCAAACTAGATGGTACATCGGCTGCCACATGGTCGACACGAAATGGGAAAAGAAAGATAGATTCATTTCAAGAAATATCAACAAGATCAGGGGAGCAGCTACAATCATGTTGGCTAAACAGTACGTCGACAAAAGCTATAGAGCCCATAAGAAAGGTAGAGCCTCCCACTGTTAAACGGGGTAGAACTTTTCAAACTTGAATTTAAATTTGTGATGTGATTGTGTAACATGATCTTTTGACGTTTAGGCCTTAAGGGTTTTTCCTATAAGTATAACTAGACATTTATTTTTTTAACCTATCCTTGATAGATACTGAAAGCAAATAATTCCTGCCATACTAAAAGGTACTGTAGTTGTGTTCTTTGCATTATTTTGTGCTCTATCAGCATCTTGAATACAATAATCTTATTATACTCTAATTAGGCATTCATATAATGAAAGTTACTGTTTACCGTTTTGTCATTAAGTGCTCTATTGCGTTTAGCCTGACCAGTTGCCTGGCCAGTTCCCGACCAGTTGCCTGTTGATTGCATTAAGCATGAAGCTCGGAGTGGCAACTCAACACCATCCTGTTCACACTAAATGGACAATATATATTTATGAGTTGTAACTTTATTTATAGCAACACTATAGGAAGGTAAATGTAATTAGCCAAAAATATAATGTATGTGTTTATTTTGTAGTGTACCTGTTTAACATTTTACTAATTTTATGTATGAATAATGTTTAAATGGGGAGGTAATCATCTAGCCTGTAAAACTTGTATATGCTGGCTGCTACACTTTAGAAGGACATCAAGGTTTCAGCCATGATTTCTTATGCTTGGCATAAAATGCATAAGCACAAAAAATTTGGCCAGCATGCTAATGTTAATTTTGCCAAGTATGACATGATGCCATTGTCAAATTTAAATGCTTTTACTCACAAATTGCAACTTGCAGGTAACCAAAATCATACATGATTTCTTATCTCAAATTCCAGCCTTATTTTTGATTAATTTTTTCTTACAGAGACCGTGCCTGGAATGCTTTTCAAACGATGATAGCAAAACATCAAAATATTCTGCAACATTGGGGAACTCTGCAGATGTCCCTAAACAGTTTCTTAAGAGTTGCCACAGATGTGAAGCTGGAGAAGGGGTAAGCTAATTTTCCAACCTTTAGCACCTGTTATTAAGAAGAGGGTCATAGTTCAAAATCTATTTAGCACTTGGAAGTGGTACAGATACTCTTAATGTTTATATTTGATCAAACAAGCCATAACACAGGGCTTTCACACTCAGAAATCAGTGCGTGTGGTCACAAACTCACAGGATAAGAGTGGGGCGTGCGAATCAAATTTGTTTGTTAGCATAAGGCAATAAAATTTTTTCTGTTAGCACAAGCCATTAAATGTGACAAAACTTTTGATAAATGAACTGAATGCTACACATTGTGTAGATATGTTTGTGTTTCCCTCATGATTTATTGTGAAGGGTGCTGTGCAACACAAAGAGGTTTTAGTGACTTTAGAAACATAACAAAGTTTTAATTCTAATCAGCAAAGTTAAAGGAAAAAACAGAAGACAAAATTAGCTTTTAGTAAATAAAAACAAGAAGAAGGCCCTGTAACCAACAAATGGCAAGGAGCAAGTAATAATTTGTGTAAGTCCATTGGAAGTCAGGCCTCCTTCCTATCACTCCGCTTTTGTAGGAATAAACCGTTTTTGATTCTAGGATCTCATTGATACGCTCAAAAACGGGGGCATTTGATAATGATATTAAAAGTTATCAAACGAAAACAGAGTCTTTTGAAAACGAATCATTCTAATGGGAACAGCGAGAATTAAGTCATTTAAGAACAGAGTCATTTAAAACAAATTCGTTCATCTACAGTTTCAAGATGAACTGGAACAAAGGATTGAAAACGAACAAAACACTAATGGGAAAACCTTTGTTTTTGTTTTCGCCAAAATGGTGTAGGCCGGAGCAATGGGAATGGCTGAAGAATATCGGAAACTGAATGATCAGAAAACTGTTACATACGAAAATGAAATCGTGGAGACAAGGATTCGCTGTCAAACTTCGGTTTCTAAAAATAATTTCTCAATGGGTAATCGCGCCCTTCAAGGGAAATATTTATCACTGGGCATGTGGCTAATCGCTCTCAAAGGTAGCCTCGGGTGCGTGTTTGCATGCTCGCGTGCTGTCGCACGCCCCCATTGAAAGCCCTGCATAACAGAAGGATGTTTTGAGAATAAGGAAGTTTGTATAGTCCGAAATATGTGTGGAGTGAAATTAGCTGATAGAATAAACACATGAGAGCTGATGGAAAGATTAGGACTGAAGGATATGTTGAAACTGTTAAGCAAGGCAATCAGAGATGGTTGGGTCATTTAATGAGAAAAGTTGTTTACGACTGTGTGAAACAGATACTAGTGGGAGAGGAAGACCAAATTTGAAAGCATGGACGGAGAAGGAGTGTCATAAAGTTTTAGTGTACAATAACATCATGCCTGCAATTTTTGAGATAATTCCAAGTTTTCTATTTCACATGTTAAGCTTTTGAAAGTCTGGACTTTTGTTTCAGTTTTCCTTCCCAAGTGTTGATGATTTACTTATCTACCTTTTGGTAAAAATTCATGCAGCTTTTTTTAGATTTGTAATCAATCCTCTAAGATTTGTTTGATATCTTTTCCATGTGATTATACCATCTTGGAAAATAAAGAGTGCCAGAAAATTGAGCAGGAAGCATCTTTAAAATGAGATTTGGATTTTTGTTGAATTACTATTAAGTGTTTAAATAAAAAGTACAATCAAAATGCAACTGTCACACGAGTGAACAAAGATAAAGCTTCCATCTGCATGAGCATGCAATTCAATCTCCCCTTGAATCATGTACAGAGGCATGCCATATATGTCCATCTGTGATTTGTTTATTGTAAATCCTCAATTTCCCCCTCATATAAGCCCCCCACTCTAAATATAGAAATTGTTAAAAGGCCCCTTACCATAGAATAAACACATTGCCTCCTAGAATAAGCCCTACCCTGACATGCCAATTTTTACAAATCACGATTAAGTCCATGATCAAGCACCAAATCAAAGGAAAAAATAAGGAACCATTTTGAAATTGTTGTTTTTGTCAAAATCAGTTTGTCTAAAGGGTTCGTTTCAACCTCAAAATGAACATGAAGATTAAAAGTTTTTTGAAAATTAGCCATTTGGGTTGTGACCCTCAGATGGTATTTATAGCCTCTCCTTTGGGAGGGTGTAACAAAGCCTAATTTTAGACGGGGACATGCCATTTCAGTTCAAATTTTTGAAATGCGATTCCCAACATGTCTGAAAAAATATGACCGATAATTCCGCAAACATGATGAAAACAAACCCGTAATTCCACAAGACAATAAACATTTTTCAAGACAAAGCAAAATCATATTTATTCCACACATATTTCAAAAACTAATACCAAGAATTCTGCTCTCCTCAGAGAAAAGGTACCCCTATAAACAGTTGCCATTGATAATAAGGCCATATTTTTCTCAGTAGAACGCTACTTTCCTTCTATAATCATTTTTCAACAAACTTACCTAAGATTGTCATAGCAATGCGCCTATTTGTTAATCTCCTACATCTTTTCCTGATTTCTCGTCCTGGTTAACATCTTGGAATCTTAAATTTCAAAGGTTATAGCATTATTGTAATTCTTTATGTTTGAATAAAATGTAAACGATGTCAAGGGTATATCTCGCGTTAGCTCATACAACAGAAACGTTTTCTGGATTTTTTATTTCTGCTTCATGAAATTTTACTGCCGTGAAAACTCATCCTCGATCCTGTGTTTTAAAAACAAACAAGATTATATTTGTATCGCATTAGACAATCATTTCACGGCGCATTTCTAAAATAACTAAACATAAAAACGTGCTTAGCAAAACGGGAGAATGAAAATAGAACAAGCTGATGTCATTTTGAAGCTAATTCAAGAAATGGAATTTTGGTAATTTTTTGGTCCGCATCGTGTACTCTTAAACCTAATGAAGAGAGCTATGAAAATGATACTGAAGCTAAGTAGAGAAACAAAAAATGAGTGTAGATTAAAATGCTTAATTTGTGGAAGTTCTTGGTGACATTTTAAAGCTGTGTCTTGTGCTTTAATGCGCAAAGGGGACATAGTTGTATTTGATGATGTTTTAGCAGCATTTGCCTTTTGGTTGAAGGAAGAACTTAATGTCTTTCAATATGAGTATGAGACTTCTTGTGACCGAATGAGAAGTACGTGAGTTGCCTAACGGAGCAAACAGGCACGGTTAAATCGCTCAGCCTCTTCCTTTATCTTTTTGGGTTTTCTGATCTGCAGCTCGAACATGCATTATGTTAATGTGATTGAATTCCATCATATTCTTAGCACTGTCTTGTATCTGTAAATTAATACAGCAGATTACTTTATAACACTAGTCTCTAGATATCATTGCCAAAAGTACTTGGAACACCCAGCAATTTTCGTTGTGTTTTTTTATTTTTAAATTCTTTTCCTGAATACTCCCATTTCCGCACCATCTTCCCCCCTAAACAATGTTGATAATTTAGAAAAGTATCATTGAAGTTGCAGAAAAATCGTATTTCCTAACCCCCTACGTCGTTTTGAAGTTAACCAACATTGTTCAAAGGGGGAAGGGTAATGGCTGAATTTGCCCTTGAAAACTGACTTTAGTGTAGCAAAACTTTTGGCATGTAGTATCACAGAAATGTTTCCTAGGGACATAACTTTGGATCATCTTCAGCTTGGTAGAACCCTCGACGTGAAGATCTTTTCACGGGCCACTTGCAAAATATACACTGTGATAATTTGTTAAGGAATAAGCAAATCTTAGCCTTGCTGGGTAGCCATTTCTGATGGTCGACCTTGAGTACTGGGATGCACTTATTTGGCCACTTTCTGAAATAAGCTTGGGCGAGAAAGCTGATAAATCTACATCGGGATTATTTTGGATCAGAGTAAATTCTCCATATCATCTTTCAGTAATTGCCTTGGAAAGTGCTATAAATTCAGGCTATAACTCATTATTCTTTTAGGGTCATCTTGGTCACATATCCAGCTAACAAAAGACTTACGGATAGAGCTCCTTTGAAGGCGAAAGGATTCAGGTTGCAGACATGGAACATTATAGGTGCCAAACTTTGTAAATAGATTTTACATGTATATATTATTTGCTTATTACACAAAGGTTTTGATTTTTTATATTGAGTTAGGAATTTAGATATATTGTTTGGATTTGTTGCCAGGATTGGCTGGTTAGTAACGCGAAAAAGCTTCTGTTGAAACTTTACTATTTCTACCAACAATGCGTGTTAGATAGTGAGGGGTCATGGTGTTGTGGGGGTTGCGGGGGTTGATTCTCCCTACCCTATAAAGAATGCTTCGCCGCTATGTTTTTTTACCGAGTGACAATTTAGGGACCTTACTTAAAAATGACATAGGATAAGTAGCACTTGCCCTGTACGCCAGAATGGTAAGTCCCCAAGCGGCGTTATTTATGGGGCGTTAAAAAAGAACCGACAACAGTATCCTCCGTTTCCCCCTCGTTGCGGTCAGCGCTACATTCCTCCGACCCACAGTTAAAAGCCTGTCTCGTGATAGATTTTAAAGACTACATAGGTATGAAGTGTCGGGAACGGCTATATCTTAGATGTCCAGACAATTTTGTAATTTTATTGAAACAAATTTCAGCAAACAATTTATCCAGAATTTGAGATTCTATATTGTTGAAAGGTATAATATGCTCTAAAAAGTAAACCCCCGCTTTTTTTAGTCATGCGGAATGATTTACATAGTCTTGCGGTTACCGCCGAAATATCAGCGAACAATAAGATGTCGAATCAGACAAATATAGGTATAGGTTTGGTGTACATGTAAACAGTTTTTGAAGAAAAAAAACAGATTAGATTCACAATCACATTTGAAAATGCTGCAGTATCTTAGTCTCCATCTATATCAACATATTTGCAAGGGACGTTGTTATTTTGACCAATCACGAAACAGATTTGAATTACATTTGATTCTATACCCAGAGGCCATGCTAAAGAGATTTGCTAGTGTCCCGTTATATTTCAATTTAATTTTTAGTAATTCGATGTTTTTATCTCCTTTCCCTTTCCCACTTTGATGTTCAAAGCATGGTTCAATATTATTTCACATTGCTATTTTTTCTATCACTGAACGACAATGAAGCTAGAAGTGGGTGCTCTTTACTGATCTCAACATTCCTCCGTATTAATAACGTAATTTAACTCGGAATCCATCTAGAATCCCCCACAAAATATTTTGAGACCTGTGTCAATTATTGTATTTTTCCACTGTTCTTGTAAAACAGTTTATATTTCAATAGAACGACATTCCTGGCAATGTTCCTCCCCAAACAAAGCAATATTCTTTTGAATCCAAGATCTACCATAAATTTTTATTTCTAAAATTTTGCCTTGTTCTGAGAGGGGCGAAAAATCAATGCTTTATTACATTTTATAACAATTATAACATTTTATAACAATTATAACTTGGAAGTGGAGACCTGCTGCTATTAAAACCTGGATCACAAAGCAGAAATCTGATTTTTCCGGTAGAAGAGACCTTGTACATTTTTACACAATTCATCCTTTCTGCTACTTAGCATACGAGGCGTCGTGATCAAAAGGGGGGGGGAGAGGAAGTTAATAACACCTGCCAAATTAAGAAGAAATGTTTATGGTTCAATGTGCGCAATTTCAAGTTATTTTTCACATGCTAATTGAAGATAGAGCAGTTTGTTCACTAGAAGACGTTCTTCTTGTCAAGAAAGCATATATTGTGAAACTGAATATTAACAGCTTATCAAGTAACAAAGAGGAACATATTCATATTTTTTAGTTTTTTTACGCTTTTGGTATACCGAGAAACTTTTGAAATACACAGTTTTTTATGAGAATACCATATTTTTTTGCCGAGCCTCAATATTCTTAAAAATTTTCGATTTTGATCCTAAGATTATTTTTTGATTATTCTTGTCCAACACAAGGTGTAAATTCGCCTTAAGATCAACGAAAAATATTAAATCTTTTTTGATGTGTTGCTTTATCATAAATGTCAAAGTGACAGTTGTTTTGCTTTGGGAGAAAACTCAGATTAAGGAAAATTCTAGTCTTGATAAAGGTTGAGCCTGGCATTATTCTCAAATTATTCCTAAATTTTAGCAATTTTGAGCCTCAATATTCTTATCAATTTTATTCATATAAAGGAAGTGTGTAAGCAGGTGGGTTTACCATCCGTACATGGACTGAACGTTTATTTTAGGCCTAGATGTCCTCTCATGTAAACATCATAAGAATGCTGTCTTAATTGTTTACGAAGATAATTATTTGATATGTACATGCAATTTCACACATGTATATTTTGTGTGAGCGGAGTAAATGTATGCTTTGGCTGTTTTTATTAAGATTCGAGAAGGCAATTTCGTGCTCAGAGGCCATGTTACGCAATACGCTAAGGCAATTTCAACATACAAATAAATTGGACTTTGCAGATGTCTGTGTTTAGGTGCTTAGTTTTTTAGAAGTTATTACTCCTCGTTAAAATTATGAGAGATTTACCTGCTTTCTGATGTCTTGGTATGATAAAAGAAAATTAGTTTTTTTGAATAAATTGATGTCGAAAACGTTCGGACAGCCAAGCTTAAATTGTCCGAAATCTTGCTTTAGAAAGAATGTTTCTTTCGAAAGGTTTAGATTCGTAAAAAATAAAAATATAAAAAAATACGTAAGCTTTTAACATAAAATCAAAATTTTATCCAGTGTAGAAAGTTTTCTTGAGTCAGACCATGATTCATATAAGCTAGATGTAATTTTAGCATGCACATTTATACTATCTTAGAAGCTGTTTGTCCGAAAAGTTTTTGCCAGAGATTATCGAAGTTATGTCCGCGAGTGTTTGATTTCAATATAATTGTGAATCACAGTTTCAAAAGTCTTTAACTCATTTGCGGATTTATGTAGTTTTACTCCTTGAATTTGGTTTTCTTCACTTGATAGAAATGCATTCCTTTTTATTAGAACACGAGCCTCAAACCTTGTCAAATGTTAAGAACAATAAAGAACAAGCCGAGACTGAGCTACTGTATATTGTAGTCTTGAACAATGTTTCGACTCAAAAACGAGTAGTTTTCGACTCAAAAACGAGTAACGAGAAAGAGGGGTGCTTTTTCGGTGAATTTTCAAACTTGTCAGCAAATAAAGGATGTCTTACTCACTTTATTGGCAAACGAGGCTTTAACTCCCCCAAGAGCGCACAACAACTGCACTGCTTACACCCTAATAATTTAAGAACAAATAAAGAGATATCCAGCTTCAAATTTTCGAAAAATCTTAAGAACAGCCAGCCTGAACTTCAATTTTCTGAAAAAAGAGTGAGATGTAAATTCAGGTATATGCCAATAAATAGAGTAACTAACAACATCCCAATACCTAGAGCTGGATTCGCGACAGCCCTGACTGTTATACCTATATATTCCTTTCTTAAATGATTCTTAAAAAAGTTCGTAAGTTATCTTTGCAAATCAATTAATAATACTTTTCTTAGGAGGAGGGGGGGAGGGGGTGTACCGGCCTTGGTTGCTCTTTTTGAATCTTTCCATATAAACTCATTTTATTTACAAGAAACAAAGGTCGATGTTGAGTACTCCAGTTTCTTAATGTTCTGGAAATATAAATACTCATCGTTTCTTGAATGTTTCTTAATTATGATGTCATGAATGCTGTTATGAAACGTTCGTGACCTTTTTCATCACGTCAAGAGATTTGCTTCCGTTCTGATGCTGCATTTTGATGTGGGAAGTATATTTTTATCCCTTGTGTATTAAGTTCTAGGCCTATCATGTTCTTTGAATTTACAAAATTTAGTGGTTCTCAGTTTTATCACGATTTAATAGTTTCTTAATTTTTTTGCTTCGAGTACTGAAGTTTCTTATTTTTTTTCAGACTGTCCAGTTCTCATTTCTTATAGCCAGTTTCTTACAAAAAATGAGTGTACCAATCAACATTACATATTTTTTATCACAGGCCACAGCTTCAGTATACTGCCTCTTATTGTTTAAAACCACTCAATCTTTTTTCTACATTAATGATTGTTATTATGCTTTCCTTAGCTAAAAAATTGACTGATTTTAAAATTTGAATTCTTTTACTATTGTTGAGTCAGCCCGTTATGTCGAGTCTGAACAGTTGCGAGTTACTTCCGCTTTAGATTCACTTTTCAAATTGCTGAAAACTCATTGGATCACCTGTGTCAAGTAGCGAGGCTGAAACAATAACAAAGGTACACTTTCATAATACCGGTAAGATGACACGGATGGAAAGCTGAAAGACCTTGTAGATGTCAGAAGAGAAGACTCTGTTGGTAAATGATTAAGACTGTATCGAATTTCAGCTATTTTTGAAATCCCATACGTTGCATATCAGCAGATTACAGCACGAGAGAAGCTTCTACTGGGAAGAGGCCGTGGAAAAGGAAACGGATTCTATGTCAGTGGCTATGTCATGTATGGAGGATCAAATTGACTTGAATGGCAAGGTGAATTTGGTTTCACAATTTACAGCTGAACAGATTGCCTGTGTCTGCGATGCTCTCATACAAGGGCAGCAAGTCGATAGACTAACAAGGTTCTTATGGTCTTTACCAAGATCGGACATTATAAATGGAAATGAGAGTGTACTGAAAGCCCGTGCGCACGTTTCCTTTCATCAAGGTCGCTTTAGAGAACTTTACAACATCTTAGAAAGTCACGATTTCGAACCAAAAGCACATGGTGTCTTGCAATCCATGTGGTACGAAGCACACTATGCAGAGGCGGAGAAGATGCGAGGCCGGCCTCTCGGCGCCGTTGAAAAATACAGAATCAGGCGTAAATACCCGTTACCCCGAACGATCTGGGATGGCGAAGAAACTGTATACTGCTTCAAGGAAAAGTCTAGGCAACTACTTCGCGAAGCGTACACGCGTAACAAGTACCCATCACCGCAAGACAAAAGACTGCTTGCAAAAATGACAGGTCTTACTTTAATACAAGTTAGCAATTGGTTCAAAAACCGGCGGCAAAGGGATCGACCGTTCTCAGAAGGAGGAAACAAAGAAAGTAACAGCACGTAAGTTTTGTTCTATTTCACTAGCTAAATGCGTAAGTTTGCAAAGCCCGCCTTCGCATGACAATACTTCATTGTTGATGTTTGTTGCTAATGCAAACATCGCATCAGTTCGGTGTTTGCCCATCGTTCAAAGTTTATTGAAATCTGTCAAAACTCCATTTAGAAGCAGACTGACAATAACAGTCCTTTGTCTGCAGCATTTGGCCAACACAAACTTACACTTTTCTTGTGCAAATTCATTTTGCGGATAAACTTGCAATCTGCCAGTGAGGTTTATCATAGCTTGCTGGAAAATATTATTGTCCTATACACTTAGTTTTTACAATAATGCCACCAAAGCCTTTGACAAGGGCCTTCAATTTTAAGTTTCTTAGCTTCTTGAGCATTCGCTATAAGTTTCTTCTTACGTTTTCTTAATTGAGAAAAGGGGAAATCCAGATGGGCAAGGCTATTTAGAGACAAGATGACTGCTCAATATACACCTAACCATTGCAATACAAGACAAAAGTATCTGAAATATAAACGTTTTCAAGTTTGAATGTCAAAGAAGGTTGAATACCATCCCTTCAGCACTTTTTATATGAATTTGGTCCCTGCTATTAACCTTGTACTCATCAAGAGCTTTCTTGTACTATACACTCAGTTATTAGCAGATTCTGCAGTTTGTCATTCCAGAAAGACTGCTAGATGAAATTTCTTAAATTTTTAGAACTTGGAGTATTAGGTTTCATATAAGTAGTATTTCTTACAAAACATTGTGTTATGCTGTTCACCAAAGTACTCTAGCATCTTGGGTTCAGCATCTGAGCAAAGCTAGGTTCAGTCTTTCTTGTTTTCTGACAAGAAATCAGTGGCTTTTCTTTACTGCTTCTTGAAGCAGTAATGAGAGCAAAATCTTTGATTTTTTCTCATCTTAAATGTTTGAAATTATTTTTGAAAAATACTCTTGTATATTATATTATCCAAGAGATTGATGCTTCAATCAGGTAGAGCTGGTGCTAGTATCAGAAGTTTCAAGCATGGGTTGTTAGTTTTATTTTCCAGTTTCTACTTCTAGATCAGAACAAATTATGCTCTGCATTATACTTTTAGAGCAAGTCTTTTATTGAATAAGCAGAAAGAGGATGATGACAAAATGATGCAATGTCCCCACACTTTTAATATAATGCACTGCTAATAGTTTGTGTTCAAACTTTTTCGACTCTCTAGCTTCATCACTTTGAAGTTCATAAACAAAGTATCAATTGTCAAATCAAAGAATCATCAGGTCTCCACGTAAGGCTGTCTTGCTGTATAAAGTATGTATATACGGTAGCACTTTGCAAAATATGCAGAAGAGGTGAACTGTGTTGATTTTCAAAACACTTGGTATGTTCACCACTTTGAAAGCAGACAAGAAATTTCGGGGAAAACTTGTTTTTGCTTTCTTTTGAGATGTCTGTGTTTAAAGATGTGCTTCGTTAGGAGAAGTTTGTTTATTTGGAGGTGTCCATTATTCGGACGTGTCCATCATTAGGAGATATCTGCTATTTGGTCATTAGGAAAGTTTGTTATTTGGAGGTATCCACCGTTGGGAGACGTCCGTTTTTCGAAGATTTTAGGCACTGGCAGGCTCTGTTTAGGGAGATGCACATACCCAAACGTCTTCAGCTTTATACTTGAATTTGTTTTCATGCAAGGAACCGTTTTTCATTGAAAATGATAAAAAGTCAAATATGCTAGTCACAGTTCTCGAAAGGAAACATAACGATCTACTTTGTATGTTTAAATCTTATCCATCTTTCACATCATTGGTGCACCAGGAATAAGACAATTTTTTTAAGGACTGTTCTCCAGTGTTTAGAAAGGTCTCAAACAGTTTCGCCATTGATATTTCATTTCAATCTTTCAAATGGCCCTTTTAGATTGACACATTTTTATCTGCCATTGTCAGTTAAGCCCTTGGACCGGCGATAGAAGACCAAAAGCTTTACTTGTACCGACATAATACGTCAAGCTGGGCCAAATTTCGGTCCGACGTCAATCTTGTGTGCCTTTAAATTAGCTGAAAATTGCAGAACGAAATTAGTCTTTAGTGTTTGCAACCGGAGGCTGCACAATTTTCGATCAATTGTTGAATTTGACTTTAAGCCCCATTTCTTAGCCAAAACATGTATTAATCTGAAACCAAACCTAGCAGTTTTCCAAAACACACAATGCACTTTTCTGTTCTTAAAGTCGTGTCTATTACCAGACTGCAAAGTTTGGATATGCGCGAGGACTGGGCTTAAAATTTTTTCCGCGTATCTCATTTTCCGCGTAACAATATAGATTAAGACACGGACTTTCGTTCGAATCCCGCGCACAGCCTCACCACGAGATTTTCAAATGATATTTAGAAATAAAATCCCACAGCTTTTTACCTGCTATTTTGCAACATTATTTGTTTCGGCGCAAGCATAAGCTTAAGCGGCAGAAAATAATTCCCCGCGCACAAAAAATACTTTGCACTCTAGTACGCGAACGCTCGTGTGTGTTACCAGATACTCGTATACGAAGGATTCCATTCAAAATCATTATCTACTGCTTATTGGGTTTGCATAGTGCTTTAATAGACACTCTGGATGATCATTAGTACATGCTGCTATTGCATGTAGGATTTCTTTAATGAGCTACCTTTTTCGATACAATCATTACTAGTTGAAAATGTGGTTATGTTCTTACTACAGCTGCCTTTTTGACCATTCGTCGATAAGTATTGCCGAGTTATGCCTTCTAGTTACCAAGTAACCACTTAATTTTCGAGTTCAAACTGGTCTCCAAGCAACTGGTCTTTAAAAAATTTCAAAGTCACTGACATGATAGCACGTGGCAAAAATCATATTTCAGGGCCTCGGATTTTCCATTTTTATCTGCCTTTTGACCTTCCCTAGGTATGCCATGCACGTTAGGTAATTGCAGTAGAATAATCCAGTAGCAAAAATTCTTTTGCTTGGTTTCGAAAGCCCCGTTTCCAAAACGATGTGATTACCAAAGCCTCGTTTTTTAAAATCGTTCATCATGACCACATAGTTTTAAATTCACGTGAAAGAGATTTCTCGAAGATTTGTCTGCCCCTGTATAAGTTACCGTTAATTAGCTTTGCATTTTTTGTGTTTTCAGCCCTCATACTCAGTTCGACAAGGTATCAAATGTCGTGATTTTCGGATATTAACGTCTTAAATCGCCATTTTTTCCTATCAACCGCAGATAAGTATATCAGTGGGGCACCTTGAAGTATATAGCACAGGGATCTTTCATTCATCTTAACGCTTTATTCGCGAATTTTACGATCTTGTTTCAGTTTCCGCCTTGATATGTACTATATATACTCAAAATTCCACTTTATATTGTCTTCTCTTCTCCCAACCCTAGGTGTGAGCTGCCGCGGAATAGGGTGGAGATAATAGGTGTTGCCCTCTAAAAATGTTTATCTCTACCCATTTATATTAGAGCGACACCCTTCTTTTAGCATCATTAAAATGTACTCTTATAAAGTATGTGATGGGATACAAGGACACAGAACAGATAAAAAATGCAAATAGAACAGATATTAACATGACGTCATAGAAAGTTAACCATCTTACGCCCAAGTCAAGGGTGCTAGTATTTGAAATGCTGTAACTAAATTCATTCCCTTTTTAAGACATACATTTTAGCATTATTTCAACGATGTAGCTACTCTCCTAAAAGCGTTTTTTGTAACCAAATATCGTTGAAATATGACTTCATCTAGCAATGCATTTTTACTCATCTAAACAAAGCATAGGATTTTGATAAAATATGTGAATTATTTTAAATTAAAGACCTAATAAAGAAGCAGAGAACTATTTGACTAATAATCAAGAGAGTTGAAACTAATTTTCAGCAGCAAGTAAATCGCAGTATTGTTTAACTTTCTAAAGAAACGAGCTTCTCGCCTGACCAAATTGATGTTTTTGTAGGCCACGGAAAAGAAAATGGAAGTCTGCATCAGCCACTGACTACTGCGATTCAATACCCGAAGACAGCGTTTCGCCAAATGCAATAAAAGATTTCAAGGCAGAGCCATTTGAAGAAGATGCTTTAAGTTCAGATTCAGAAAATAACGAAGCTTTTATGGACAATGTTGCTTACTAGACTTAGGGAATTCTGATAGGATATATTACAAGCCTTTTAAATTTGGCCTATCTGGCGTGGTGTAAAAAGTAGTTTCTCGAACTGACTTCTACGTTCTGTAATATGTTAATGGGCAAAAAATATAGGATGTCTCTCGTAGTAGCTAACTTCCAAAGTTTATAATTTTAGCTTTTTAAAAGATATCTTGTTTGTTTTAAAACAACGATGATTACTTATTGTACTTTAGTAAATTTTCTAGATAACTATGAAGAAGTCTTAAAAAGATGGAAATTGTAAGTTTTTTAACGTGTAGTGATAATTTGCATTATCACGCAAAGATATTCCGATATTAGTTAGAAATACCAGTCTTTGAAAAGGTCTGTTGCCATAGATATAGATTTATAGTTTTTATGGTGTTGATGTACTTAGTTTATGAAAATAGAAGAAATTATTAACTGTATATATGATTATTTGACATAAAAGGAAGAACAGTTTTACTAAAAGTATTAATCTCGGATTTCTGACCATGTCTTCGTGTTAAAGTGGGTATTTTTTCTCGTCTTAAGTTTTAGTCTCTGTCATGGAAGCATTTTTGAGGTAGTTTTTTGGATGTGTTGTGATTTGCGAGGGGGAAATCACTCCATGAAGGTCCGTACACCTACGGTGGAAATAATTTTGTTTTATCTTAAAATCCCTGGAAATCTTTTTGTTTTCGTGGAAATCTCGTACGCTTTTGAAAAGAGTGAACTGCCCTTGGTAATTTATGGATTGAGATTCGAGTTTATAGACACAGTGGATATTCAAATGTCTTCCATAAATGACATTGAAATGATGGCCAATATTTTGACATATCTTAAAGTTGCTTGTATGAGTTTCTGGAAATTTCTGCCACCCCTCTTGATTTGAAATGCCTTTCTTCAGTTCAAAAGAGATTCTTCATAGTTCCGAATGACTACTTTATGTAGTGCGTTTGCTTTTTGTTTACTCGCCATACCATTTATATTAAAATAATTACTTTAAAAACCGTAGTTAATTTGTCGTGCATCAGATATATAAAATCACCATCACAGAATTTTTTTTTAGTTCATCAAATGATAGATCAACTGAGATTCTGTATAAATAATTGGAAAACAAAGAAATCTTTAAGATGATTCGATTAGACAACTTGTATCAAGTGTGAATTAGGTATCTTTTTTATTTTGATCTGTTTATTTGTTACTGCTCATTTTATTTTATTTTTAGATAGATAACAATTTAATTTTGGATGACATTCACCCTTAGAAGCTTTCAAATGGAAAGTATACAGCCATGAAGGATTTGTATCTGCAATGCTTTAGTTAGCCTCTTTCAACTAAAGGAGTGAAGATTTGGTGCTACTAGATAAAAACGTGCTCTCCTGACAAAAAAAAGACAGGGTCATGCCCCCTCAGGGGGGGACCTTTACATCTTTGAAGGTACGGGAACGAGCCATTATTTAGGGGTACCTTTTTTCTGAAAGTGCGGAATTATCGGAATAAGTTTTTGAAATTTGTGCGAAAATATGGGCACCATTTGAAGAAACATGCAGGATTTCGGGTACCATTTTGGAAAAATATTGCAAAATGATTAGGAGGGAGATTTAGCATTAACGAAATGAATGTCCAGTTAGGGATGAAATATGTGTAATATTGAGATTTTGGGGCAAAGGACATGCAAAAATTGTTTGATGATTTTGTTGTGCTTTAAAAATTTTATTTGCTTTGCGGAATTTTCGGTAAAGTTTCACATTTTTTCAGACATGTGCGGAAATATGGGTCCAAAATTTTCATCCAAAATGGCACGTCACCATTTTTTGCAAAACAATAAAGCTTTTTTCGAAATCGTGATGGGTGATAAATTTTCCCTTGGCCCCTCCCCCCAACCTGTGTCGGAGCCCATGTTAGAGAAGGCTTTAAGTTCACAGCGATTGCTAGCTATTCTTCAGTTTGTAACACTAGATGTTCATAGTTGGAAGTAGCCCTCGCCTTCGCAGTTTCTATCTTCTAGGAAATTAGGCTGAATGTCGATTGGTTGTAATACAGGTGTGCTTCTGCTAAGAGTCTTTCTAGATTATCACTTCCAAGGTCAAAAAGTTGACAAATTAATTGTTAGCGCCTAAAGTAATGAAGTGTTAGAAATGAGTCGCTCGAAATGTTTGAAATATGATAGTAAACTTGTTGCAGATTTAGTTTGAAATGCAAATTAGATTATTTCTTAAGTTTGATCGAGTTTAGCTTGTAACGAAAAAGTTTTTTGTTTCAGTATGTGACATTTAGAAGTTGTGGAAAATAGTCGACTTGATAAAGGGATAGCTGTTAATTGAGGGATGGTAGGCAGTTTAGGGAGGGGGGGGGGGGGGGGGGGTTCATTCTGTGTTGGCAACCCTTTATCACACTTCAAATTTCTCATGAGAGAGCAATTTCTTCAATCAGTCTTTTGTGTCATCGAATAGTTTATATGATTTCTACACACAGAAGAGAGTCTTTAACACAAATGCAATTATATTGGATGTGGTCACGGGTGTGGTCTCTTGAATTTGCCCCCTTCCAAACTTTTTAGGATAGTAGGACATCATGTGTCACTGGAAGCGGTAAAATTTCTTAACTTGACCTTTCAAGCATTTGAATCAGTTTGGAATTACAACTTCTAAGCTGGTAAACAAAGAAAATGATATTTCAAATGCCATTTTTTGGGGTTGCGGCAGCGTGCATTCCTGTGCAGCACTAAAGAAATTGTCAGCAACCCATGATTCATTACGGCGTAAAATGTGCTTCATTATGGCAGAAAAGTTGGAAAATGAAAACAGAATACTAAAAGGAGCTTAATAATGTGGAAAACTTGGCGGCTAGCGTTGCTTCGTTCTTTAACTTCTGACCCAAACATTACTGTTCTGACGAAATGTTTGTTATTTTCTGAATCCACATTATTACTTATTTTAAGAGAAAAATTTTTGTCGGTTGAGCTGACATTATCACTCCTAAATAAAAAGAATCAGTTTCCACGACTGGATAAAACTTATACTTCAAAGTGTTCTACAACTTATCATATTTTAATGCCCGTGCTAATTCTTCAAAGGTTTTGTTTTATAGGTTTTACTTCTTCTTTCCTGCACGAAGCCTGTCATTTTTAGAAGCAAAAATCGGTCATAAAGTGAAATTAAACAATGACTAAATAAACTATGCTCATTCCCTCGAAGAGAAAAAATCTTACTAGTTAACATTGTTTGACTTGTTTTTATATGAACTTCTTTACAGGAAACTCTGGCTATTAACCGAAAATAGCAAAATTTATTTAGTAGCTAATTACATTTGTTTTATATATGCGAATCAATAAACACCCCTCGCAACCAAACTTGTTGTCAAAATATTTTAGTGAACGTTGATAACTTTAACGAAAGGGAATATTGACAATATATTCAAATGACAAATCAGAATAATGGTGACCATTCGATGTGGTAGCTTTAACAATAAGCAAATCTAGACTATTAGTTCAGCTATACAATTTCAAACTGCTATATGATATTTATCACTGAAGCTGTTGGTTTCAAAATACAGAAACCAATCAGTCTATAATGACAAATCTTAAATTTCAAACTGTAATTTCATACCATAAGTCGACAACTTAAGCATTTATTGAAATAAGCATGTTTGTACCATGTTACTATAAGGACAGGTTGCAGCCAAAAATAGGTGCGTGAAACGTGATGAAAACAATTTACATTCATATCCGCGAGTTTATTGCAGAAACTACTAGTTTATTTCATAGAGTACCAATTTCCATTAACGTTTTTTACTGTCCATTCTAAAAGCTCCGTGATGGCTATCCAATATTTTTATGAGTGACCCTAAAGATTGATGGTTGACTCAATAGTGAAACAAATTCATATTTCCTTGTTTTTAAGAAATTAGAAAACACCATATTAACATAAAAAACTTTAAGTTAACAGCATCTTAAAGAAACAAAAGTCGCCTAGAACCAGTAACGAAACATCCAGAAATCAAAGGTAACATCAGTAAGTCGACAGGACCATAATTTTGAAGAAAATGACAAGATAATATTTATGATAGAGAAAAGAGAGTTCTAAATATAAGTAAACTTATCAAAAGATCCTTGCCTGGGCCACCTCCTCAAACCACTGAAAATCTGAATCATGTCTCATGGACATTGAGGTTTACTAAGCAAATAACTTTAATAAGAATTTTACTTTGTGGTAAATATGAAATATTCTACACTGCAGTGGTAGATTGATGACATAAAATGGATTGTTCTATGTATAGATTGGCTTATTCAAGAGTGTTTAATGTTTGCAGTTGCTTCAAGACTTTGCTTTGGCTTGTTTCTCGAATTTCGCCAGCAAGAAACATTTCATCAACAACAGAGTATACCTAGAATGGGAAGATAAAAATAAGATTTTAGGGAAAGAGCTTTGAGTTGTGAAGTAATATTTGTTATAAAAAACTGATAAAGTCCCTCGAAGATCAACACAACAACTCAATCACAAACAAAATTCAGAAAAGGACCAAGCAACACTAGTCCAATTGTTTTCCACGAGATGTAGAATTCAAGATTTTTTTTCTTAAAATTCATGTAGTCTAACTGATAACAAAAAAGCTTATCATTTCTACCTGGGTTGCTCCAGTTTATGACTTATGGTATAAAAATCTGTGCTATTGTTATACAAATATTTGTTAAAATATAAGAAGGGCTCTTTGCAACAACAATTTTTATGTCCCCCTCTCCAAAATTCTTTTGAAGATACAATCTTTAGATAATGGATAAATGTTTGACATTTAAACATTTTAATATTTCCAAACAAAAATTTATTACCTTGTAAAAGTTGAATACCAAGTCAAGTTCACAAACATTGTGGAAGAATTCGTTCAGAACCTGTAGAAGAAATATTTTGTGCAAATAGGGGTTTTCATTGATTGATGTTTTCTTTCATAAATTATTTTTAAATCAGCTTGAAATATCACATCACAGCCTTTTTCTGAGTAGCATCATCTTGAAGCAGATTAGTTGTTAGCTTTCATGGTCAAGACAAGGATCAACCATTACAGCTACAAGCCAGTGTAATTTCACACAGCTGTGAAAATTATTCAGCCTCAGAAAGTATGGAATACTAGATACAAAACAGTAGTTTAGAATAGATAGTATAAACCACCAAAACAAAAAACAGTAAAACAAAATAAACCAAGATAAATATTCTTCATACATCTACTAGAGAAAATTGATACAAAGGAATAACCTACCTCCACGAAATTGTGGATGGCTTCAAGGTATGAAAGATTGTTGTCGTCAACATCAACACAGAAACAAAAGTATAAGCCAGCATATCTCCGGTAAACAATTTTGAAGTTCCGAAACTGTAGATAACAAGAAGGCATTATGACGTCATTTGCAAAATGAACAAGACTTTAATAGACTGTCCTTAGATGAGATACATAGTCTTAAATCAAGAATCCATCAAGAAGAATTACAAAAATCGAAAACAACTTGTAAATGTATTGACAATCTGAGTCATAGTCATAAATATTCATTGTCTTATTAAATTCAAATGAAAAATATGTTTGAGTATAGAATAGGCATAGCTTTACATTATGGCATATACTTTCAACACTATGTACAGAAAAATCCGGTTATAACATACTTTAAGGGACCAGTGTATTAAAGGCATTGGGTCATGATAAAATTGATTGGGTATACCCAAAGTGCCAAAATCCGCTGAGTCACGATTTTCATGACTGCGATGCTATTGGCTGACCTTAAACTGGTCACATTAACTCACCTCGTACTGATTAACAAAACAGTTTCCATCAATAGCAAGTTGTCAACAACGGATGCCAATATCACGTGAAACAGCAACGATCACGCCAAGTATGTTATATCCAAAGTACATTGTAACGAGGGTTAGTAAAAATTGACTAAAATCAAGCACATCTTCTGCCGGGACCAAGCACCCCAGTATGTTATATCCGGAAGTACGTAATAACTGAGTATGTCATAACGGGATTCTACTGTACTATATAATGTTGAAAGGCTAAAGCAAATGATTCAAAGTTTTAACACTGTGCATCCACCAGTTTATGGAATAAAAGCTACTTACTTCAACAAAATTGGTGTGCTTTGCATCTCTTATGGTCACAACAGCATGTACTTCCTCAATAAGTTTTTGCTTTTCATCATCATCCAATGGAATGTACCATTTTGCTAGTCTTGTTTTGCCTGCTCGGTTTTGTATCAAAAGAAACCTGATCTGGAGTACAAAAGGAAAAAATATACATATAAGTCACAGTTAGTTGCCTTACTCTGTTTCTTTATGGCAACTGTCTTACTTGCAACAATAATTATAAAATTTTGCATAGGCTCAAAGACTATAGCAAAGTCCTTTAGAGACTCCATAGGTAAGATGGAAGGTCATGGGTAAATAATATATTGACTACAACAGTCCTTCCTGGGAATAAATTAGCACAAGTTTGGCATTTTGCATGTCTAGACTGTAGTAGGAGTGTGATGGAGTGCTATTGGGTTTTTGTCCTACTTCTACACAAATTCAGTTCATAGAACATCAAGCAATAAAAACTACACTTCTCAACTTAATTTTTCAATCCTCACACACAGTTTTAACAACAATATATGTAGTTTTGACCTTTTTTAACTAAAGCAAGGTAATCTTCACAAGTCTGGAATAATTTTGAAAGTATCAACTTCAGGCTTGCATCTTTGAACGCCAGGCTTGTAGTTTGACTTAATTTAATCAGGAAGATGTGTCCTGCAGCTCTTCAAAAAATTCTTAAAAATGTGTTTGTTTTTGTAGAGAAATATTTTTGCATAGCAAAGCCTGCAAACCTGTAAATAGCCAATGCATCCTCAACAAACTTAGGCTACAATACACTTTGAAATGAACTCTTTCCCTTCAAAATTGCACAGGGCTGGCAAACAAAACAAGATTAAATAGGGGAACTACATATTAATTTCCTTAAAAGAAACTTCAAAATCAACTTACTGATTATTAAAAAACTCTTTAATCAATGATCTGTTTAAGATAAAGAATATTTCAGATCTTTATTTCAAATTTCTTCCTGTGTTACATTACTGTTTTGCAATGTTCATAATGGCACAGGAAGTGAATTTTAAATTCTTATTTTTGAAATTCTGATTATTGTTAGAAAGTTTTGGTTCATGTTGTTTGTTTCTTGTACACTTATCTTGCTGTGAGCTAGACTGAAAATATTGTCACTGTCAGCAAAACATTAATCAAGTCTTTAAAAATTGTAAAGAATAGTCTCTAAAAAAGCACCCTTTGACCAAATGATAAGGTCAATTCAAGAAGCATATCAGCTTGCAACTCGATATCTGATGAGCTAGTTTCCCTGTCCGAAGAGGTAGCATCAGTTTCAGATTCATAATTTTGAAACAATTTTTCAGTGCTGCTTGACTGATGTGATGCACTTTCGGCATTTGCCGCCCTTTGACTGGAAAATACAGCTGCTCTTCTTTTCTCCATGTAGAGAGGTAGCATCAGTTTCAGATTCATAATTTTGAAACAATTTTTCAGTGCTGCTTGATTGATGTGATGCACTTTCGGCATTTGCCACCCTTTGACTGTAAATCACAGCTGTTTTTCTTTTCTCCATGTAGAGATCGACAGCCCACATGTTAACCTGCTCTTTTTCTTCCTTTGACCAATTGCAGTCATTTCCAACAATCAGCATGCAATTTTCCATTGTTTTGTGGGACATTCTGAGTCTGCGACTGACAAGATGGTTGGTAAGATGTTGAATACCCACTCCACAGAGGAATTAGAGCCAGAGACATGTAATGTTCTAAACGAGGCTGTTTAATTATGAGGGTTAGGGTTAGGGTTAGGGACAGGAATTACAGAAATACCTGAGGGCCTACAGAGCTACTCCACACACAATGACAAAGCATTCTCCAGCCAGTCTCCTTTTCAATGGACGAAGGTACAAGACGCGTCTTCCAACACCTACCAGTAAGAAAATATTGCTTTATGACAGAGAGGTGCGTACAAAGGATGCTAGGAGCAAAGAAACAATGAAGCAGAACGCAGACAGCAAGAGTTATGTAAAAGAACTAGATATTAAAGTAGGGGACACAGTTCTGTGTCGACAAGCGAAGCTCAACAAGAAAACCACACCTTTCAACAGCGAGCCGATGATTGTTGTGAAGAGGAAAGGCAGTTTAGTTACAGCCAGAAATGCCACAAGAACCATCACAAGACATATTACATTTTTCAAGAAGCTACAAAGGCTGGATGAGAACAAGTCAAGGTGCGAAGGAGATTATACCACACAGCCACTTTCACCTGACACTGATGAAAGAGAAGAAAATATCATTCCACCAAATGAAGTGCCAATAGAGAGACCGGTAAGAATAAGACAAGCTCCTGCTAGATACAGAGATTAAAACTTTCAGACTGAGTTTTAATCCAACAATACAACAGACACAATAGAACCATGTTATGTGTACTTTATCAATTATGTTATGTTTTGTTTTGTAATTAGGGGAGGAATGTAATGTTCTAAACGAGGCTGTTTAATTATGAGGGTATTATGATGTAACACCGAAGTGACAGAAGCACGTTTTTATATGAGTGTAACTCTTTGTATAATTGAGGACTCTTCAAGACACATACCCACAAGCTCACAAGAAGAGACAGATTTGGAAACTCTCGCTTCCTCTTCTCCTTTCATATTTAACATCATTCCAAATAAAACATAGCACACCTCCATGTCTACCAGTTTTGCGGTATTTCCTTTCAATGCAATACCCACTTTACTTTGTATCCAGTTTATATTATGGTGCAGAATTTTTAAACCTTTTTTCCCGGTAAAGCTGTGCAAGGATGATGGACCAGGTTCTATTTCCACATCATCAGCTGTTAGCAGAAGTAGAACCAGCAAACTCTTCGACACAGCCCTTGTTGGCTGGAAACAATTTTTTTGACAATCCATAAGCTAGATATAATGTACGTCTCAGAACAATCCTCATTTAATCCTCTAACATTGAGTGTAATACTGATGCTGTCAGAAGTTATGAAACACACTTTCTTGATGTTGAAAACCGAGAAAATTGTCAGTGCTGATAACAACATACCCATACAGAGCGCCATCATCATCAATCATCCAACATAATCAACTTATATTATACTGAAAAATCAACTTGCCATGCTTATCATTTTCTGTTCTGGTTTTGTCAGTTTCCAATTTTAGATAGATTTGCTGGTCCCACGTTTTATTGTCTTCAAGGCAATAGCTTCTGTTATTAGTTGGCCTTCGTATCAAGCCTGCTATTAGGCAGCACCAAATCTTTGTAACATATTGCTTATTGCAGAGTGATTCAACAGTGTAACCTATGATGACATCTTTGCCCCATTTCAAGAATTTGGAGAGCTTTTGTGACTCCTTTACATTTTTTTGCTGAAGTTGCCATATTAAGGGTGTAGGTAAGAGAAAAAGTTGGAAACAAGTCTTATCTTACTCAAAGACTTGTCAATACTGGAAGCCTTTTATAAAAAATTCAACTTAAAGGCATTGTTTGGGAATGTGTGATTGTTTGGGAAATCTGCTAGGTTGTATATGGCTAGCAACCAATTTACAAGTTTATATCTTTTTGGATTCAAGTTTCCTTTTGTAATGTTGCTAAAAAAGTTTACTAATGTTACCATAAAGGGGAGTTATTTGTTTGCGTGTTGGTTTTCAGCACAAAAATCTCTATAAGGGGTCTTTTCTTGTAGCAGAAAAATCATGACTCAGCATACTCGGGTATACCCTCTCCTTTTATCAAGACTCAAGGCTTTGAAGTTGATGAATAAATATGGTTTTCTGCATCCTGTCTTGGGGGAAGTAGAGAACTTTGCTGAACTGATAATTAATATCAAATTTGAATATAATATTCATCTTTGTTATGATGTACTTGATCAAGTTGCCTCTTAATGCTGAAGTTTCTTCAAGACAACCGATGCTATGGTCATTTGGTCCGCGTTTTATTGAATATAGTATATCAAGACAAGAGTCGTCATTGTGCTGGCGCTGCATGCTTATTGTTGCTGGCCCAGACCGGTGAAACACAAAGAAATTACGGAAAACTCAATACAATATCTTGTCACCTTAGTTTCCTGCGCTTGGTTGTAAAAAAAAATATTTATAAAACAGGTGTGTGTTAAAAAACTCTTCTCAGTGTGGGAAGGAATGTACCAATGCGTGTGAGTGCCATCGTATGCCTTTCCCAGGAAGGCCTGCTACAAGTTTCTAGACATCTAAGCACTGACAGAAATTTAAAAAGCCCACAGGCAAATAATTTCCATTGAAGCAGCCCTATGTAAATAATTTACTGATTTTTTTGACAGAATACCCTAGGATCTATGCAGAATATTATGTTATGATAATATCAGAATAATATGTTGTGATAGTGTATAGACATACACTGATTTGATACTTGGAGCATTTAAAATCTCCTCTGTAAATAGCTCTAGTGATGGGTAACTCTGCTACAATAGAAGAATGGTTTTTTAACATCAAAATTAATATTTGTTTTGCCAATTTGAGTATATGACCCCCTGTTATGCCTGAGATTTGTGACAAGAGTGGGTGTATCTATATGTTTCAATACAATCTCCCTGCAAATGATGCTGATGATATCCAGGAACTTCAAACTCCTCAATTGGTCTTGATATAGGAGACCTTATTTTGAAATAAGCTTTGCTGCTCTTCTTTCTACTTTTTAAATGATTGTGATTGATATCCTTTTTAAAAAATAGTGACTAGACTGTTTTTGCATTCTCCATGAGTTCCAACAAGTGCTTTGTAAAACTGTCATCACATCTCTATCAAAATATCTGAAATTTTCTGCAGATTATTTAAGATGTTTTGTACATTTGCTGGCTAGTATCTCTGCTTGCACCTCAAATTAAAGTTTGTTGTCAATGTGTGCCCCTAGATCTTTATGATATGTGCTTGTTCTTATTACTTATCAACATTCACATATAAAATGCATTCTCATTCTTTTGATGTGGTTTTGTCATGATCAATAGTATTAATCTGAAAAATTATCGTAAAATTCCATTTTACATTTAATTTATGAAATCTTTTTCAAATCACGCAAGAGGTCATCTCGTTTCATTTTCTAAGCAATTTACTTTAATATATTACATACAACAGAAGAGACAAGAGCTAAAAAATTAGCATTGCTAGAGCTTTTTTAGAATCCACATATAAACTAGCCCCAACAAAGCTTTCCAATCTCAATGATAAGCCAATAAAAAACTTTTGAAATTTGAAAGGGAACATTTAAAATCCACTAACAATGAAAAGGAAAGTATGTTTTTTGTAGGCCTAAATACATAAGAAGATCAAACAACAAGTTGTGCAGTATTTTGACGACTTTGATATTAGCACAAGATGTAGCTATCTCGTCACTAGAATTGAAACAGGATTTTTAAACATGTTCGTCACAATTATTTTTGTGGTAATGGTATCAAGGAGAAAAGGGCTTTTCTCCAAGGTCGTTTACCAGGTGATTAGGCCAGGCCTATGTTGTACAGAGGTAACAGGATAGCGTGGCTCACCGTCAAGAGGAATCGTCCATTATCAATTCAAATATCCAGGAGTCGATCAATTTATACTAACCATTTTACAGCTACAGCAATATGCCCAGAATGCGGTCAATTCGCTCACTTGCTTCTCAGGCTTTTGGAAACCCGTGAGTTGCCGTGCCGTATTTAGATCCTCCACCCGAGATGCAGCACCAACTCTTTCATGTAACTTTCACCAAATTATAACTGTTCTGTCATGACCTGGTTATATATGACTGTATGACAAAGAACAGTTTTAAATTCTCCAGGTAAGAATTCTAGATTTGTCACCGATAAAATATGAAGCTTAATCTCAAAGTTTGCATTCTCTCTGCCAATTTCGTGATGCCAAAAAATTTTCTACGCCCACTTGCTTATTAAAAGTAGCACGGGTAAATAAGAACTTTTGAAGCTATAATTTCAGCAGTTATTGTTCAAAATGAACTTGGTCTACTAATTTCACATTTAATTTATCGAAAGGGAAGGCTGTACTGGTCTTCAAGTGAGAAATCCTTCCCATTTTCATGACTGGCCTGCTGAGTACTGGAATTTGTGGATAAGTTGCATCGCAATCCAAAAATTAATGTGAATCTATGGAGCAAAATTACTTGAGGCATTTCAATTACAGCTCTACCGCAACATGATGGTCGTTTATTAATTACATCTGTATTCCTTCTCAAAATTTTGAAAAAGATAAGAATCAAATTAGCCTTGATTAACACAAATTTTTTCAAATCGTGTAAATCAATTTACAGGGTCATGCGAGCAGGTAATCTTATGTGTTATTTGTTCACCCTCGGATTATTACTTTCGAAGAACAAATTCGCTTTCGGAACATTTGCAATTAGTCGGCGAAGGACATTGAAAAATCGCTCAAAAGAGGATTGCTGTGTTTATCGATCAATTATGTTTCTGTTGCATGGCATTGATTTTTTACGTTTAGTTAAAGCAAATATCAGGTGGTTTTATTAAAAACGATCTATGTTGTTTATGGCAATAAGGCTTTAAAAAACAGCAATCAATTTACAAATAAAAGCACTCAAGACCGATTTTGATTAAGCCATGAATGAATAAAGACTACCTATTCTTTACGAATGTTGGACATTATAAATACGATCATGACTCCTTATGGGTCGATAAATGAATAGTTCAAGAGGACATAATTATGGTGCTAAACCCATTTCTATGACTCTAAAAGCGTCTTAAACTTTATTTTTATGCATTTAGTAGAAGAGGCTTGTCAAGCATTATTTAAGATGTGGCTTGTTAAAAAAATTTCTCATCCAATTTCACATCTCTAAGACATTCTTTTTCCAATTTTCCATTTCGCTAGAATTATTTTGCCGCTGACCGTATGTTCAAATGACAATGACAAAATATACAGCCTCACCCCTCACTTTTTACTTTTTCAGGGTAAAATACACTTTTGCTGGCACTTTGATTAAATAGTCCCTGTTTTGTATAATTTAATGATATCAAAATGATATAGAAAACTAAGATAGTCTAACTGAACCCAGGTGTTTCTGTGCACTTTAATAAGGGTCACAGCTTTTATTCTCAATGACAAGATATATCCTAATAAACGCAAGATCTTTCGAATCTTCGGGCAACCAAAAAATCGTCCATAAAGCCATAAGATGTTTAAAAAGTCATATTTACCAAGTAGTTTTAAGTTGTACAATAGGAAAACGCATGCAAATTTATGAGGTAAAGCGCGAATCTTATACATGTATTACCGTACCATGTATAAGCAAAGTATGGTAACTTTTAAGAAAACAGCTGCTTTATAGACAGTTATCGTAGACCCTTCACGTGATTTTTGTGTACATAGCATGGTCTGTCACAAAGTGCTATATGCCGTATAGGCAGAGCCGTGCACTCTTTTGGTGTAGCGAACCTGACGGCTCTTTGTTGCTACTCCGAGATGCACGCTTGATGCAATAATCACGCTATGTATAGCATCTGATATTGATAAGAGGAACTTTGATTAAATTGTCATTCCTTCAACACAAACCAAATTGGAAAGAGATTGACATAAAGTCAAAATCATAGACTAAAATTTCACTTTAGAATTAATAAATATTTTTGATACAGAAGTAAGAATAAGACAACGCAGGAATACTATTCCGATAAAAATGGCTTTGCGAAAGACCAAAATTGCAGCAGGCATTCCATTACTAAGTAGCAGTTTAACCCATTTACAGTACAGAATCACCAAAATACGAGTACAAGGGTACCTGTTTGTTGACCAGGTGCACGTATTAAGACATCAAATGTTGTCATACATCAATTGTATACATTCCCAGCATGTTTAAAACATGCAACGATAAGATTAACAGGGTGAACATCTTCTACGAATGCACTTGATTAAATAGAATTCGGTGAGTAAATGCTTGTACATTTTTCACTTTGCATTTTATTTTTAGCATTTCAGTGAATGGGACAAATTTCAATCATTACGAAAATTAATCTTCACACAATAAATGGATCAACATCAAGTGCTTTTAAGCAGGTATGCAGAGTAAAAAGCTAAGCTATGTCTTCAGCTTAAAGAGATCTGACATTGTTGCTGTTACTGTTAGGTAGGTGTTTGAAGCGTAAAGATTCGAAATGATTTAAGAGAAGTGACACATAAAATCACTCAAAGCTTAGAATAATGCTTAAAGCATAAAAATGCTATGCTTTTCCAATCCTTGCTTCATTTCTTAGCCAAAAATTTATGAGTTGAAGTTGAAATCCATTAAACATTGTTTATGGCTTGGTCAAAAAATTGCTGAATAAGGCAAAAATTTTGATATTCTCAACTTTTTCTGATTCCTGAATAGTTTGCAAGGTAATATCCTCGTGAGGAATGTCAGAACACTTCTCACATCATAGGCTTTTGCTTAGTGATGAGAGGAGAATTCGCTGTTTCCTTGATTAGTAAGCCTAGAGTTATAACTGTTTTAATTAAGAATTACATTATTCTTCGTTTAAAGAGAAACTCCAAAAGAGCAAGGATTCGTTTGGTAGAAGAAAAGAGCACCAATTGAAGAATAAAAGATCATTTAGGCTACGAGCCGGATTAGAACTGGCAATGTGTTCGACTATGGAGCTGCTTGCAACTATAAAGATCTTCACATTTGCATTTGTTTTGCAAAGAACGGAAGCAAGAATCTACGGAGTGTTTGAAGTTGCTGCACACGAGAAGATTTTCAAAGAAGCTTTGATTAAGATTAATGTCAGTACTATAAATGCCTCTTCATACTTTCCACTAAACTTGAGTTTAAGCCAATTTGTGGACCGGGGAAATGACATTGCCAAAGAATTGAATGGACATGGAATAAGCGGCGGATATGTCTTTAATGACTTAAGCAATGTGAAAAATGAGATCTTCAGAGAAATTTCGAATTATGCAAAAGGCAATGGAAGAATTCATGCCAAGAATGCTTTCAGTGGTCTTGACCGGGTAAGGTATTTTATACTTTGAGGAAAACAGATGTGAAATTGAAATCACTTTAAACATTCTTCCCCAGCTTTTCAGTAAACCATTTTCATAAAAATGGGCATATTTTACATCGGTTTAGTGTTTTTCTGTTTAATTGCTAACTATTTTGCTCGTGGCGGCTTTGCTTTTAAATAACTATGAAATTGCCTAAAGGATTCAAAATACCCAAGCGGTACAAGAAGTTCCACTTAAACAAACATATTTTGAACGCAGACATGCTAACAAGAAAAATCGTGCTTTCTATTGACTGTGTCTAAACAGAAGATAGTTATTGCAATCGCGAAATCACACAAGCAAGCTAGAAATGTATCTCTCAAGTCCTTTTACTAAACTCTCATTCCTTTCTTTTTAATATCGATTTGGATCATTTACCTTCCTTGATAAAATATCATCCCAAAATTTATCTTTAAGACCTCTCAGGAGTTTAGCCTTAAAAGTATTTTTATTACAGACACTTGCCTTTAGTTTCGCATGCATATCGTGTTCAGCTTTTCTTGTCTGACTATTTATTGCTGGGCTATTTTGAAATTGCTCAACAAAACGCTAAGACTTCCAATTGCAACATCTTTGCTCGAAAAGCGTGGAACAACTTTTGTTGTATGTCGCTGTTGAATTTTCATGGCTATAGAAAGCATGCCATTGCTATTGTTTCTATTGCTTATTTCAGATTGCGAACCATTTATCTGAGGCTGATGAGCTGGTCAAGTTCATCAATCAAATTCCTCCCCCATCCAATCAAATATCAATCGTAGTCGATGATTCAGACCTAGGCCGTGCTTCACTTACCCGCATTGTTCAGAAATGCGCAGAATACGGCCTAAATGTTACTAACATACAAATGGTAAACAAAATTACTAGGGGAACCATATTTGCCTTAAATATGCACAAAAGCAATGTACTAGTTGTTGATGCTGATGAACAGAAAACAGTCAAAATCGTTAATATGGTGAAACACTTGGGCGTGGCAGGGTATCGTGAGGAGTTTTACTGGATGATGACCAAACGATCAACTGGACAACTCCACAGGCAATGCAACTTGCTTCCTCACATATATCGATATGTAGACTTTGTTCCTGCTTCGGTGTCGTCAGATTATATAATACAGAAGATTGAGCGACAAAATGTGGCGAGTTATAATTGGAGTCAGGATGCTTCTACGGGAATGTGAGTTATATACTTTAAGTATATTTGCGTAAGCAGTGGTTGACCAAAAAATGATTCAAGCCAAATTTTTGTAACTGATTCGCAACTTCCTAAGCTCGTGATATCAATAAAGGGGTTAATTTGGCTTCTGAAAAATAATAATTTGAGTTGAGTTTCAAGCTGAATAGTATGCACAAAACTGCTTCAGAAAATACTGCAGCACAAAAGGTTTCCCAACTTGTCTCTAAAGGATTTTGTAACGACATTGAATGACATAATTTGGATGATCAGAACGTATAAAAATCCAGGAGAAAGATAAAGTCTTTTGAAAGTTTGCTTCTTAAATAAAAGTGTTTCCAGGACAGTCTTTTCAAGTCTTGGTTATGCGCCTATCAAAATTCAAAATTGTCTCGATATTGATTTGGGTACAAGGTTTAATAAATCTCTATGACGAATTTTTCTGTTTGGTATGGAAAGAGCTCTACAAATAGTTAGTAAGGTGTTTTACACAATACCGTACATAGAAGTGTCAGCATTGAGTATTTCAGAGATATAACCTATCTATTTGCCACAATCAATTGTGGATCCTAAAAATGGCTAGCATTAAGTTGAAGAAATGTTATATGTCTTAAGAAAATAAATATTACCGCTTTACTGGAGGATGCATGGAGTATAATTGGCTTCTTCAAAAAACGATGGGCCTATTTGATAGGAAACTGATAAACAGGCAGCTTTATGCATCAAAGTTACAGTTTTTATTGCTACTTTTTGTCAGCATTATTAATCATTTGACAACCTTCTTATGCAAGAAAAACGTCTCTGAAAGAACTCAACACCGAAACTAAATTGTGGTTTACTGTGAATGCGCCACTTATGCACCCTGAACACCATTCTCACCCTTCAAGCGAAGACAAAGATTTGAAACCAGTGGTTCGAGTGGCAATCGCGCACACTACCACACCCTGGGTGATTTTGGAAGAGGCTAGCAAAATTAACACAGACAGAGAGGCATGCAGTCGTGCTGGCATGTTGGGAGAGAAGTATATCAATGGAACAGGCATTGTGAAGATATGTGCTTATGGCTATGCCATCGATTTACTAAATCTTTTGAAAACAAAGCTCCTTTTTGAGGCTGTAATTTCCACCTCAAAAGACGGAACATATGGATCTTATGACTTAGAAACAGGTGAAAGTGATGGAATTGTTAGAGAAGTGCTTGAAAACAAAGCCGACATTGGCATCGATCTAGCCGAAAACAAAGGAAGATCGAAGGCACTTTGGTTTTCGAACCCTCATCTCATTGGTCCAATTGCCTTTGGGTACATACAGAACAACAACTTTGATGAATCCAGTATTTTTGGTCCTTTCAGTAAGAACCTTTATATCGGAATAATTGGAATGATTGTAGGGCTAGTTGTGATCGTTTTTGTAACAGAACGTGTCAGTCCTTACAGTGGATTTCAAATTAGACAACGATCTTTTGTCGACATAAAAGACTTTGGAGCGTTTGACAGTACAACGTACGTATGGGGCACCTTATTTACAGGCGAAATAATTGAAAAGAAACCAAAATCATCTGGAAGCCGGACAATGGTACTTGCTTTCTCTTTTGTATCCGTTGTTATCATATCGGCATATTCTGGAAACCTTATCGCTTACCTGGTAGTTCTAGATGAAACACACCCAGTCTCAGGATTGCTCGATCCAAAGGTATTTCTAAATATGTCTTAATTTCCCATGCACATTTATCATAAAATGTCAGCTTCAAAGGCCAAAAATTTGCTTTGAATTCTTTAGTCTTTATAAATGCTCTGGTTGTAAAGTTTAAAATTTCAGAACAGAAAATCGGTGAAGCATAGAATAGAAGGCACCTGTGATCAGATGGTAGGTCACTTATTTGGTCACACATCCAGCATAAATTCGTCAATTACGCTTCTTACCATTATAATACTAGTCTATTGTCTTGCTATGAACAGCACTGTAGCCATCATTCATAAAAACTGTCTGATATGCATAAAATTCACTTTTGTGCATCTAAAAACTATGAAGATAGAACTTCATCAACATAGAACAGTTATTTTGCATTTTATAGATAATTGCAAAAGAAAGCAAGATGAGAGTTGGGATCCCTGGCAGTACATTCGTTGATGGATTGATCAAGACACATTCAGATGCAAGAGTTAGAAACCTTTATGGAAGACTGACGCACTGCCCGAGTCTTGATGAATGTGTGCTAAAATTAAAGAAAAAGTAAGAATATTTAGCTGCTTTTTTTAAAAGCGCTCTTGCTTTTAGTAGAATGCAATTTGGCTTGAAGCAGGAAATCTGTACTGCTAATAAGTTATCGAAATGCTGAATTGATACGCGTATGAAAAAAGTAAACTTAAGATGCATTAGGAGCAAAAATAACTCTTTAAGCATAACTTCACATTTTACAAGAAATTAAAGCTTTTCCTAGATTATTTGAATTCAATCAACAACTGTCCTCTTTCCTCCAATATTACAAATACCTTTTTTGCCTTAGTCAATTACAACGGCATATCTAGCGCAGAAGCAAAAAAAGTAGCAGAAAAAATGATATATTCCTTTTAAGTTATTTCTGTGGTAAAATAGGTCTTTGTAAGAAATGAAAAAGTCATACTTTGAGAAAGCTTTGTTTTCAAAACTCTCTATTAGCATAAGTTTCCCTCTTAGCTACTCTTTTTGCTCAAACTTTTGTGTATTTGGAAAAAAAACAACTACCGGCTCTTTTTCTAAGAATTTTGGTGTCACAATTACTTTGGTATTCAACCGTCAATCAATGGCTGCAAATAAAATGATGAATTAGTTTTGCTTGTAAAGTGCCTGCTAGCATAAAAACTAACTTCAGATAATAAAGCTTACTTGCCATCCTCTCGGGTCATTTTTCTATTTAGAACAGCAACTTCTTATTGAATTTCTGGAAATTTTGGGCGGATACTTTCAAGCATTCTAAATTGAAAAATACAGTAGATTCCAGCAACAGTCACACCAAATGTGGCTCGAGAATCCGTGACTGTAATCAGAGAATGTAAGCTTAGCTAAATTGAGTAGTTTTCATATTTGGGTCTTAATTCTTGGGTCTTTTATATGTGGCTCTAATAGGTTGTGTGACTTTGAGCGGAGTGACTACCAGCGGAGTCAACTGTAGATTTAAAGAGGTGAATGATCACCTCAGCAACCTCAGAATTCTTTGCCCTTTGGATGAAAATTGACGTAATCAAACTGCTATGTCTTAATTCTATTTGTTCAGGGAAATAGACTTAATTCTGTATGACAGTCCAACCTTGAGACACTATGCATCGATTGATCACAGCTGTTCGTTGAGAGTCATGGAGCTGACAGATCGAGATCGTGCGGTGGGAATCGTTGCACGCAAAAATTGGTCATGGACGAGGAGGGTGAACACAGCCATCAATCATTTAGTGGTATCTGGAAGTGCTGACCACATTTTTGCTAAATGGTTCGGAAAGGTTCCTTGCAAGAAAACAAGCACATTTTCTAGCCTTGATATTAAAATGCTTAAATACCTTTTCATCTTGCTCGCAGGCTTTATGGCTGGGTTAATTATTTTTAGTTTAGCCTTGAGAATCGCTAGCAGTTTTGCCAAAGACGAGAACATAACGAAGATGAAGAGAACTGTTGAATTTGGCAACAGCATCATGTTTGAAAAAAGTACAGTCTGCTCTCGATAAGTGGAACCCCGGATAAGTGGAACTTTCGTTTAGTGAAACCAATTTCTCCGGTTCCTTGGACTTTAACAAATCATTAACAAACCTCTCTTATCTTATTCGGATAAGTGGAACCTTTGATAAGTGGAAACATTTTCTTGTTCCCATTAGCAATAGTTATTCACCTAAGTGAAGTTTTTCCAAAAAAATAATCTTAAGTACGTTCGAATGTTCGAATCATTTTAATCAATATTGCAAACATTCGATTGCTATCAAGTAATTAAAGAAATGGCAGCTGTGCATTCTTCGAAACGAAGACTTGCCTGTTTAACTACAGTCAACAAATACAAGGCTTTCAAAGAAATTTATGCAGGCCCTAGCTACAGCAAAGAAATATGGTGTTGCTAGAAACACCGTTTCACACTGGGTAAAAAAGAACGCTTAAATATTTGAAGCAGTTGAAGGAAATCTCTAAAACAAGTTTTTTTGAAACTTTCACAAACTCTAAAACAAGCGCGTATAAAAGATTATTTTGCATAACTACATTTCTTTAAAAATAATCATCATATGGAACATAAATACTTTTTTAGTCATATGGATCATTATTCGTAAATGCCCCGTTCTCCAGAGAAATCAGACAAGGAAGAAGTTCGATAAGCGGAACTTTCGGTTTCATCGAGGTTCCACTTATCGAGTAATTCGGACAAGAGGAACATTCGATAAGTGGAACCATCTTTTTCGGTCCCGTGGAGGTTCCACTTATCGAGAGTAGACTGTATGTAGATAACAATAGATTATATTCATAAAGAAACGTCAAGTAAAAGGAATTATACAGCATAGTAAATTAAAAACAAAGTTCGGAATTTATGCGAAATTGTATTCCCTTTATCACAGAGTTAACTTCATTTAAAACTGTCGAAATGCCAACTAAAGTAGAATGCTTGTACTCCTCGGAGACAAACTGATCAGAGACTAGATGGTAGCTTTGACTAGAATTGTACAATGATATTTTATTGAAACAGCTGAAGTTATAACTTAGTGTCAAATCTACGTAAGTAGGTGTTTCCAAAATTTTGGGAAGGCGGTACAAACCATATTAAGTAAGCGGCGAGATGTGTGTTTGCACTCGGAATTATTTTTATGCACATTGGAGATACTTTTCTTTTAATCTAACATCTTTTGAAAAGGCAACAGTTCAAATCGAAATAATGTTATCAAATTTGCTAAGTCTTTTAAGAGTTTTTGATAAATCATTGGATTTTGAATATCTGGTTCTATATTACAAGTCATTTCTTACAGGATTGCTGTAAAAATAGAAGTTCTAGCTAATTTGCTTGCCAAACGACATTCACTCTTCTGAAATTTCATTTCCGTTTCAAGCTTTGCTAGCATACATTCAGGTTTATTCCCCAATACCCAAGCATTAAAGGCATTTAACACAGATAAAATGGCTTGAAGCCACTCGACCGCGAGGGGTTGCACAAAGAAATACACGTGAACAGTTTCCGCTTTTCTACGAATCGGTGGAATCCTAGAGCAGTGTGCAGTGGTTTCACGTGAGCAGAATCCAATTACTTTCTTGTGGGGCGTGCTCTGATCATTTTGGCCAAAGTTATTTTCGATTCGCTCTACTTAAGCATGTTTAATACCTTTTAAAAAACAACGAATTAGAATGGGGTAATAAAGAGGTTTAATAGTCATTTTAACTATTGCTCTCTTTTATGGATCTATTGTAGCCGCAAATCTGGAAAACGTATTGAAAGTATGAATAAAAGGGCAGTGAGAGTGGCTTACAATGATTTTGAATCCAACTTTGAAAATATTCTTTCAGAAACAAATGATTCTAAGATACGTTAAAAGAACAAATTACTCAAGTAGTTGCAGGTTGCACCCTTAATTCAAAATAAGCGAAAATAAATTCAAGCTAGCCTATAGTTTTATATGAAAAGCTTTTTACCAAGCATTCAGTAATTCCACATTTTATTTTTTAAACAACTTGAAAAGATCACCTTTTCAAATCACAATAATTCCGTAGAATTATTACCAACGGAAAATAGAATTTATTCTCAGAATATTCTTATCTATTTCAAAGTGAAAAACGTAAAAAATGATGTTTAAAAGTTCTTGTCCTTGCAACTATAATGTTTTAAGATAACGTTTTTATGTCATTCTAAGAAAACAAAAATCAATCAATTATGTTTCTGTTGCATGGCATTAATTTTTTACACTTTTTTAAAGCAAATAGCTGGTGGCTTTATTGAAATTGAAAGTTTGTATATATGTCATTGAGGCTGTAAAAAGCAGTGATCAATTCACATACTTGTTGGGAAGACGAGTTTAAATCCCCATTTTTAGGACTATCATTCTATCCATCAGTGGAGGCGCAAATGGGGGGTATGAAGGTAATAAGTATGGAGGGTAATTACCCCCCCCCCCTCACTTTTGTCAAAACATGGTCTAGGTACATGCTTGTTTCTAAGAATTGATTAAAAGACGCTAGGTAGAGGTAGATCACCTTTCCTAAGGAAAATTAGCCTGGTACAAAGCACTGAAACGAGGCAAAAGGAGCGTTATCTCATCGGCCACGCCCACCACCCTCACACTGCAATGGCTGGCGCTGACACTGCTGTCCATTTGTCTGAGCCAATGGGAAGGTGCATCATATGGGCATGCGTATTAGGATGGAGACAAAATTTTCATTTATGGCGCTTTACAGCATTGAACAAATTCACTTTACATAAAAGCTGCACCATATAGACCAGAGTTTTATTTCATTTTTCGCTTGATTCACTTTTCTCTAAATTTTCTTCATTTATTTAATTCGAGATTGGCTTATTCCCATAAGTGCCAGGAATGTTCCTACCACATGATTTATTATGGGATGTGAAAACAGTGACATTGACTTTAACTGCGCATGTATATATGATGCAAAATTTTGGAAAGCCACATGATTTTCATACAAAGGCCGGTTCGTCTCTCCAACAAAAACGTACTCAAGGCCATTTTGAATAAACCATGTACGAAATCTGACAACACAATCCTTTTGTGCAAAAGAGGGTCTTTTCGACGGCACTCATTGCATATGTCACTCCTTTTTGCGCTCGTTTTTTCGTTATTTTTGGTTTCTTTTCTTCGTCCTTTATTATTTTAAGGAATTTCAGATTAAGACAATGTTCTTTTGAATTTAGAAGTAGTTATTGCGCAGTTACATTCGGTACTGTCCTGTTGATTCGCCCTCCGTCTATAATGATGCTAGATGGGTTTTATAAAAAACGGCTATATTATATCCAAAAAGTAAAGGTTGCCTCTTGTACACTAACTCCAAAATATTTCAAATGAAAATGGAACTGGGTATATTGAAAAAGTTTTTTCCAAAAAAACCTTAAAAATCTACGGATCGAAAAAAATGCGTTTTCAATTTACACATCAACATGAAAAGTAAATCTACAGCGTGATTGGTTCAAAGCAGGGGCGGATTGGCTCCAAATTCGTCAAAGGAGGTTCAGAGGAGGGGCGGGTTAATTCGTCAAGAGGCCCCGAAAATAAAAAACAGTTAAAGGGTATCCCCAAAGTTTTTTGTTGCGTCACTTTTTTATACTTGCTTAAAACGTTTTTGGAATATTGCTATTAATTCTAATTAGTAAGAAACTTTCAAGAGTAACGAGTCTTCCTTTCTATGCTTAGATGTCAATTCATCTCTACATTTCTATGAGCATAAAGCTTGAAATGCATCTCAGTCTTCCAGCTGTATCTCGTTTCTTTTTATTGTTTAGTTTACAATGAGACACATTTAAAACTTACGAAATGCTGTCAGATCAAGCTGCGCTTATAAGATATTCAAACACAATTTTTGCAAATTATTGAATGGGGGCATTGCCCCCATGTCCCCAATATCTACAGGCCTGTTATTTTGCAAAGTTCGTCAGGGCAAATCCCGCATGGTTTTCGCCACGTCGGCATATTTTCGAATTTAAACTAGCACAGTTAGACCACACCAATGGAATTATGCCGAAATTTTGCCGACGAAACACACCAAAATTTGGCGTGAGCATGATGTTTTATACCTAAGATCTTTGGCAAATCATTCATGTTTTATACTGGAGCAAAGTATAAGAAAATTTATCAGGTTTTGGAACTTCCTGTTGAATAATGTATTATTGCATCAGAGTCAGTTAGCCCTGGGACCAGGATTCTCCTTGCTTACATGGGCCCCAAATTTTGGAAAATGCTTTTTCAGTATTTGGATACCGCAAAGTGATATTTTTATTCATTCTCTATCCACAGAAGAGGGCCCCTACCAAACAATATGAGTTTTCATTTAATAGGAAAATTAAGTAAAAATTGTAACAATTTTAGGAGGGCCCTCCGGGCGATCGCCCGGTAGCCCGACCGGCCAGTCCGCCCCTGGTTCAAAGGGTCATAAATTTGGTACTGAACTCATGTATAGGCAATTTTAGTCCTAAAATCGTTTAAACTTTGTCTTTGTATACCTTTGTATAAACTTTGTCTTTGTAGAAGAGAGATGTTGCCAAGCAATTTGAAAGGTGTTGCTTTTTAATTTTTTTGTTATGAAAATTCCTACTAGCCATTCCTTTTACCTTCAACCATTTGTTTTCCAATCACTGAAACTAGGCCATTGAGTGTTGATCAAACGACAATGATCAAATAAACTGCCTTATATTCTATTTTTTCAAGCTAAAATTGATTATACGTAAGATTTTTCAGTTCTAGTATTCCGATTTATAATAGCTTATTTTACATTTTGATGATATCAACATAAAATAAGAAAACTAAGACAGTCTAACTAAACCATGGTGTTTTAATGCACTTTTTGAAGACCATATGCATAAGCTAACAATATATTTTTTATCTACCGAGCATTTTTAGGTCTTGTCATGGCAAAAGTATCCGAAATTAAAATGCAAAGCACGAATCTCCAATTTAAAGGACAAGTGAAAGATCTACGTATTCTTTCGCGTAGCAGTTTTATTTGCCTTTTATAATACAGGCATGGGAGTTAGTACAAGTACAAAATTTTTCATGCTGAATAAGATGAGATGCAAACTCTACTTTAAAAACGCCCCAAAGCTATTTTTAGACTGGGGTACTTGTACCTAGTTCTCCTTTGGGTCTTCCTCCATATCTTTTATACTATGCAAGATATGGACCAGAAACTGAGTTGTAAATTGACATGCTGAATACGATGAGATGCAGGTCCCACGTCAAAACGCCCCAAAGCTGATTTGTCCTATTTTTGAGGTTAAGCGGCTGCACAACAAGCATTCATTTTGTTGTTGAGCTAAGACAGGTACACGTATTGAGAAATTGAATGTTGGCTTCAAGTAACTGAATCAGTTCTATACATTGTAAGCGTGTTTGAAAGGTTCATTCTTGGGAAAATTGCAACATTGAGATTTCCCAGACGTACTTCTCCATCGGCCGATGTGTTGGATGCTAAAAGGAAATCTTTGCTTGATAAATATTGCTACAAAAAGGTAATTATAATTATTGAGCATTCTATCATTCTTCCTTTAAAGGAAAGTTTTACCAGGGAAGGAGCAAAAATTGGTTCGGTAAAAGAAAAGAGCATCAGTTTAAAGTACTAAAGACCGTCAATGCTACGAGCCACAGCAGTTTAATTACTGGCAATGAGTTTAACAAAGAAACTGCTTGTAATTATAAAGACCCTTACATTTGCATTCGTATTCCAAAGAACTGAAGCGAGAATCTACGGAGTGTTTGAGGTTGCTGCAAATGAGAGGGTTTTCAAAGAAGCATTGGTTAAGATGAATGTCAGTACTATAAATGCCTCTTCATACTTCGCACCAAACTTGAGTTTAAGCAAATTTGTGGACAAGGGAAATGACATTGCCAAAGAGTTGAATGGACATGGAATAAGCGGCGGATATGTCCTTAATGACTTAAGCAATGTGAAAAACGAGATCTTCAGAGAAATTTCGAAGAAAGGCAATGGAAGAATTCATACCGAGAATGCTTTCAGTGGCCTTGACCGGGTAACTTTTCTATTTATTTTTTCAAGCACAACATTAAAAAAGTTTAAATTACTTTTGACTTCCCCTGCTTTTTTTGTGGCATATGTTACGCCAAATTAGTTTCACTTTGTTTTGTTGATTATTATTCTGCTCGTAGAAGCTTTTATTCACTGAAAATTGAAAATTCCAAAGTGATTCAAAATACACTAATGGTACAAGAGATCCCATTCAAATAAAAATATTTTAAACGCAGCTTTGCTAACAATAGCTTACTTGTATTCTATTGACTATAGCAATCAAAAAGCGTTCTCTTGTCTTGGATCTCTGAGAGTCAGAAGTTCATCGCTCAACGAATGTTGTGTCGAATTGTTGAGGTCGTTTTAACACCCCGATTCAACATCATTACACACCACTAAACATCACAATGCAGATGTTGAGCGATGTTCAGTGAAATGTCGAGAGCGTTTTCACAGGGCTGTAGCCAACAAAGTTTTTTCATAAGTCTTTTTACAAACACCTCATTCCATTGTTTTAGATGCCGGTTTGGATTCCTATGCTTTACCCTATAAAAATTAGTCTCAAAATACATCTCAAAATTTATCTTAGAGGACGTGACTAGTCTGGAGTCTAGTTTCTTGGTCATTGACAGTTGCCAAGATTCACATTCAATTCTTGTTTGGATTGTGGCTGGCCTGGTCTATTTTGCCGGTAAAGCCCAGTGATATAAAAAAGAGACTGGATCGAGCTTCTCCAGCCCAGCGTTGATTCTACATTGCAGCGTCCATCTTGAGACCTCGCTGTGTTATATGAGACTAGAGAGCAATCATGTTGGTTTCAGTTCAACTTGCTTTTTCATAGCAAAATTTAAAGTAACCGTTGAAACAAAAACTTGCATCATTCGTAAGTGACGTTAAACATGTTTGCCATAGTACTAAGCTTATGTAACAAAGAATTCGCTGTTTAATTATTTTCTTAGGCCTGTTGTATCTTAGAATATTTTAGAATTTAATGATTAATGCACAATTTAAGGCGCAGCACTGTGTGTGCACCGTTTGAACAAATGGCAGCCCAAAGCTTTAGGCGCGAGAGGTCTCAAGATGGAGAGGCTCGATAAGCTTCATCGTGCTAATGTAGGAGAACAATATGTTGTTCGATCCAGTCTTTTTTTCAGATTCATTTCCCTGCAATTTTGCAATTGGTCAACAAAATGCTGCTTCCTGCAAGTGCGACGACTTTGCTTGTATTGTTGAACCAACTTTTACCACAAAGGTCTGAAGAAAATACAAGAACAAATATTCTTTCTAAAGATATGACTGCATTTGAACTTTCTCTATATCTCTATTGCTCATTCTAGATTGCAAACCATTTATCTGAAGTTGACGACCTGGTCAAGTTTGTCAATCTAATTCCTCTCCTGTCCAAAGGAGTATCCATCATAGTGGATGACTCGCAATTCGGACGTGCCTCACTTACCCGTATTGTTGAGAAATGCACAGAGTATGGCCTAAATATTACAAGCATGCAAATGATAAGCAATGTCGATAAGAGGACCATATTTGCCTTAAATATTCACAAAAGCAATGTGCTTGTTGTTGATGTTGATAAAAAGAAAACGGTCAAAATCGTTAACATGGTAAAACACTTGGGCGTGGCAGGGTATCGCGAAGAGTTGCATTGGATGATGACCAAAAGATCAACTGGACAATTCAACAATCAATGCAACTTGCTTCCTCACATATATCGATATGTAGACATTTTTCCTGCGTCCTTGTCTTCAGACTATATCATAGAGAAGATCCAGCGACAAAACTTGGCCAGTCCAAATTGGAGTCGCAGTGGCATTGCAAGAATGTAAGTGCAGTAGTGCATCAGTAATGTTTTGCATAGACTGTGGTTGGCAATAAGAAATTACACTTCCTTAATTTTGAGATATGAATTAAGTGGCTAGATTGGCTTTGGCAAAAGGGCCAATTGAGATTAACAATGAAGGGTTTGCAAGAAAAACTGTTCTAGAAAATGCTGCAGCACAATAGCCTTTTCAAACTTCTTCTAAATAATTTCACTTTGAAAAATGCTTTGCAAACACCTTAGCAAAATTCAATTTATTCTTTGAAGACAAAATTTGAGACCAATTAATGGTACTTTTATTTATCAAAGTTACTGTTTATATTTGGGGTGGGCAGCTATCTTGAGAGTGGGCGAGATCCTTCAAATCTTTATGGGAAAAACGAACACGATTGTCTTGTAATAATAATGATAATAATGATGAAAAGTTTTCAATTCATAACACTTACAATTATAAGCCTTTCTATTTCATGGATAGTTTGCAACGGGCTAGTCTGGGTTTAAAATATAAGAACTTTGCAATCGCAAGTGCTAAAGGAAAAACTGAAAAAAACAACCAAAGTTAAAAATGATGTCATTTGGGGTTTGGAAAGATCATCGTAGAAAGCAAATACAAAATTATCCAACAATGAACGTCTAGCTTTGGCCTTTTAGCTCAGGCCATTTATTTTAATATACATAAACGCCAATTTAACCAATGTGGGCCTCACCTTCACTGAGACATGATAAAAAAAGACAAACGTGATATTAATTGTCTTTTTAAAGTGCACCTGGCAAAATTCATCTTTCTGCATTTGTTACCTTTCGCCAATCTCTCAAAAGTTCTGCTGTCCTGTCTTTTTGCAGGATGAATTCGTGACAACGGATAAAATTTTTTCCATGATTTTCAGGTTTGAAGGAGATAATCTCATTTTAATTCAAATATTTTATTCAATATTGGCGACCGCTCAGAAAATCAACCTTGCCAACAACAAAAAATAATAATATGCTTTCACCACTTCCCAGGCCATAAAAACCATCTTCCAGGGGCCGGATTCTGGCTCGTAAGCGGTAAGTTGCAGACCCTTGCAATAGAGGCTACCTGGTACCGAATTTCCCAGTACAATTTAGGTTTTTGTAATCAGCTTGTCGAAATTGACCAAACAGAACAGAGTTGGTCTTGCAAAGTCCCTCGATGGGTAATGATAGTCCCCCTTGCTTGCCTGGTCTTCTGGTCTATATGTTACCTCTTTGAAGCATTATTAATCCTTGAAAATCTTCTTTTGCAAGAAAATCATCTATCAAAGAACTTAATACCCACAGTCGATCGTGGTTCACTGTGAATACCCTAACAATGCAGCCTGAAAAGGATTCTCACTCTACAAGCAAAGGTGAAGATTTGCAGCCAGTGATTCGAGTGGCAATCGCTCACACTGCCGCACCCTGGGTGATTGTGGAAGAGGTGAGTAAATCTCACGCCGACCGACAGCCATGTGGTCTTATTGGTATGTTAGGAGAAAAGTATGTCAATGGAACAGGAACTGTGAAGATATGTGCTTATGGCTATGGTATCGATTTACTAAATCTTTTGAAAACAAGGCTCCTTTTTGAGGCTGTAATTTTCACCTCAAGAGACGGAAAATTTGGATCTTATGACTTAGAAACAGGTGAAAGTGATGGAATTGTTAGAGAAGTGCTTGAAAACAAAGCCGACATTGGCATAGATCTGACCGAGAACAAAGGGAGATCAAGGGCACTTTGGTTTTCAAACCCTCATCTCATTTCTCCTATTGCCATAGCCTACGTAGAGAAAAACAGCTTTGATGGATCGAGTATCTTTGGTCCTTTCAGTAAAAACCTATATATCGGAATAATTGGAATGATTGTAGGGCTAGCTGTGATCGTTTTTGTAATAGAACGTGTCAGTCCTTACAGTGGATTTCAAATTAGACAACGATCTTTTGTCGACATGGAAGACTTTGGAGCTCTTGACAGTACCACATACATATGGGGCACCTTATTTACAGGCGAAATAATTGAAAAGAAACCAAAATCATCTGGAAGTCGGACAATTTTACTTGCTTTCTCGTGTGTGTCCGTTGTTATTCTATCGGCATATTCTGGAAACCTCATCACCTACTTGGTAGTACTGGATGAAAGGCCTCCAGTGTCAGGATTGCTCGACCCAAAGGTATTTTTTAAATGTGTATGCATTTGTTTCGAGACTTGTTAATGAAAGTATCTTGTACTTAGTATCTTGGAGATATAACTAAATGGAAAATGATATTATATCATTTCAAAAAAATAAATTTTATTTGGGTTTTATTGCTTTTTCAAAGTTAATAAATGAACTGAATTTATAGAAGAATTTTAATATCAGACTAATATCAGATCAAAATGTAGTTTCAAAAGTTTATTCAATTTTGATTAATTATTACTGCTCTTTTTGTGAAACATGAAATCTTGGAGCTAAAAGCACAACATTTAAACAGCCAAGACATGCGATCAAATAATAGGTCACGTATTTGATCACAAATCCGTCAATAAAATTATTATCTATTGCCTGGCCTTTAGTTCTCCTTTACAAAATTTTTATTAGCATACTGAAAAAACCTTTGATTTGAAAGTTTTAAAAATTAGTTTTTTAAAATCTTTTAATTAGAAAAATTTTATTAACATAGAAGCTAGAAAGTCTTGTATTTTAATGCTGCTTGAAAAACATAGCTATTATTTTGTATTGGAAGATAATTGGAAAAGAAAGTACAATGAAAATTGGGATCCCTACCGGTACAATTGTTGATGGATTGATCAAGACTCATTCGGATGCCAGAGTTAGAAACCTTTATGGAAGACTTACGCACTGCATAACTATTGATGAATGTGCGCTGAAATTGAAGAAAAGGTGAGAACATTTAGCTGCTGTTTTGAAAAACTCACTTGCTCTTATAAGAAATTGCAAATTGGCCCTGAGGCAAAGTGGTAAGCATCTTTCTTTGTTTTATCTTTGTTACGCAAATATCAATCTTTGGCACACAATTGTTGCATTGGCCTAGAAAAAGTAGTCCCAAAATCTTCGTCATTTAGATGATGGGAAGCGTAATCAATTTACTATGTCTTGCTTTCTATCTGTTTAGGGAGATTGACTTAATTTTGTCTGAAGGCCCAACTTTGAGATACTATGCATCGATTGATCACAGCTGTTCTTTGAAAGTCATGGAGCTGACAGATAGAGATCGTGCGGTGGGAGTCGTAGCACGCAAAAATTGGTCATGGAGGAGAAGGATCAACACAGCTATCAATCATATAGTTGCATCCGGAAATGCTGACTACCTTCATGCCAAATGGCTGGGAAAAGTTCCTTGCAAAAGAACAAACACTTTCTTTAGCCTTGATATCATGATACTAAAGCATCTGTTCGTCTTGCTTGCAGGCTTTATGGCTGGGTGCCTTTTTTTAAGCTTAATTTTGAGAATTGCCAGCAAATTTTACACGAAAAAGAAAGATGACACAGATGAAGAAAATGATTGAATTTGAAAGCAACAGTATTTTAAAAGTCTAATCTTGAAGATAGGAGCTTTTGATCGAATTTCAGCCAGGAGTTTTTTTGGGTTGTTTAGTAGCAGTTCTTTTTGCTTTCTTGCAATTGGTGCAGTAGGATGTGTATGGACCCAATTCACATGCAAAACGTGCATATATGGATCAAATATAAGATTTGTCTCTATATAGAAAGTATGGTTGTATGAAATTCTTAAATTCACAATATGAAAAACTTCAAAGGACTAAACAACGCCTCCTGACAATCTTCTAGCCCCCCTCCCTATTTCAAAAAGAGACATTGAGGGCCCTTATTAGCATACTAACTAGGGGTGGGGGGCAATGACCCTTGCAGCCCCAGTGATTTTCCTTTTTTATAACAATAGACTATTGTCCTTTTCTTGATATTAATAAATGCTTGCCCCGCAACCAATTTCTCTCCCTAAAGGCTTTGGAGCTGTTGGAATAATAGTATGTAGATACAAGAAATTGATTACTAATGAAATCAAATACCGTCGCATATAAACCTCGGTATTTCCTATAGAAAGAAGTGATCTTCCTACAGAACTGCTTAAATGCAACCAAGACAGGATGCCTTTAACCTTCCCACGACAAACTAGAAGACAATAGATGGTAGTTTTGACTCCAACTGTAGAACGGTTTTTGATTGCAATATGTTGAAGTTATAGCTTAGAGTAAACTTTACCTAATAAGGGGTTTTCCAAGTTTTGGTTTGCTAGAACATATCACATTAAAGGGCATGTGTAGTGAACATGATTGGCTAATGCAATACAAATATCTCTTTTGTTTAATACAAAGCATGGAATCGAGGGTGAATTTTTACGGCAGTGAAAATTAATTAAGAAAAAATGAATAGTCACGAAACAATGGAATTCCACTCCAAACGCTTTTGTTTTATTAGCCAACTGCTAATGCGACATATGCCCTTAAAGTTAGCGGTGAGATATATGTACGCACAAGGTAGTATCTTTACACGCATGGGAAATGCATTCTCTTTTTTATTTTTAACCAAGCAATAACATTACTCCTTTGCAACTACTTTAATCGCCGTAAGGGTATCAATTTGCTAGGTCTTTTATCCAAACCCATGAATTCTCATGGTCTTGACTACTTGATCAAAATCTTTCATGATTTGTTAGTTTGATATACAATGGCTTTTGCCAACGTCAGAAAATGATCAGGACACCATTATTATGGCCGTTTAAGGCCAAAATGCCTTGTGTTCTTACACATTCTAAAAAAAGAGAATGAATATTCTGCAAGAGGATCCTCTCCTCAAGATATTAAATCATCAAATCTTCACGGGATTTTAATTGTAATGCCATTTGTGCACTCTTTATCACAAACATCGTAATCTATATTATTTAAAATTAGACCTTTCTATTATTTCATGCTTTGTTTAATGCTATTCTTTCATCACAATATTTCTCAACATTTTGCTTTGAAAAATGCAAATAACAAGTATTTATATTTTTTAGTGTTTTGTTGTATGCAAAATGAAAGTAATTTTGTTTCTAAAATAAAAAAAAAAAATTCTGGTGAAGTGTCATCCATTATAAAGCATGCTGTTTGTTTGTTCAATTCGTGACAATTGGCGTTTCTTCTTTGCTTTTAAGATCTTTATTTTTCATTTGTAATCCTTCGTAATAATGCATTTGTAATCTATGGTATACTTTGAAAAAGCACGTTTCAGTTCTATGATGTATCCGAGCCAAGAGAAAAATTTGTATTTCTCGAAAATTCTGCTTTATGCATTAGAACTTTATGGTTTGATCCAATTTAGCATTCTTAATTAAAAAGTAGACTGAAAGAGGCGAATGATAGCAGAAATAATATTTAAAGAAGAGCCTAAAGTTGGAAGCATCATTCCTCTGCTTTTTGCTTTGGCAAAAAACAACCTCAGCAACCTCAGAAGTCTTAGCCTTTTAGATGAAAATTTACGTAACCAAACTACTATGTCTTAATTTTATCTGTTCAGGGAAATAGACTTACTTCTGTCTGACAGTCCAACTTTGAGACACTACGCATCGATTGATCACAGCTGTTCTTTGAGCGTTCTGGAATTAACACAAAGAGGTCGTGCGGTGGGAATCGTTGCACGCAAAAATTGGTCATGGACGAGGAGGGTGAACACAGCCATCAATCATTTAGTGGTATCTGGAAGTGCTGACCACATTTTTGCTAAATGGTTCGGAAAGGTTCCTTGCAAAAACAAGCACATTTTCTAGCCTTGATATTAACATGCTTAAATACCTTTTCATCTTGCTCGCAGGCTTCATGGCTGGGTTAATTATTTTTTGGTTTAGCTTTGAAAATTGCCAGCAAGTTTTACCAAAGACGAAGACATAACGAGGGTGAAGAGAATTGTTGAATTTGGCAACAGCATCATGTTTGAAATAAATATGTAGATAACAGTAGATTATATTAAAAAATATTGTCCGGTGAATTGTTTAGATTTATGCGAAATTTTATTCCCTTTATCACAAAGTTTACTTCATTTAGAACTGTTGAAATGCCAACTAAAGTGGGATGCTTGTACTCCTCCGAGACAAACTGAATAGAGACTAGATGGTAGCTTTGACTAGAATTGTACAATGATATTTTATTGAAGTTTTTGTTGCACTAGGAAGTATTTCAACACACAAAGAAGATGCTTCTTCTTTTTTCAATAATCCAATATTTTTTGAAAAGGCAAAAATTTTAATCGACAAAAGGAGATCAAATTTCTCAAACGATCTTAAAAGATCGTTATAATATTTTGAGAAATCATTGGTTTTGAACATTGGGTCCTATGATACAAGTCGTGGCTTGCAGGATTAATGTAAAATAGAACTTTTTAATAAAGTGAAGAAAAATAAAATAAAATAAAACTGAGCTTTTTGCCAAAAGACATTATTCCACTGAAATTTCGCTTCCGCTTCAGGCTTTGCTAGCATATTTTTACGATCAGGTTCATTCTCCAATACTCCAGCATTAAAATCAACGAATTAGAATAGAATGATAAAGAGGTTGATTCAAAGGGATTTGTTTTCAGCTACGGGGAAAAATTTGAAAAAGCTGGATACCAATGAGAAGGATTCTGAAAAGAAAAGCTTTTCAGAGAAAACATGACAAATCTCAGACCAGTTTTGAAACTCATGCCACCCTGAGTTCAAGTCGCGTGTGGTCAAATCTTTTTGAGTGGTTCGCCTGTAGATTCACTTCGGCTTAGATTCACCGATTTGAAAATGTATGAATAGAGAAAAGGTCACAATAGCAGTCTGCTCGATGGACTCTAAGGAGTTCTTGCGGCGTAAAATCGATGAAAATGTAGCAAATAAGAAACGTCGCAATATTAGGCGAAATACTAGCCTTCATCAATTTACGTGTATTTATTGTTGTTTATTCTCGTCGCATTGCAGTGTTTCTTATTTGCTACAATCGAATATTCAATTCGACAAAAAGTTATCAAATGAACACAATTTTTTCAAATCAAGGCAAACTGGACTTGGATATGTCGTTTGCAAGGTTCTTCCAGTGTTGTTTTTTGATAAAGGTTCGCCAATGTCATTTTTCTTCCTAAACCATCTATTTCTGAGTTGACTGTACCTATGTAGTTTTTGGTTTCTAGACTGAATTGCTTTTACCGTGAATTTCATTTAATCATCATTTCACACAGCGGAATGAATAAGTTTCTTGTATCATTGACAAGTAGAATATTATTGATGAACAACTTTCAGACAGCAAATTTCCGTGTCTGAAAAATGAGGAAAAGCTTTGTGATGAAAATGATGAAAAAGATGGAAGTCGAGCATGTCAGCATTTTTTCAGCTAGTGTTGATACAAATCAACTATATCTCTACAGTAAAATGATATTTAATTGTTAATTGCATCTGTATTCCTTTCCAAATTTTCGAAAAGGGTAAGAATTAACTTCTAAAGTCTTAATTAGCACGAAATTTGTCAAATCGAGAAAGGTTTTACAAAGAGATCAAATGTTTTAGGGTGTTAAGAAAAGTAGCAATTTATGTCCATCAGTTTCCCTTTTTCCAATACCAGGAGCAAAAGCTTGCACTTTCGGGGTCAAAATATTGTTGTTCTGGTATGATAAACATAGCAGTCTAGACAATAACTAGCAGATAAAAAGAACATCTGCGAGATTTACAAATATTTCTAGCTTTAATGCAAATATAACCATTTGCTGTGGTTGCATTTTAAGAAAACGTTCAAAATAAAATCTTACAGCCTCTAATTGGTTTAATGCACTTAATCATAAGGTTTAAAAATACAGAGGCTTTAAAAAAAAGTTTACAGTAATATTCACTAAATACACATTTCATTCTATAAAATCTTATAAAGATAATCACTTTTTTAAGAAAATCATTTTGCTGTCCGTAGAATTATCACTGATGGAAAATAGAATTGAAAATAGAAGAGTCGTTTAAAATGGAATGTTTCAAATCAACGTGCTTATTCCTGTGCAAGCAAAGATCGATCAATTATGGTTCTGTTGCATGACATTGATTTTTCACACTTTGTTAAAGCAAATACCTGGTGGCTTTATCAAAATTGATCTATGGTGTTTATGACAATAAGGCTGTTAAAAGCAGTCATCTGCTTACAAACGTAATCAAGGCCATTTGGAACAAGGAAGGTACAAAATTTGACAGCACAATTTTTCTGTGCCAAAGAGGGACAGCACCTTTCTTCCTGTTACTGCTTGTTGTGCTTGTTTTTTCATTTCTGTTTGTTTCTTTTTGTTTCTTTTGTTTCCCTTTTTCGTTTACTTTTGTTTCCTTTTGTTTATCATCGTTTCTTTTTGTCTCTGTAATATATTTTGATTCCTTCTGTTTCTTTTCGTTGCTTTAAGTTTTTTGTCTCTTCTTGTTTATTTTTGTTTCCTTTTGCTTCTTTTCATTTCTTTTGTTTCTCTTTTTTGTTTCCTTTTGTTTTCTTTTGTTTCTCTTCGTTTCTTTTTGTCTCTGTAATTTATTTTGTTTCCTTCTGTTTCTTTTCGTTGCTTTTAGTTTTTTGTCTCTTCTTGTTTATTTTCGTTTCCTTTTGCTTCTTTTCATTTCTTTTGTTTCTCTTTTTCGTTTCCTTTTGTTTTCTTTTGTTTCTCTTCGTTTCATTTTGTCTATGTAATTTATTCTGTTTCCTTTTGTTTCTTTCTGTTGCTTTCTGTTTCGTTTTGTCTTGTTTTGTTTTTTTTTTCTTTTTATATTTCTTTATTATTCTTACAATTTCGATATATGACAATGTTTATTTGAACTTAGAAGTAGTTATTGCGTAGTTACATCTGGTACTGCCCTGTCAAGGTTGCGTCCCTCTTTCACCTTAAATGCAAAACTTTACAAATGAAAATGGACCTGGGTATATTGAAAAAGTTGTTTCCACTTTAAAATTTATGGTCATTTTTGTTATTACATTTAACAAACCCTAAGGATCGACAAAAATGCGTTTTCAATTTACACATCAACATGAAAAGTTAACCTACAATGTGAATGGTTCAAAGGGTCATAAATTTGGTACTGAACTCCTGTATAGGCAATGTTAGCCCTAAAATGTTTCAAACTTTATGTTTGTATTTCTAGCAGAAGATGCTAGTCAATTTTTTGAAAGGTGTTGCTTTTTAATTTTTTTGTTATGAAAATACCTTTTTTCATAACATTTTTCGTGAATTTATCGAGCATTTTTATTTCTTGTCATGGCAAAAAGCATTGGAAATTAAAAAGTATAGAACGAGTCTCCTATTCCAAGCACTGTTAGAATATTTTAGTCTGCTAATGAATATCTTTTTACGTTAGTACGCAGCAGTGGCGAAGCCAAAGGTCCTGCTGGTCCCAAATTTCCAAAGAATTTCCAAATATAACATTTACTGTAAACAATAAAAAAATGTCTGCTTTGTAAAAGGGAAGTTTCAAATTCTATTTGGTAAAGAGTCCCCAGTTCCGCCAGCTAATACAGGCATCCCGTGCTAATCTTAAGGACCTGGTCTTTACTACGGCAATCCTGTATTTTGGGCCTGCTCATAACTATGATGCCCTTTGTTTGATCCTGCTTCACAATGGGCTTTTGTAAATTTAGTCCTGCTTCACAATAGTCTAGAACAAAGAGCAGTCCAGCTCAATCTTGAGAGCAGGACCTCGTCGAAATAATCATCATAACATTCGTAAGCAGTAGTGATTTGATTGGTCGAGGATTCACCTACTTTGGTACTGCTATTTCTTAGAGCAGGACTCCGAGGACTGCCCTGTGCATTTTTGATCTGTTTAGAAATAGAGATACTGAGACGAGAGTACAAGCAAGTAGCAAGGAGGCCAGTTCAAGTAATATGGCGAGGCGATGTGAATTTGGATTTCCTGCTTGCTTGGGCGATATCAATGATATTATTATTGACAGCAAAACTTGCCTCAGTTAAGCTGCATAAATTTTATTTGTAACAAGATAGAGTCCAAAGCTCGCGAGAAAGAAATGGTAAACAACAAGAAGTGGCTGTATGAGGCACGGTATATCATTGTGGCCTAAATCATACTGATGTGTGATTGAAATTTTGGAGTTGGAGAATAAACCAATTTCAGCGGAATTTGCATTTGTAAGAGATTAACGAGCGACTGGTGTTGTGTGACTGATTCCCATAGAGATAGGATAATAATCCTACCTCTATGCTGATTGCTATGTTGAATAGCGATGAGCTGAACGCTGAACTGCTAGTATTAAAGGGGCGTGGACAACCAGTAGCCTTTGCGGGCGTAAGCTGGGAAGGCGGCCATTTACGTGGTCCATGAAAAAGGTGGAAAGCTGTTAGCACAAGCTGTGCGCAAAATGAAACCAAAAAGAAGCCGTCAAAAGCGATCTGAATCGCTAAATTGATTCGAGAAATTTCCCATCGAATTCTCCTCGCCATTTCTGTCTTGCATAGAAGAACACAGTTAGAAAAACAAAACAAATGCGAGCGCGAAAAGCATGCTGGTTGCACAGGCCCCTTTAAAGTGTATTTTCCTACCTGAATTGTTTACTCGTCTAATGGTTTTCTTAATAAAGTTGTTTTCGTTGACACATATTCAAATGTACCTCTCTTTATCAGCTGCAGAAAAATTGTTTTGCAGAATATGTGAACTTGCCCCTTAAGACTTTAAACTTATTTATTAAAATTATTTTAATAAAGTATCTAGATTTGTAAGGTTTATGAGACCAAAATCTGGAATAGTCTAATTAGACTATTTCAACTACAACAAATATATCATATACAACTTATAATGTCACCTCTGCCCTCTTTTATTGTGAAATTTAGTTATCACCAATTTGCATTTTTCCTCAGCTGTAGAGGCTTATTACAATTTGATATAGATCTGTTTGAAAAGTCAGACCCCTAAAGCACGCCGTTAAGTATAGGTTCATTTTTCAAAAGATAGACATAAGTTTAGAATTTGCTTTATACTGAATTTAAGAAAAAAATCATCTGCAAAAAATAAACTTTGGTTCATGGGCGTTTCCTATTGAATAAGGGCATGGTCCTGTCCATACAGCAGGACCAACAATTTTTGGCTAGCTTAGCAACTGGTACGCAGTCATTCCATTGCTGATTTGCATTTCAGCAAAGCAACTTAACAGAGCAGGGACACCTACGTTCAGGTATCAAGGCACCTGTTAAATGACCAGGTACACGTATTTAAACATCGAATGTTGGTTATATGTAATCAGATTCATACATTCCCAGCGTGTGTAAAATGCTTATTCTTGGGATATTATAAGATTTTCCTTGTGAACGTCTCCATCGGCTGTTGTGTTGGATGCTGAGTAGTAAATTTTGCCGTTCCATCATTCTTCTATGAAAGAATAATCTGAAAGAAGCAAGATTTGGTTTGGAAGAAGAAAACAGCACCAATTGAAGAACCAAAAATCTTCAAAGCTACGAGCAGTATATATTGTTTGATAGATGGCAATGTATTTGGCAATGGAGCTGTTTGCAGTTACAAAGATCCTTACATTTGCATTTGTTTTCCAAAGAACGAAAGCTACAATCCACGGAATCTTTGAAGTTGCTGCACACGAGAAAATTTTCAAAGAAGCATTGATTAAGCTTAATATCAGTACTATAAATGCCTCTTCACACTTTGCACTAAACTTGAGTTTAAGCCAATTTGTGGACAAGGGAAATGACATTGCAAAAGAGTTGAATGGACATGGAAGAAGCGGCAGATATGTCCTTAATGACTTAAGCAATGTCAAAAACCAGATCTTCAGAGAAATTTCGAATCATGCAAAAGGCAATGAAAGAATTCATACAGATAATGCTTTTAGTGGCCTTGACCGGGTAACAGGTTTTTTATTTATTTCTTCGAGCACAACATTAGCGAAATTGAAATGGCTTTTGACTTTCCCTACTTTTACTAGGGCAAATTTTATACCAAATTAGTACCCTTTTGTTTTCTTTCTGATTATTCTGCTCGTAGCGGTTTTGCAATTTCCTCAAATTTATCGTTACCTGTTATCAAACCTCCTCTACTCTTGGATTTTTTCAGCCTTTAGGACACAGGCCTTTCTTCAAAGAAGCTCTCCAGCAGCCCAATTAAAGTTTGGTTGATGTCATTTGGGCTGTATCTTGCTTTTCAAAAACTTGTGTTCAATCTAGCTCGATAATTATTGTAGGCAATTGAAATTTTCATTGCTCATTGGAAATGGCTTTGCTACGGCAACTTGTTGTGGTCTCCTAAAGAAGCTGAGAATTTTTGTCTCCGAAATATTGAATCAAAAGAAGTTTAAAGGGTTGGCTGCAAATTTTGGAATAACAAAATTTGCAAACTGCACAACCATACAGTAAAAAATAGAAAAAAATACTAGTTCGCCATCGCTTATGTCCGATAAGACTGCACAGCATTTCATTAAATTCGTTTTTTAAAGAGTCCGTTAAATGAAATTGGTGAAGAAATTTCGCTTCAGGTAGGGCTTCTGGATAGCCGTAGCCTGCGCACAGACCCAATATTATGTTGGAAATAAGTTTGCGAAGATTTTAGCGATTTCATAATATCTGAAATATCCAATAGGTGGATAGACCAACTGCACTGACAACACCGATGTCGTGTTCCTTCTTCGTTTGTCATTTTAGGCCACTTTTCTCGTTGTAGTGCTTTTTGCAAATTGCACCATCCATTCACGGCAGGAAAAATCTAGTCGTTTAACAACAGTTCGTCTAGCTTTTCTTCAACAAAAGAAGTAAAATCTAAGCTATTTCCTGGGTACACTGCCAGCTGATGTTGTAAATGCTGATTGCGTGTCAAAAGTTGGGACACTAGACTAGAGCCTGTTGTGGATTCAAAAGAAGAGGCGGACTGGCAGCAATTCTCTCGGGTTGCTATACGCTATATTCAGTATCCGAGCTACAAACCTAAAAGTTATGTTACTAGCCATACCTCAAAACAATTCATTAGAATTAATTATTATCAGCACAAACAACTCATTCTGCTACAAACTTGAATTGAAAGAGAGTGAAAGTTCACTTCAGGTTTAAAGCAATTTTGGGCGCATAGGCTAAGCGGCAATGTGGAGGCAATAAAGCCATAGTCTAGCAGTGCAACAGTCAACCAGTACTATGAGTTTTTCATATGACACAACACTTGAGATCAGTTTGTTTTGCAGTCTTACCTACATTCTAAAGAATCGTGACTGATTTAACAATACTTCAACAAAATAAAATGAAAAGTTCTCGCTCTAAATGAGATCCAATTAAACGCTCAGTTCTCTTTGAAGCACCGGCGAAGAGCTCGCGTACTGATTTATTATGCGTTTATAGTCTAACGGGAAGCTTTTCTCTTCACTTGAAAATATCATCAGTGATTCAAGGTGTGGCTGACCAATGGCTCCTCTAAGTCTACTCTTTATAAACTTTAATTTACTGAACATTCGTTCACATTCATTCGAACATTAGCTCAGCGTCATAGAAACTTTATAAGCAACGTAGAGAGCAGGATACGACGAGACATGCATGTTATACACATGCAAAGTCTTGAGTGCACAGGCGATGCAGACTTTACAAGGCTCATTCTTTTTAAGGCAGGAGGCAACTGTGTCTGTGCTAACAAGAGCTTTGGTGCCAGGTGGAACTTCTGCAATGAATCCTTCCTCTATTAACTGTTCGAGATCTCCACGTATTCCTCAAAACTTTCCTCTTTGGGGATGCTTGTTAGCTTATTTCTTTGTAAACGTGAGAGAAAGGAAATCAAAATCTTTGTAAAGATCTGAGGTTTTTTAAATTTGGCAATCAATCTCTGCAACTGCTAGGTCCAGCGTGGTCTTGTAAGGATCGATTTCATAGTGGTTTGTTGCTGTGCCCATTGATTCAACTTCATCTGGACGATCATCGATGGTTAGCCTCTTTCTCTTTCTTACTCTTGGAATCTTAGAAGCTTCTAAATCTAAAACACTCCAATAAGATACATGGCCTCGAAAGCTCTTTTTGAGTTCAGCCAACAAGTTTACGATATATCGTATTTAAAACGTTTTAAATGGCTTTGAAAAAAGCAAACATTTAGTAAACTAAAGCTTTTCGTCTGACACTCTTCAGAGTTTAAAACGTCAGAACATAGATCGAAAACTCTACGCTAAGAAATATATATACCCGGTTGTGGATCGAAATAGGCCAATCAGAAACACGAGCACATGACTGTAAAGGTTGACCAATCAGTGCCGCTTGCCTATTAGAATGTTACCAGTGGAGTCCTAAGGTGAAAACGAACTCCTTTTGTCTACACAGGAGCGGTTTTTTCGTGCTTATGTAGATAGATTCTAAAACTGCTAGGTGGAACGACGATCGGGCTTTACCAATAATCCAAAACATGTCGCCATTATAGTTTTTTGCACAATCTGGGTTTTCTAGCAAATGCTGCCCGATAGCAGAATCGCAGGTTTTAGTAGTAATTTTAGATTTGCAAGACCGAGGTGGCTGTTCTCTTTGGGGATGTGTTTTGTTTCTAATATTAGATGGAACGTGTTGTTCTATCCTATCCTCCAATCTTTGGGTGGTGCGTCCTACCTAGCCAGAATCACACTGGCACGTAAATTCATAAACAACAGAATTTTTTTTGTGGCAGGAACGCTGTCCTTTTGAATGGACGGAAGGGCCTTTTTTGTACTATAAACAACACGTGGGTTAACCGCGAAGAAACAATTTGTTATGGCCTGTTTTATTTGGCTTTCAAACCGTAGGGAGCTGTTACCGATCCAGGGTAGTTTTAGATAGACCGGACACTTTTGAGGACCAAATTTTACGTCAGCCGAGAAATTTCCTATCTTCTCCTTAATGTAAACTGAAATAACATCTTCTGGATAGCCGTTCTCCAGAAAAATCTTAGTTAGTTTTTCAAGTTCCGAGTCGAGTTTAGACTTGGAACAAATCATCAGTGCCCTATGTGTAAGCGTTTTGATGAGGCTGATTTTTCTTTGTTTTGGGCAAAACGAACTCCATCGAGTGTATAACCCCGAAAATGTGGGTTTACGGTATACACTGGTGAGAAATCCAGTGTCAGATTTTTCAACCAAAACATCCAGAAATGGCAAGGAGTTATTTTCTTCCTTTTCAAATGTAATATGTAGGGCTGTGTGAAGACCATTAAGGCGTTTTAGGAAAATATCACACTCAGCCTCTGTTTTGAAAATAGTATATGTGTCATCCACATACCGAAAATAGACACCTGGCTTTTGGTCGCAGTCAAACAGACGCTCTTCATGAAAGCCAACAAAGCCAATAAAACGTTTTCTTATAATTGCATTAATTCAAAATATTTTACTTTTGACATTCAAGTATAATGTGATAAACCTGCTTTTGAGTTTGAATTTAAGGCTTTTTCCGTGAACATAAACATCAGCATCCGCCATATGAAAATTTGTTTATGCACTCGTTTTGATAATTTGATCATTTCTACTACTTTTATTTGGAAACTTTGTTATAGTCTCGTTCTTTGTGACACAGGTAGCATGGGTTGATTTTCCTGAGGGAATTCTGGTTTGGCTCGTTGACGTATCTTGCTTAGGCCCATCTAATAACTTAGAAATAATATCTCGTTGATAAGCCATTTGCCGTTCCAGGGAAAAAATGCGCTCATGTAGGCTGCGGACCGAAGCTTCGTTAAGCTGATTCATTTTCCCCTGCGGATCCATTATATCTGTGCAGCTCCCATCATTTTGACTCTTCTCAAATTCAGCCCTCAAGGATGGAAAGGATGAAAGGTGTGTTCTTTATCATCTTGAAAGTCAACAACTAATCTTTCAAAATCCTCATCATCCTTTCTGCATGGTAACTCTGCTATTGGATCTGTCTGCATATCGGCATCTCTAAATTCCTTTTCGCCAGTTGATCTCTTTTCTTTTCGTTTCCGATATGATATTTTGCCGTTCATAACTGAGGTGTAGATTTTTTGTTGCTGAGTCTCGATGGCTGCCTTCGTGGCTGCAAGATCCCAGCCGTGTTTTGCCTTACACAAATCAGCGATGTCACGTGTCAGTCACGTGACAGGTAGGAATAATCTATAGGCTGGCTCTAAGTCGGAGCGCGAAACAATCGGCGAGTTTTTTCTATTGACTATGGTTTATTGCATGGCTCGGCATTATTTCAGTTAGCCAAAAAAGTTTTTTCATAAGTCTTTTTACAAACATCCCATTTCATTGTTTTAGATGCTGGTTTGGTTTCCAATGCTTTACCCTATAAAAATTAGTCTCAAAATACATATTAAAACTTATCTTAGGGGACGGGCCTAGTTTGGACACGGTTCTTGGCCATTAAGATTCACCTTAAGATTAATCCTTGGCCATAAGACAATTGCCTTAAGATTCACCTCCAATTCTTGTAAGGATTTTCTTGCCTTGTCTATTTTGCCTGAAATAGAAAGACCCAGATTAATTTCCATGCTATTTTGCAATTGGTCAACAAAATGATCCTTCATGCAAATGCGAACACCTGGCTTGTAATGCTTGAATTAACTTTTACCACAAAGGTCTGGAAAGAATACAAAAAGCTTAGTACTAGGTAAATGCAAATGCTCTTTGCAAAAACTGACTGCATGTAACTGGCAGGTTGCATTTGAATGTTCTCTACCGATATTTCTATTGCTCGTTCCAGATTACAAACCATTTATCTGAAGTTGACGACCTGGTAAAGTTGGTCAATCTATATCCTCTCCCATCTAAAGGAATATCCGTCGTAGTGGATGACTCGCAATTTGGACGTGCCTCGCTTACCCGCATTGTTGAGAAATGCGCAGAGTATGGCCTAAATATTACAGGCATGCAAATGATAAGCAATGTCAATAAGAGGACCATATTTGCCTTAAATATTCACAAAAGCAATGTGCTTGTTGTTGATGCTGATGAAAAGAAAACGGTTAAAATCGTTAACATGGTAAAACACTTGGGCGTGGCAGGGTATCGCGAGGAGTTGCATTGGATGATGACCACACGATCTACTGGACAACTCCACAGGCAATGCAACTTGCTTCCTCACATATATCGATATATAGATAACGTCCCTGTTTCCGTGTCTTCCGACTACATCGTAGAGAAGATTCAGCGACGAAACTTGGCTAGTCTAAATCGGAATCGCAATGGCATTGCAGGAAAGTAAGTGCAATAATGCATTAGGAATTTTTTGCGTTGACAGTGGTTGGCAAGAAGAAATGATAGTCAGGATATCCCAAATTTTCTTAAATTAAGTGGCTAGATTGACTTTGGAGAAAGGGCCAGTTGAGGTATTATAATGAAAGTTTTGCTAGAAAAAAGATCAAGAAAATGCGGCAGCACAAATAAGCTTTCCAAATTTGTTCTAAATGATTTTTCTCATAACATTCAAAGCATTATTTCCAAGATCAGAAAGCCAGGGGGA